AAGCGCACGCTCGTCCGTTTCCAGCAAATGCACCAAAATAACTCCGCCCAGTCCAAACCCGTCCGCGCTTCTGCACGTGCGTGTGTGAGAGGCTTCAACGGACGTAATTATTGAGAGTCGTTGCGAGAGCTTTAATACGAATTTTCAAATTTAAATCCTTCAGCTCCGATCCGCATGAGTTTTCCAATCACAACAAAAAGTGTCCACTTTGAACCAACACCACCAACTCTCCATTCAACATCATCATCCTTTTCAACGACATCCAAGAGGACTCTCGTAACAACCAATCAGAAGAAGAAGAACAACCTTGATTTGAAAACACAACAAGAATTATATACATCCCCTCCACCACAAACACTCCCGAGAATTTAAACATCATGATGACTGCCATGGAATCCTATCCTGCTCTTTCCACCTCCAATATCGGAATGATGATGGTAGATACCTCATCAAGAAGAAGCAGTACATCTTCCTCCTCTCCAACCTCCTCTCATTCCACTTCCTCTTCTCATAAAAAACATTCTCCATTGTTTGAGAGAAGACACTTGACTCAACCCTTATCAGTTTCATTGAAACCTACTCCTTCGACCTCGACCTCTTCCAAATCCACGATGAATACACAACAAGTGAAACCAACGTTCCACTTATCTCAATATTATACACGAGACGAAATTGAAGAAATTTACTTTCATTGGATTGAAAATACTCATTACATCAAACTCTATGAATAATCATTTTGAACACAATTCTTGTATCATAATCTAAGGAAAAATAATCTGTAAATAGAGAGTAACTAAGATAATAAAAACACAATTTTGCTCAATCCAACTTGAATATTACTGTAGTTTGTTTTTTACATCTCATATGATAATAGGTTGCATGATTTTTCAACACTTGCACGTTAGAAGCAACCCATTTCGTTTCGTGTGACACCACCATCTCATGATCAACACACAAAAGGAAATCGTTGCAATTTACTTGTGACCCTTTTATTTTCAAAAGCCTCGCAACTGCTGAAGTCTCAACACGTTGATCCGCGCTTGTTGAAAAAAAATGAAGAATCTTCGAGGGGAGATGGAACAAGAGGATCCTGTGGCTACTACTACTGCTACTACTCTGCAAGAAGAATCTCAGTCCTTGTTATTGAACTCTGCTTATAATGAACCTTCTTCCTCTACTCCTGTCATGATGGTCATAGATACACCAGTTTATGGCAAAAAGAAAAATCCAATTCTTTTGCAGATCATCAAAATTAAAAACTTTTATCAATCGGAATCGTTGAGAAGAGTGAGAAGATGGGTCGCATTAATTATTGGTGCATTGGTGATGATTGCATGTGGAACACAATATTCATTTTCATCGATCAGTCCTTCTCTCAAAAAGTGAGTTTTTTTGAAACTGATTTTTTATGTGTGAAAAAACTGTTACAAAAAGACGTTTCGATTTGACTCAAACACAAGTGAATACCATTGGAACAGCAGCGAATTTGGGTACCAATTTCAGTTTTCTCTTTTCATTGGTCAATGATTTTTTAGGATGTCGAGCATGTTCGTTTGTATCTGGATTGTGTTTATTTGCTGCTTACTTTTTAATGTCACTTTCCGTGTCAGGTGCATTGCCATGGGCTGAGAATTACATTGCCTTGTCCATTTTCATGTTTTTGATGGGAAATGCTTGTGGAGGTGGATACACAGCTGCCATTGTTGCAAGTATTAAGAATTTTCCTGAAAGAAATCGAGGACTTGTCGGTAAGTAACAAAAGTCATTCACCATTCTTCAAACATGATGATGAACATGTTGTTAAAATTCACAATAATGGAAATGATGAAAAATGATGATGAACTGTTAAAATTCACAATGATGAAAATATTGAATTCCTAGTGGGTGTCATGGCTTCATGTTTTGGTATCAGTAGTGCCATTTATTCCTTCTCCTATTCCTATATTTTCCAACTTGAATTACAACCTTACATGATTTTTTGTGCCATTTTAGGAGGAGTGGTGGTTATGGGTTTAGGAACCATCTTTTTAGACAGTAATTCCTCAGCAGATTCTCCAAAGAAAGAATCAAAAGCAGTTGAAGAACAGTCTGCCTCTATTAATACTACCTCAGAAAATGCATCGAGTGAAAATGATGGAGAAAAGAATGTTTCAGAACAACACATGACTGAAGAAAGTATTGAAATTGAAAAAATTAATGTGAAATTGAAAGAATTGGAAATGCCAAATTTGAACTCGTTGAAAATGTTAATTTCTCTTGATTTTTATTTGGTGTTTTTGGTTATATTTATTGTTATTGGAGGTTGGTTGATTTTATATTATTATGTCAACTTGTTATAATATTTTCACACACTTTAAATATAGCTGGTATTACTGTCATTAACAATTTGGGAGGAGTTGTGTTGGCCTATGGAGGTTACAATGGACAACAAAATATCATGATCATTATCTTTTCTCTCAGTAATTGTTCTGGACGATTGATTTTTGGATTTTTGAGTGATAAATTTTTAAATCCAAAACGAAACCTTACAAGAATTACCTTCCTTGCAGTTTGTACCTTATTGATGACCATTGTACAATTCTTATTTGCAGTCATGCCATTGAACGGTATTTATGCTTTGGTGGTGTTATTGGGAGTAAGTTGTTGTGTTTTTTTGAAACATCATTTCCAAACATGTCAACTATTATGTTAAATCTTGTAATGTCCACACGTGTGAACGAATGAATTTCCAATCATCCTATTATTTTATTGGATAGATTTGTTATGGAGGTACCTTTGCATTGACTCCAGCATTCAACAGTGAAAGATTTGGTCCTAAATATTTCGGTATGAACAGTACGATTCAAAGTATGGCAGCCTCACTTGGAAGTTATGCCTTCTCGACGGGTATGGCTGGTGCTCTCTATCAAGCCAATGTCGTGCCACCAAGAACTCTCACTTGTCACGGAAGAGATTGTTATGAAGGAACATTTTTCATCTTGTCATTGTTGTGCTGCATTGCCTTAATCTTTTGCATGATTTTGCAATACAGAACCAAATGGCTATATGCTACCATGTATCGAAGAAAGGTACTTGCTAACCGATTAGAACAGCTTGAAAAGCTTGAGAAACAACGAGTTTAAATAACTTTGTTAAATCAATAAATAGATATGGTTAATTTAAATATACTATGGATGGATATTTATTTTGTATATATATATACTATTTACAGAGACTGAAACTCAACAATCGTCCAACAAGATGCATCAATACTTCTCAACGAGCACACTGAAACAGAATCCTTAACCAGCAATATTCTGCTTTCTTCACAAGTTTCATCGAAGAGATTTCACAACAACATTAGTGACTTGTGTCTCGACACAACACATGTGTCGCCTGCACTAGAGTTGTCATCTCTCTCGCAATGATGAAACCTAGCTACGCGTGTCTGTTGAGTAAGTGAACATCTCATTCAATGTTGAGTAGAGAAATGATTAGTTTTGATGGATGGATCACGTGATCTTTGAGAACGCTTAAATTCTCGTAGTTGTACCTTCTTCAATTTGAGTTCCTTCTTAAAGTTTTTGAGATTTTCTCTCTCCATCTTCTTTTTTTGCTGTTCTTGAATGCGTTCTTCCTTCAATTTCTTTTTCAAGTCACCTTGTTGTGTGTGACCAACAGTCTTGTTGGGATTGCCAGATTTTTGTTTTCTCTTCTTTCTTGTTTCAACCATTGACAAGGATACTTCGTTGGCTTCCTTAATTGGATCAACTGTTGAGGTATTTTCAATGGAAGGAACATTAAGAACACGTCTTTTCTTGAGCTGACTCTTCAAGCTTTTGAATTCTTGCTTCTTCATTTGCAATTGATTCTTCATTTCTGTAATTTCTTCCTTCAATTGTAGCAAAGTTTCACGAATTGTCTCGCCATCGAGTGGTGCTTTAGGTTCAGAAAATTCTTTTTCATTCAATGTTTGAACAGTCACAACTTGAGTCGTAGGTTCTGACTTGTCTTGCTGAGTCATGATTTCAACCTTTTCATTTACTTTCTCTTCTGATACTGAGCCTCCACCAATTTTGATGTCTTCCTTTGCATGTTGAGGTGTCACTTGTTGAGAAATAACAAATTTACCACCGTATTCATCTTCATCCTTATGTTCAACACGGACTTTAATCTTGAAATCAAGAGTACCCTTTGGACCAGCACTCTGTTGTAACTTGGGAATGATTTCATTCCATTTCTTGTCATTTCGAATGGATTTGAACTGATCTCCGAGTTGAACCTTGATTTTCATCTTGTCATGGCTAGAAATATTCAAGATCTTTTGAATGAGTTGTTGGAATGCATTCAAAGAGATCTCTTCATTGATTTCTTCGGAATGACGAGTTGGAACAGTGAGAACTCTTTTTGGATTGCGTTTGATTTGCTTCAAAATGACGAACAATTGGAAGATGGCCATTTCAACTTTGCGTAGTTCTGTTGTTGATGGAATGTGTTATTATTGATTTTGAATTATTTGTTTTTGTTGTTGTTCTCTTGTGATGATATTCGCAAAGTTTAAATAGGTCTGAAGTTCAGAGTTCACCTCCCCTAACAATGTTCACCACAGAGAACAACAGGCAAAAATTGTTGTCCTTACATTGTTTGAAACAAGCAATCACCTTTTCAAACCTGCAATCTTCACAACAACACGTGTTTTCAAAATTCTTCAAGATGTTTCAAAATCGCACTCAACACGTGTTTTCATAATAATTCAAAGAGATTTTTCTGAAAACTGAAATTCATTGTATACCTTATTCAAGAAAAATACAATACTGCCATTGTGTTCATGTCCTACTCGAACAAACATTGCGCCTTTCAGCGCAAACCCTTACATGTTCTTCTTCTCTGCATGTTACACATGTTTGTCTTTCACTTGACATTCACTATTGTGAATACATCTCAAACAAACTCTTCTTCTTCGAACACTGATGACAATGGTCCTGTCATTGGTATCGATCTGGGAACTACCTACAGTTGTGTAGCCATCTATCGAAATGGTCGTGTTGAAATTATTGTCAACGATCAAGGAAATCGAATCACACCTTCTGTGGTGGCCTTCTCTGAGAATGGAGAACGTTTGATTGGAGAATCAGCCAAAAATCAAGCAACTCTCAATCCTTACAATACCATCTATGATGCAAAGAGACTCATTGGTCGTCGTTTCTCTGATCCACAACTTCAAAACGACATTGCTCTTTTACCATTCAAAGTGGTGGACAGGAATGGAAAGCCAAATATTGAGGTCGAAATTCGAGAAGGAGAGAAACGAGTCTTCTCACCTGAAGAGATCTCAGCCATGATTCTTGGAAAGATGAAACTCATCGCAGAAACATATTTGGGACATAAAGTGACACGTGCTGTCATTACCGTCCCAGCCTACTTTAATGACGCACAAAAGCAGGCCACTCGTGACGCTGGAGCTATTGCAGGATTGAAAGTAGAGAGAATCATTAATGAACCTACTGCTGCAGCAATTGCTTATGGAATTGATAAGAAGAAGCAAAATCAGAAGGTTCTTGTCTATGATTTGGGTGGTGGAACGTTTGATGTGAGCATGTTACTGATGGATGAAGATTTCTATGAGGTGTTGGCCACAAGTGGAGACACACATTTAGGAGGAGAAGACTTTGATAACCGAGTAGTGAGATGGTTATTGGAAGAATTCAAAAGAAAGTATCCAAACAAATCCAAGTCCATTGATATGGATAAGAAAGCCGTTCAAAAGTTAAAGAGAGAAGCAGAGAAGGCCAAGAGAGTTCTATCTTCACAACATGAGACTAGAATTGAAATTGAGGCGTTGCATGATGGTGTGGATTTTAGTGTGAAATTGACTCGAGCCAAGTTTGAACAGCTCAACCATGACTTGTTCGTGAAAACATTGAAACCTCTCGAACAAGTTCTTATCGATGCCAAGCTCACCAAGGACCAAGTAGATGAAATTGTACTCGTTGGCGGCTCCACTCGAATTCCAAAAATTCAACAATTGTTAGTGGACTTCTTCAATGGTAAAAAACCAAAACAAGGTATCAATCCAGATGAAGCCGTTGCTGCTGGAGCTGCCATTCAAGGAGGAATTATTGCTGGTGATGTAGAAGATTTGGTGTGGGTGGATATTGCTCCACTGTCACTTGGTATTGAGACTGTAGGTGGTGTCATGACGAAAATAATTCCAAGAGGTACCAAAATTCCTACTCAAAAGTCACAAATCTTCTCCACCTACCAAGACAACCAACCAGGTGTCTTGATTCAAGTGTTTCAAGGAGAACGTTCAAAAACTGCTGACAATACTCTCTTGGGAAAATTTGAATTGACTGGCATTCCTCTTGCTCCACGTGGTGTACCACAAATTGAAGTAACGTTTCATGTAGACTCGGATGGAATTCTTCATGTGACAGCTCAGGATACTAAAACCCAACAAAAGAGTAATATCACCATCTCCAATGAGAAATTGAACATGAATAAGGAAGAAATTGACAAGTTAATGGAAGAGGCACGTCAATACGAAGAAGAAGATCGAAAATTTAAGGAAACAATTGATGCTCGAAATGAGTTGGAAGGATTCATGTATGGCATTAAGAATCAACTGAAGGAAGAGAAATTTAAGGCCAAGTTCAAGAATGAGATGGATTTGAAAACAGTTGAAGAGGAATTAACAAATTCAATGAAATGGCTCGAGACACATCCTGATGCGTCTAAGGAAGATTTCCAAAATGAAAAGAGCAAGTTAGAAGACAAACTAAAACCAATATTTGCAAACATGCAAGCCTCCGACACTCAAAACGAAGGGCAACGACATGATGAATTATAGGCATTTACAGATTCATTTGAATAAAAAGCAGCTCCGTTTTGGTGATCATTCGGTGAGTACCAACACTCTCGTCAAGTAAAATTCACATTTTGTTCCGTTGTATCCAAAGAATCTTCATCATGAAGAAGAAGGCTTGCTGAATCTTGTGCGCGAGTGGATATTAATGAACACGGAATGAATTTTTTATTTAATTTTTCAAAATAAAAAAATGAGTGTGTTTTACAAATTTAAGTCCGCCAAAGACTATGACACAATTGCCTGCGAAGGCACAGGTATCAGCCTCGGTAAACTCAAACAAGCCATCCTAACGCAGAGTAAACTTACCAAAACAATGGACTATGATCTTGTTGTTCAGAATGCCCAGTCCGGTGAAGTTTACAAGTATGACCAAGATGTTGTACCAAAGAATACATCTCTATTGGTGAAGAGAGTACCACTGAATAAAGGTGGGCTCGGATCGGCTAATAATAATCCTAGTGCAAATGCTCAGCCTGCTGTCGTTCCTCCAAATTTATCATCAATTAATACACCATCATCATCAACAGGAAACACAAAAAGTCTCACAGGATCTTTGTTATCAAGAAACACAACAACATCATCAACAATGTCAAGTACTGGCCAACCTTCGTTTTCATCACTGTTCCCAACACTTGGAAACGTGAGCGGAGAGCAACCAAAAGAATTTAATGAAGAGGAAAAATTGAAAGAAGTTTTGAGTGGTATGTCGGAAAAGTGGATTCCTGAGACTTCCACTCAACATCATCATTCTCACTCAAAAACTCGTGGTGGAGTTCCTCCACCAAATTATATTTGCCATCGTTGTAAAAAACCTGGCCACTACATCCAAAATTGTCCAACAAACGGAGATCCTAGATACGACATTAAGACTATTCGTAGAGCAACCGGCATTCCAAAGAGCTTCTTGACTCCTGTTGAGACTCCACAAGTTGACCTTTTAGGTGGCTCAGTTGTCACACTTGGAGGAAATTTGGCTGTGGTATCTTCGAATGATCAAATGTTTGCTAAAGCTATCGGAAAAAGAAGTAATATATCAGAATTGAAAGATATTCCAAAAGAATTCCAATGTCCTTTATGTTCCAAACTATTCAATGACGCTGTTACCATTCCATGCTGTAAAACTAATTATTGCAACAATTGCATAACTCATGCTTTAATACATAATAATTTAACATGTCCAAATTGTCAATCTCCTGAGCAGTCTATTGATAGCTTGGCTCCCAATTATGAATTGAGAAACAAAGTAGAAAAGTTTAAATTAACATTAGATCCAGATCTTGCAAAAGCAACTGATACTAAGGAAACATTTGGTACACCTTCAACCACAGGCAATGTGCCTGCCAGAGGTAATGCTCCTGTTCATAAGAGACACCCACATCAACAACAGCATCAACAACAACAACAGCATGCACCTAGGAACAATTATCAACCATCTAGTTCTGCCCAACAACCACCTCAACAACAACATTATTCAGGAGGAGATAATAAACAAAACCAGAGCAGTAACATCAGCCGTGGATATCCTGTAGAGAACAGACAAGGTAAATCCTCACCTCAACGAGATAATTACGACAGAAGAGGAAATGCTCCATCCCAAGCTCCGTATTCTTCTTACAATAGGAATGCTTCGTATGATTCATACGACAATAGAAGAGACGGTAGACGAGAGGACAGAAGAGACGAAAGAAGAGACGACAGAGATTATAGAAGAGGAGGTGATTATCACAAGAGAGATCGATACGAAGGTCGTAAAGATTATGGTGATTACAACGGCTATGACAGAAAGAAGAGAAAGGATTAATTTCTTTTTTACATTCATTGTAATAATTTATTATAATTTAAATTTCACACCCAAGTTCAATAAATTATTTTTTTATTGCCTTAAAGACTTAAAACATGAAAGACATGAACACAACAAGAGCAACAATCATCATGCTCATCACTCCATTTCTCACTGAACTTTGACCATCATTACTCTTCTTTGGTGTTCCACAAGTACTTGTCGAAAAGAAATCAATTCCACTTGCAAAAATACTATATGCGTCATGAGCAACAAAATTCGTTGGACTCGAAGGTTGTTGACTTGAATGAGCAGCAAACAAGAGTGTGGTTTTAGTTCCCTTTGAAAGAGCATAATAAGTACTTGGAGCATTTTGAGGACGAGTCAACGATCTCACATAGGTCATGGTTGTGGTCGAACCAGAAGTGGTGGAAGTTGCTGAAGTGAATTGATTAGAGGATAGTCGACTTGGTTGAGAATTTCCATTGGCATAATACTGTGTGTATGTAAAATTTACATTCCAATCAGGGATCATGATAATATTAAAGATCAAAAGGAGGAAAATAGAAACACCATGATCACAAATTTGAATGTGAATTTAGATATTATTAAACTTACTTCATTAATAGTTCCATTTCCACTTCCATATCCCAACACAATGGTAGCTCCAGTCATTCCACTTCCATCACTTGGATTTTTCATTCCAACAGCTCCCCATCCTCCTGAATTATTGATCGAGAATCGAGCACTCAATCGATTATTAGTTTCATCCAATGTCCATTCGACTTTGTGGCTTCCGAACATTTGACAGTTGGAATAGGTTTGAGCATTGATCAATGAAACGTAGCCACAGAGAAGAGCGAGTAACAACAAGGCAAGGTTCAATTTGAATGAATTTATCATCATGTGGTCTGTTGTGTGAAAGGATTGTTTTTTTGTATTTTGTTGATATCGATGTGAAATTGCCATCTCTCTTGAATGACAAGATCACGTCAATTCGATCAACAACGTTCAAAGATGACGAGTGGCGGGTGTGCAGTTGAAGAAAATACGTGCGTTGCACAAACTTACGATTGGTTGAGCATCTGCCAGATGTCGCTACCACATTCCTTTTGGAGAATTTTTGGAAGCTCTTATTCCATGATGGATTTCATAACTCCATGTCACGAAAATATTCAAGTAGCAGTACTGCGATCATGCGTATATTCAATCCTGTATTTATGAATAACAACAAACATTATTTAAACATTATTTTACCACTCCATTAAAATGTGCCAAATGTCATGATAAACACCAAAATCAACATCATGATCGAATTCATCATTCCCATGACAGAACTAGCACCATTGGTCTTCTTACTATTCGAAACTGCTGGTTTTACCGAAGGACTTGGAGTTGGCGTTTGACATCCCTTCACATTATTATTAAAGAAATCCGTCGCATTAATTTGAATATATCGAGCATCATGAACTGTTAAGGCATCAGGATTACTTGGAAGTGTATTAGAAGATGCAAATAATAAGGTCACTCGTTCGCCCTTAATGAATTCGAAATAGGTGTTTGGAGCGTTTAATGGTCGGGAGAGTGGACGAACGATGGAAATGATGGTTGTGGAACCGGAGAGAGAAGTGTTGGCTGAGAGGAATTGATTGTTGATTCTGGTGGGTTGAGAATTGGCATCGGCGTAGTACTGTTGGAAAAGTGGCAAGTGACAGGTGAGAGAAATATTAGAGAGAGTGCGACCATTGGATGTTCAATGAAAGAGAGCAAGAGTAGAGGATGTTCATTAATATCATTTTCATGAAAAAACAAACATTCGATCGGAAATGGTCCGTTCACAAATTTTCACAGTTTACAAAAAAAATTCGTCCATCATCATTGAGATTACAAATCAATTGTACAAGTGATGAATCATCAGTAATTCAAAAAGATTAATCATCATACTCACCTCATTGACTTCAGTTCCATATCCCAAAGTAATGGTTGCTCCAGCCATTCCATTTCCTAAAACTCCTCTTTTGAAACCAACGGCACCATATCCTGGAGCACTTGGAATGGTAAATTGAGCACTGATTTTATTGTTTGCTTCATCAGTGGTCCATTGAACTTTGTAATAGTTATTGATGATTTGACAGCTGGAATAAGTTTGAGCCAAAAGGAATGTATTGACAAGTGACAGTATCAGAAAGAGTGGAACGAGGATTTTGAAAAGCATCTTGAATGTGTGTGAATTTTTTTCTGAAAGCCAAAGGAACAACAAGACCAAGATTCTTGGGAACGAACGGGTTTTGACATAGTGAAAATTAATGATTGGCCAGGGGAGTTTTTCACGAGTCACCTGTCATTAATTTTTTGAATGCATGACTTTTCGAGAAAATCGTCAGGCAGGCAAACACGCGAACCAGAAGATAACGAATCATCATCACATAGATAACAACAATTAAATTCCTTCATCATCTTGTATTCAAAATGTTTAATAAATCGATAAAGAGATCATTGTGAAATAGTTCAAAATTTCACAACACTACTACCAAACTAATCCCATCACTGCAGTCATGGCTGCAACACTAACCATCCACATTGCAAATGAACCACTCACTCTTTCTGCAGAATTTCTCTTAACCGATGTCGATCCAGATGGTTTCTTGATCGATTGACTTGGACTCACATGTCCTCCACAAGTATTAATATTATTATTATAAAAATCCACAGCAAGAGCATAGAACATGGTCGAGTCATGCTTTGAAAAGGTTTGAGGGGAAGTTGGGACACTGGATGAAGTTGCAAATAATAGAGTCGTATTGGTTCCTTTCGAAAAGGCGTAATAAGTAGAAGGTGCATTTCCAGGTCGTGACAAGGATCGAACGAGGGAGAGAGTGGTGGTGGAACCAACAGTGCTCGAATTGGCAGAGATGAATTGATTGGAGGAGAGACGGGTTGGCATGGAGTTGGAATCAGCATAATACTGTGAAAATTAATTGCAAGATTAAAGATGACAATTGACAGTTTTGAAAGTTACATACCTCGTTGACTTGAGCATTGCCATAACCTAATAAAATTGTGGTTTGTGCCATTCCTCGTGTAGTTCCTTGCTTGAAACCAACTGAAGCATAACCACTGGCATTAGGAATAACAAATTTTGCAGTTAATCGATTGTTGGCTTCATCACAGGTCCATTGAACTTCTACAGGACCAACTTTTTGACAACTTGACAAGGTATGATGTTGAGTTCGAGATTGAACCAATGTTGCGGTCTTGATCAAGAATACGAGGACCAGCAAAGTAGCGAAGGAAGCTTTCATGTTTGGAAGTGTGTGAAATTTTTCTTTTGTTTTTTTCGAGGTCGAGATTTCGATCGAGCTAGATCTTGTTAAGAAAGCACAAATTATGATTGGTTCAAGGAGTTTTTTTCACGTCAATTGTCATTAAAAGTGAGGGGTCAAGTACAACTTTTAGGTTGGAAATTTCAACGATTACAGGGTGCCACTAGCAATAGACTCGCTCCCAAATACCAATGACTTGACGGGATTCTTCTACTTTTTAAAAACTAGGGGATAACAATGTAACCATCATTGTCAAAAACTGTAGCCTTCGCTACTTGAAATAAAACGTTTTCAATTCAATCGTTAATAATAAAAACTGCATAAAGGACCATTTCGATTCCTTCCCCCAAGTTTCTTAATTTGGAATCTATTTCATCGTTCGTTTATGCATCTCAGACACAACTTTAAAAAAAATGTTCACAACAACCCTTAATTTCCATGCAGTTGTAGAAGGCATTTCTCTTCTCGTTGGACCATTCGAGTCATGATGAATTATTCAACTATTGAAAATGTTAGTTTCACACTCCATCAACCATTTAAATGTGACTCACAGAATTGTGTCGATCAAACACTAAGCACCTACGAATGGAATCACACTGTGCAATGCTTTTACAATCCAAAAGAACGTCAATATGGTTCTCTTTATATGAGCCAAGTAAAAACAACTGTTGAAAAGGAATCTTACAAGTATGGAATCGTGTACACATTTGTTTCCTTGTCGATAATTCCTTGATTGGTTTGGTCGTGACGAGTCTTGTGATGATGTTCTATTGTTTCTTCAAAAAAAGGTTGAAAATATCTGGAACTCTTTCATGCTGCTCATCATGAACTGGTTTCGAATGAATACAATCCTCATGAAACGAAACATTAAAATTTTACTCGTCGACTCGAACTGGTCGCTCTCTCTCTCGAATTCCACTTGGAAAAGATCTTTAAATGAAAATCTTTCCATCAACGTTCGAACCAGAAAACTAAACCCACACACTCATCACGAAACACATCAAAAAAATGAGCATGAGCCTTCTCTATTCCTCACTCAATGATTTGAATCAAGCTGCCATTGCGCAAGTGATGGAAGTGGATGATGATACTCCTCTTGAGATTTATTTTACAACGGCTCGGAATTTGCTGAAAGAAGCAAAATTGTGTCGGGAATCTCAAGATTTGGAAGGAATGTACAAGTGTTTAATTCAATATTTGATATTGGTGGTTAAAAAGTTACCTTCTCACAAGGATTTAAATGTGGATGAAGATCAAGAAGAATCCGATGAATATATTAAATGTAAACAAGAATATGATTATAACTTTCAAAAGTGTGATCTAGTGAAACAGGAAATTGAAAAACTTCGAGGTCAACTGAATGATCTCTATGATGAACAACAAAAAGCCAAATCCAAAGAAAGAATGGCAAGCTTACAGGATTCGGATCCTTTGAGAAGAAAATCAGTTATTCAACCAATTGTACCAAGCGTAGCTGTGAACGCAACGACCGACAAGTTACCACTTCCTACATCTCCAAGTGTTTTAAACAAGAGATTTACCATGTCCATGAGATCATCAAATCCGAATATTATTTGCAAGACGCCAACCATGATTGCACAACGTTCACGAGATGATCCCAATAGAATTGTTCGGGTTCGATTACTTCCTGGTATTATTGCACACGAAGGAACTCATACACCTACGAGTGTCTATCATTTGGTCACACCCAAGCAAATGCAGGACAATTTTGAAAAGTATAGACCTCAACCACAACAACCACTTGTTCGTAAGACCTCTAAACAACCACCTCCATTCCCAACTTCGTATCAGACACCAACCAATCAACAACCTTCCAACATGAATTATCAGCAGACACCTGTTTATCAACAGCAACAACAACAACCTACGTATCAACAACAGCCGCCAATGTATCATTCACAACAACAGCAACAATACTCATCAATTTATCAACAAGCCACACCAGTAGTTCAGTACACTCCACAATCACAGACCTACTCAACATCTATTTATCCTCAATCTTATTCTCAAAATACTAATTATGTTGAGAGTACTTATTCAAATGCAGTTGAAAACGTTGCTTATAATGAGAGAGTTCAAGAATATGTTGGAAAACAAGTCGGAAATTTAGCAACCAATGAAAGAGTTCAAAAACAAGTGGGCTCATCCATTTCCAATGCTGCTAAGAATCAACAAGTTCAATCCACAATTGGAAATGCTATTGCATCAAGCTCTGACAATTCTTTTGTTCGATCTGTAGCTACTAATCAACAAGTACAATCTACCGTTGGAAGTGTGATTGCAAACACAGCTGGTAATGAACAAGTTCAAAAGGCAGTTGGAAATGCAATTCACAGAGCTGCCAATGATAAGGAAATGCAAAAGAAGGTTGCTAAAGGATTTGTTAGTGTTGCCAAAGGCGCTTTTTCTGCAACAAAGGCTGGTGCCAACTTGGGATATCAGCTTTACCAAGAAAATAATAAGAATTGAGTCTCCTTATCGCCAATTTTGGAAAACTACACTCTTGATTTTGCTCACTTTTACCTTCTATTTATTTTTAATTTATTGACTCCATTTTGTGTCACAACTGTATAAACATTGTGATTTCAAACCTATTCACTCCAATTTCTTTATTAAATATATTTTAGCCAAAAACTTTATAAAAAAATGGCACAACCATCGTCGGCATCCTCCTCTTCTGCGAAACTGTCTGAAACAATTGCAACACTTAAAAACGAAAATTCTCGAACAACATCAAAACGAATAATTTCTGATTTGGAGAAAATTGAACCTAGATATTTCCGAACTCGATCGGGAAGTTTTGATATCTCAAGTTTTCGACAACATTTAAAATCGGATTTTAAACATTTCCAACAGAATGATCTGTCATCACGAGAATTTTGTATTTGTGGCACTATTTTGGCAGTAATACCATTTGTTATTTTGATTTTCTTCTTGTTATCTTATTTTTGTTACTTGTCACCACAGTTGTGTCCTATTGTTCACTCAAGTTTCACATCACATGCACGAGAGAATGCTCCAACAATTGTTGAACATTTATTGTGGATGATTTCTTGGTGGTTTTATGAGGATGCATACTTTAAATTTTTAATACCGATGGCCGTTCCTGTTGTCGTGTTATTCATTTACTTTAATTGGAGGTCATTCCAAGAATTTAAATACAATTAGAAATTTCAACACAAACAACTAGGATTGAAATATGAAACCACAGTTACACGAAACACAACATCTCTAAAAGAAAACAACAACTAAATTAATTTAAAATTAATAATTTACAATAACTAGTTAGCAAACATGCAATGAATTTCAAAATTTTGCACAAGTTGTCTTTTCGCACCTGTACAAGCAGGTAAACAATTCGCGAAGTGTCACAAAATTATTCCTCATCCTCTCTTTCAATGACACCATAGCCAAGTAACTTCTTTCTCAGAGTTGCCGTCGTAAAATTGGCTCCACCCAAGTCATCCAAACCAACAATAGAATCATCTGTTCGTCCGTTCTTGATACACACAATTGTTGGCATCATCCAAATTTTCAAGTGTTCCACGATAATTGGACAATGTTCTCCATCAACCTTAATAAACAGAGTTTCTAAATGTTTTGGAGCAATCTTTTGTAAATGGCTCAACACTAGATCGCAATAACTGTTCGATGGTCTATAAAACAAAACGACAACAAATTTGTTATCCTTCACATGTTGAAAAAAGTCCTTAGCATCGCTCACATCCATGACCTTTCCGTGTCCCTTTTGCATCCATTCTTGTTTCAAGGAATGTTTTTGCTTTAAACTATCCAATCTCTTTTGTTTGAGTTTCAAGTAATCGTCGTCGGTCATTTCGTCCATCTCTCTCAACTTTTCATCGAGAGTTTTCTCAATGATTTGTGCCGACGCTAAAAGGGCGTTATCCAACATTGCTTTTTGTACACTCATGATGATTTAGAGGTTGTTGTATGAACGTATTCGGAGAAGACTTTGGATAATTTTTTTTTAATGGTGTAAAATGTATTTTTGCATTTGTATGAAGAGTCCATGTTGTAAAAATTGGCGGGTCGAGAGAACGAATACAAAAATTATCACCCGTTTCACATGTGAATTAAATCTGAAGGTTATTTAATGTTGTAGCTCAGCAATAATCATGGCATGCTTATATGGTGCAAGTAGGGGCAATCAATAAATTATGGTTACAATTTGCAGAGGTTATAGTTGATCCATGGCATCTTGTTGAGAAGTACTTGTTCGGCTTGGATGCCTCACTTTCAGTCGATTGTTGGTAACATCTTCAATTGAATGTGAAACACTTTGTAAATAATTTTCAGCCAGCTCAAGCCTCTTTTTCAAAATTTGTGTTTGAATTTCATTTTGTGTCTGGTAATCTTTCAATCGATTCATTTGATCGTCTTGTGAGCGAATAAGCGTCGGTAATTCATCTAACATTTTTTCAAATTCCAAACAAGCTGCAACTAAATTTTCTCCTGCTGTTGAAGCCTCTTTTTTTAATTGCTCCGGTGTCCATACAGTTTTACTCGTATCGGAAACCATTGGAATATTATTCATGACTTGATAATCAGTGATTGCTGGAGGAGCATCTCTTTGTAACACTCCGAGAGAATCTACCATAACCCTCGAAATATGGCAAAGCTTGTCCTGTAAATGCGTAATCTTATCACCCATGTGTGGTGTGCAGCTGATGAAAAGCAAATATTTTTTTTAAATTAAAAATGCTCCATCATAAGCCTGGTGATGATCCCAATAACACATCCTTTTCATCAACGACAACACGAGAGGCTTCATATCCGAATAGACAAGCAGAGATTGAAGCACTCAAATCACCTTTTAGTACAAAACCCGTAACGTTGGAAGAGGTGGAGAAGGAAGTTTTAGCACAAGGTGTATTTGATAATTGGTGCGACCGTTTGTTTTCAGAGTTTGATAAATCGGTAAGGGTCATGTGATGGAGGTACTTGAAACCAACTGATCCGATTATTTTAAACAATGTTATTATTCTTGTGATGATGATGTATTGGGTGATGAACAACAATTCCGATATGTGATGAATCATTGGCTTATCCATTCCGATGTCTACCTAACATGACATTATTTTACACTACTTTCAATACGTATACATATATACATAGGAATTGAAAAAATCCCTCCTAAATGACGTTTCTTCTCTTTTAGAAAATATTCTCAATAATAACCAAAGTTCCAGAGAAATACCCTCTGTGCAAGAATTGCTAACTCAAATTGATCGACATGAAGACATTCAAAGAAAATTACAATGTTGGATTCACAGAAATCTATATCCACATAACAGAAATGCACCAAACAACAGACGTGATATTATTCCAGAAATTGCAACAGAAATTGAGAACACCATTGATGACACAATTCGAGAATTGCAAGAAAATGCTTTTTCAGCAACTGAGAAAAAGATAAAAAGCTTGGAAAGGAGGGAGAGATTGGAACAAAAAGCTTCAAATTATAAAAATCTTACTGAGGAATTAACAAAAGGAGGAGAAAAAGTTTTGGACGAAGAACAACTAAGTGGACTAGTTCATGCTAAGCTGAAGAGAAAAGAAATGTCATCTAAGGATGTTTGGGATGACGAGGAGGTCGAACTTTCTGTAGAGCATACCAAATTCATAACACACGACTCGAATGTGAATGAGGAATTATTTCCAATGAAGAAACGAAAATTTACCAACCTCAATACCGCCACAGCTGCTTCATCAACAACAACAAACAACACGGACAATGAAATTAAAAAAGAATAAACAATTGTTTGTCGAAAACAGATTGTGAATACTTATGAGCAACGAAATCGAATAGATAGAAAATCAGCTTCGTTGGAAAAAAATGTTTATTGAGGAGGAAAGCAAAAGGCTCGAACTGTCAAAAAAAACCATAGCTGAATCTAGAATTGTTTAATTTTCTTCTTGTTAGAAGGAAGGCAAACGTTATCAAACTCATGTTGATAACAAGTGGATGTCGAAGGCTTTGGATGTTCTTTTCTCTTCTTTGGATTCTCACGTTCAGATTCTGCCTTTCTCATCTCGATTTGTTGTTTAACCCAATTTTCATTCAAAGGGGTAACATGTGAAGGAAGAGTAACGGTGGATTCGTGTGGTTGTGGTGATTGTGTGAACCAAGGATGATTAAGAGCTTGTTTGGCAGAGATACGTTCACGTGGGTCTAACTTTAAAAGTTTTTCGAGGAGGTCTACAATGTGAGGATTGTAGTCAGCAAATTCCTTAAACTTTAAGCGGAGCGTGTTAGGAATGACTTTGTTTGAAAAATGTTCACGGTAGGTCGAATGCTTGCATGCATCAGGCCAATTTCGTTGATTTGGAGTTCCCAAAATTTGGAAAATCATACCCAATTGTTCAATCTCGTCAACACCAGGAAAGAGTGGAGCTCTCAAGAGCAATTCAGCAAAGATGCAACCCAAGCTCCACATGTCAACTTCTGCACCGTATCTGCTTGTACCATGTCTATCAACCAAGAGTTCTGGAGGTCTGTACCATAAAGTCACAATATTTCTGGAAAAGTGTTGTACTAGCCCAAGTTCTTCAGGATGGATACGTCTACTCAGATTGAAATCTCCAAGTCTAACTTGTCCATTCGAATGCAAGAACACGTTTGATGCTAGTAATGATTGTAAAAAGGTTGTTAGTGGATATCAAAGCAAAAAAAAGAGAGACCATACTTTTTAAATCACAGTGGACGGAACCACTTTCATGAATAAAAGCAAGAGCACTCAATAATTGCTTCATCACAGACTTGATAAATGCTTCGTCTAACACTGACTGCAAGCAATTAACAATTCCAGAAAGGTCATGAGGAACATACTCCATCACCATACAAATTGTACTATCATCATCAGTCATGAACACTTCTTGAAGCGCTACAATGTTCTGATGTTTGAGAGAACGTAGGTGAGTCAACTCTCTAACTACAGCAATTGGGATACCGTCTTCATCGTTGGCAAGTCTAATAGTTTTAATAGCTACCAACTTGTTGCTGGAACGGCATCTTGCAGAGTAGACACGCCCATATGCGCCCGAACCAATTTCAACCACCTCCTTGTATTTATCCCACTCGACACTGATATAGATATATAACACAACAACAACGATGAGCGACGAAGAGTAGTAGGTGTTTTATAAATGCGAAAACAAAAAACAACAACAACCAAATACAATCATCATCACGAAGGCAGAATAAAATACAAAAAATATAGAGACATAGAGATGACGATGGTAATCATAAATAAATCAAAAAACCAGCGTTTTGATAATGAAAAAGTAATCATCATGATGAAGAAATGAAATGGCGGTTATTAAAATTGCGAAAACGTCGCGACTTTGTACGTTACCTTCTGAAAACTCCAGAAGCAGAGCTGGATGAACGAGAGGATGTGTTGAGTTGAGGCATTTTTGCGGTGAAAGGCGATGACAAAAATAACCGCCAACCGTTTTTTAAAATAGATCGCTGGTGATGCCTTCAACTTCGAAAAGCAGATCAAGGTCTTTATTGTTGGAGATTCCAACATCATCTTGTTGTCCAATGACCAAATCCTGGCTACACAGTTACAGAATGAATAAAACTTTCTTTGAAATCTTCAAAGGTTCCTTGTTGTATACGTTCACGAATCTTTTTAAAGAAGGAAAGATATCTGTGAAGATTATGCCTGTTGTTTGGTTCAATTACGTTAAAAAGACAAGTGTCACGTTAACACTAAGGGTTCCTTATTACCTATCAATACTTACATGGTCAACAAAATTTCTCCCAACATTTCATGAGTGTTCAATAAATGATGAATATAGGCCTTTGTATGATTTCTACAGGTGAAACATTTGCACTTTGAATCTAGTGGAGAAATATCCTTTTCATAATTTCGGTCTCTTAGATTGATGGTCATGTTTGATTTTGCTGTGCCGTGTGATGCATCTGACACAACTTCGTCCACAGGATACACACATGCCATTCCCATTTCAGCTGCAATGAAAGGATAGACACCGTCAAACAGGTCAACTCCCTTTGCAACACACTCTAACACTTCGAGAGGATGATCCTTTCCAGAAATAAATAACAACAACTTGTTCATGTCACAGTTTTGTTTGGTCTTGAGATGTTCCTTAATTTTTTCAATTTTCTCTAAACTATCCATTTGGCCAATATCAATGTTAATTCCTCTAATATTATTTGTGTTAGAGAAATATTCTTGCGGCAGCAACGTTGTCATCTCATCATTGTCATAAAAAACAGAATAAAACATTTCGGGGATGTGTAACGTCTTTCCAGAGTCAACAAGCTCTTGTCTTTTAACAACACAATGCTGACCCCATTTTTCGGAGCACGTCTTGGCTCGCTTCCATTGCTTTCCACTTCCAAAAGTGCCATTCACAGCACATTTAATACTTGTGTCATGCATTCCAATAAATATAGCTGGATTAAATAGGTCAAACGTCTGGCTTGTGAACTCATCAGCTGATGTCTTGATTCTTCCCTTGTCTAAATCTGCGTAAATACCCTTCTCGTTGGCATGACTAGTTGGATACGGAAATTCAACATTACGTATTGTCTGAAAGAATGGATACTTTTCCAAGTGTAAATAATTTGCGAGTGTTTTTTCTGGGTGATCCTTTTTGTATTTTACCAATACATCAAGGCTTGGATTTTCCATCAAATCCCAATAATTAATATTCAAGATGACACTTTCGTTGGAACCAAGAACATTTTCAATCAATTCATCAAAATGATCGCAAGTAATACTTGGAATAGCTCCTCTACGCGTATGAACAATATAGGCAGGGGTAGAGTATTTCTTTTCCGAGAATTGTGGGAATGTAATGGAGCCTGTTCTTGCCTGTGATTGTGTGGAAGATGATGAAATTGAGAATTGCATTTTTTTATGGTTGTGAATTTTTAAAAATTTCGAAATTAGCTTACTTCAAATTCATTTTGTTTGGTGTGTGTCAATTAATTGTTCGTTGTGTTCGGTAGCCAATTTAAAACTTGGTTCTTTTGCAATTATATATTTTTAGACTTGATAAAGCCATCGTTTGGCTTGAACTTCAAAAGAAAAATGACGCAATCCAGAAAGCATCACACCTTTAGTGCTCAACAAAAGAAGCAACAACTTCAAGATAAACGGAAAAAGAAAAAGGAGAAGGAAGAACGGAAGGATGATCTGTATGATTGGTCTAAATGGAAGGAAGTCAATTATGATAATGTCGAGGACCAAAATGAAGAACATGCCGATGATCAAAAAACCATGGTGAACGTTCCGAAGGCTAACCCTTTAGAAAGAATGGGTGAATCGTTTGAAGAAGAGCCTGAAATAAATGATGGAGATGATGCTGGAAGTGTTGATTCATCCTCAGAAGACGAAGGGTCAACATCATCGGGTGATGAATCAAATAACAAACTAGATCGAGAATATACATCCATGGTCACATCTGAATTTAAACTGAAAACTAAATTTGCAAAAGAAAGTGAAGATATTGTTCAGAAGAGAAAGATGGAAAGCTTACGACCATTAGAGCCTTACTTGAAGCGTCCACCAAAATTCAAGTCACTTCAAGCCGAGATAAATGAAGGATTTTCAATGATACCGATGCCAATTCAGCCTCCAATTGCTCCTGGAATGACAAAAGAACAGGTAGAAAGAATGGAAGAAAATTACTTTAAGAAGTATCTTAGTGAACAAATTTATGGAAAGCACAAGCAAGAAGATTTGAATTACTTTGAAGAGAACGTACATGTTTGGAAGCAATTGTGGAAAACCATCGAGCTGTCTGATATTCTGTTTGTAGTGGCAGATATTAGACATCCACTTTTGCATTTTCCTCCTTCTCTTTACGAGTACATCACAAACGTTTTGAAGAAACCTTTCATACTAGTTCTAAATAAGTGTGACTTGATTTCACAGGAGAAACAGCAACGGTGGATCAAGTGGTTCAAAGACAACTATCCAAATGTTCAAGTGTGCTTGTTTACAAGAGGTACAGGCTCAGGTAAAAAAACAAAAAGCAAAGAGGTGAAATTGGAGGAGCTTAAAATCGAAAAAGGCTACGCCAAGAATATTTGGCGAGTTACCAAGTCTTTATACGAGACCTTCCATATCGAAAAGAACAAAAAGTCAAAGGAAGATGAGCAGCTAGTCGTTTCTCAGCTCGTAAAGGAAGATTTTGAAAATTTAATGGCTGATTGTGACAAAGTTGAGCTACCCACTCCAAAGCCAAAGCTGAAAATGAAGAAAAAGTTAAGAAAAGAAAGAGAGGCCAGAAAAATGGAAAATAATCCTGCTGAGGTAGAAGAAGAAGTATCGAGCGAGGAAGAAGACGAAAGTGACAAGAGCGAACAACAAATAGATTTAGATAAGAGATATGACGGCTGTGTGATTGGCTTTGTTGGTCATCCAAACGTAGGAAAATCAAGTATCATCAATGCCCTTACAGGTAAAAAGGTTGTATCAACATCATATACTCCTGGACACACCAAACACATCCAGACGCTCTATTTGGAAACCAAGAATAAGATGATTCAATTCTGCGATTGCCCAGGATTAGTATTTCCTGCTGTTGGTGTCTCCAAAGCTCTTCAGATTTTATGTGGAATTTATCCAATCAGTCAAGTACGAGATCCATATAGTGTCGTTCGATATTTAGCAGAGAGAATTGACCTTGTGAGGCTTCTCAAACTTCAACAAGACGAATATGATGCTGAAAATAATATTCCGTGGTCTGCCTGGACGTTATCAGAGGCCTATGCTCGAAAGAGAGGATACATGACAAAGAAGAATGCACGACCTGATGTATATAGAGCTGCCAATGAACTCTTACGTCGTGTCTTGAAAGGCGATGACCCAGCCTTAATATTAGCATTTGATCCTCCCGGCACAGCAGCTGTTTCGAATCAACAAGATCACAGCTCCTCACCAAGCTCATCTTCTGATGGTCAACAAATCAAAAGAAGAAACAAAAGAAGAAGAAAAATGATATGGATTATATCAAGGAGTTAGAGAGAGACACTATGAATCTTGCCCTCGATGAGGAAGAACAATAGCAGTGCATTTCTCACAGTCTGTTCTTCCCAATTTACGAATTATGTGTAGAAATAATTTTTCAACGCAATTTGGAGTTAAACCCTGGCACATGATCCTCAATTAGCTCCATGTCTCAAATGGAAATTTCTCAAATCCTCATTCTTCGAGAAGAATTCGAATTAAAAATTTGAAGTGAATGCGTTTCACCAACTGCAATTAATATCTCATTCACATCATGCTCAAATACTATGAATGCACTTATTGCTTCGGTATACTCATCGTGCTTCTCATCGTCGGAGCTCTCTTCTCGTTGGGAGTGGCTGGGTTAATCGAGTTATCGATTCACGATCCAAACCAAGTCAAAGACTCTCCTCAATGCAAATTACACACCATCTATGCACTGTTTCTTGCCTATTCACTGTTGGATGTGACTTTTCTTCTCAATGTCTTTTTCTCTGCTATCAGAAGGAAATCCGATCAATGGGTCATGGTATCTGCTTGTTGCAATTTCATTGCATTGGTCACTTGTGAGGCCTTGTTGATTGCTTTGAGTGTTCTATTGTTTCGATTCGAATGTGATTATGAGAAGGATATGAGTGTTCAACCCATCGCTATTTTGGTCTTGATTGGATTATGTTTGAATACGAGTGTGTTGTCATGTATCATTTTGGGTTGTTGTTGTTGGATGTGTGGCGTGTTGTGTTTGGCATTTCCAAGAATCGGTTACGAGTATTTGTAATCATCAAGAACTTCATTGGCCATGTTGAATCACTGAAGAATCACAGAAAAAACATGAGAGTTGAAGTTAACTAAATATGGAAAAGTTCAAAGCGAATATTGAACACACACTCTATTATTCAGTTTCAACTTGTGAAATTATTAAATTCCAAATTTGATCTCTCTTTTCAGTATCATTCTCAATTCCCATAAAATTTGTAATTAAATCTCCATGATAGAACGATTCGAGAAGGTAAAATTGCACATTTTTAGATAAATCTGAAAGTTTCTGATAAAAAGATTCCGACTGTATGTAGGGACAGGTAATATCCTTCTTTCCATGAGCAATGACAGTGTGTGGCCATTGTGAAAATAAAATTTTCAAGTCTTGATCACCTTTTTCCTTTTTTAAAAAATCAATAATTACGGAAGGAGAAAATTGTGAAAATCTTTGAGTTCCTTTACACACTTTCCACATGGGTGAAATGATATGAACTTGTCTCTTCTTTTCATATTCGTAATGAGTTACCATGTCATACACTCCACACAGCAATACAAGTTTTTTCACTTGATGAATATTCCAATCGGTGGATTCATATTCAATGGATTTAGAAATCTTATTCATGAACACACAGGAAAATAAGTGAGCACCTGCAGAGTGTCCAACGAGAACAAATTCTGGTTCTTCTATCAGTAATTTGGCACGTTTCATGACAAAATCAATTCCTCGATCGACATCTTCAATCATTTCTTCTAAATGACCTTTTGGAAATAATGTGTAATTCAAGTTGTAGCATAAATAGCCATTTTTTTGACATACGAATTTGGAAAAGTTATGATAGAGATCTGCATGTCCACTGTGCCACGTTCCACCTTTTAAAATATTTGTTCAAAAACCATAGATGGAAAGTAAATTTTCAAATTTGGAAATGTAAATTTTTGAAATAAAATTCAAACGAACAATGGTTAGTCACCTTAATTTCATCAACAACACGCACCATGAAGGAAAATCACAACTCGACATGTTCCAAATTTTTTTCCAGCCAAATTTTCTTGCCTTACTTTCATCGGAATGTATTCATTCAAAGTTTGTCGTTCTCGTTGCTCCGCATATCTCATTCCATAATTCAAAATAAAATTATTTTCAGAGTCTTTGGATGTTTGTGGAGAAGCTCCAAACACAGCTCGAACCCAATGAAACATGAAATTTCTCACAACGTTCAACATTCGAGTGGTTTTTGAAAATTTCACACACGACGATGAATGAAATTCATGATGATTCGTGGTCGTGTCTTGAAAGACATGAAATTCATTTCGGAAAAACCAAGGAATGTGTTGTATTTGATACCAAATGATATCGAGAATGATTAATAATTCACAATATTTGCGATAGAGCCAAGAAAGTGAAAACATTTTTTTTCTCCGAATTAAAATATTTCTCCTCGAATAGAACAATAAACTAATTAAAAGTTCGTTGGTCTTTGAAAAACTGGAAGCATCATTGGATAAAGAAATTTGGAAGCTATCCTTCAAATACTTTTCATCGAATTTCGGTCCTTGTTTTATTACTTGGACTAAACACTAGTTTTGGAGCTTTCATTCTTTGGTCATTGTGAAGTATGTAAAGAGAACAGAGAAAAACCAGATCCATAGTACTCATGTTCACAACTGAACACAACATTGTTTCAAACTCAATTTGATATCTTTTGTAAAGTGTTCACGTGCACCATGATGCGAAACCCACAAACTTTAAAAAAAAATGTATGTTCACAATGATCCCGCCAACGTTTCATCCTTCTAACACCATAAATTCCTTTTGAATATGTACATGATACTCATCATCACGATGATCCAACATCATCATCATAATTTTGTAACATGTGAAAAATACTCAATCATAGACAACACTTCTCTGATCATACAACATGTCATCCCATCAAATTTTCGATTCTCTCACGAGCGGTAAAACCGTTGCAGAACGAGCTCGCTACATTCCTCTTCGTTTAAATTTACACGAACGAAAAAAGTTGAGATTATTAGAGGCTGCTTTGAACGTGAGTGAATATACCGATAAGATTGATACTATTCGGACCATGGGTAAATTGAAAAGAATTAAAGAACAATGTGAAGAAATTTGTGCCATTTTGTGTGGATTGATGGTTGCTGCAGATTACAAGATGGGTCAAGAATTGATTGCGAATAAGAATTTTAAGGACAATGAAGAGTTCTTTCAAGAAATGTAAGTTGTGAACCATGGTGTGAATAGAGATTGAAAAGAATTTCATGATTTTGAAAACATGAATATCCATTGAAATGTAATGATATAGCTTTGAAATTGGAAGAAGGTATGTGAAAATTGTACACAAATTTGCAATATGAAATGTGTGTGTGTGTGGAATTTGTATTGGGTATATCATACATGAAATTGATGTTTTTTTTTAATGTTCATTCTGTCATGTCAACAACCGAATAGATACAAAATCATGAATCCAGAAAAGATGAGAAGTACCTATGGAAAATTATGTTACATTATTCAAGATTCACAAATTCCAGAAGTTCAAGAAATGCTTGGATTTAAATTAGATCATCCTGTTAAAACAGTTTATTGGTTTTTAGAACAAAAGGGTGTTGCTGAGCTACTTGAAGATCCAGACATTAATTCTGCAACCAATGAAATATTTGCTGATGGAAAATCAAGAAGTTTGGTTGAACACGAAATCAAACTTAAAGAACAAGCAGTTAAAAGAATTTGTAAAAAGTATTCTGAAATGCACGATATTGAACCAGAAGAGATTGAAATGTGTCTCTACTCCATCAGTGATTCGAGTAGTTATTTAAGACAAGCAGTGTATCCTGTTGACACCATTCTTCAATTTTTCCTTAATAATTTCACACGTGACAATTATGAAGAAGGAAAATCATTGGCTATTCAAGCCGGAAGAGAGGGAGCTCGTCTTTCACATAACCATGCCATTCAATTTGATTTTGTGTATCAAACTCTCATGCTTTGGAAGGTACGTAAAAATTTCACACAACTAATTTACGTAAATTGTGTGAAATCATTTTGTGAAACCATCATCATGACTATTCTCATATTTGTTGTGAACAACTTGAAATGGTCCTCCTCATGAATATGAACACAATAGAATGTTGGAAGAGACATGTTTGAATTATGGTTTTTAGCTGAGAGAGATTTATTTTCTTCAGATTATCCATACTCGTTAACCAATACTGGGCAAGGTCTTAACAGAGTTCAATATTCCCCACTTGTGAGAAGAGCAATGGAAAAAATTTTATTGCAAACACAAAGAAGCACATCTTCATGGGTTGGTTCTTCTGTTATTCACCTTGGAGATGATGCTGTGCCAAATGCGTTGATGTTTATTGATAAGTATACACAAGGTATGTGGTTTTGAAGTATAATGTAATTTTTTTGACACATCTTTTTACTGTGAACTAGTTCCAAGAATTTTGAATGTAAGTTTGTTATATTTTTTTTGACCAATTCATTGTGCGAAAATGGGGATATCTTATGGTGCAGCCAATTATTCAAACGTTGAGAGAAGTTGACAATTACTTGGTCAAGGACGACAATTTAAAGAAATATATCGATGAGACCTTTGGAGGTCCCGAAGAAGCAAAATTAATGATTTTATTGGATTTCTTTAGGTAAGTTTCACATTGAACATTGTGACACCAAATTCTTAATGTCAACATTCAAAGACATGGATTTGATGGCAGTGGAGCTGATAACTTCTTCATGGCAGGTTCATGTATTGGTATGTTTTTCAATAATGACACTATCTTTTTCTAATTTCATGAATCATCCTTAGATGGAAGATTGACCTCAGCATGGAACTGGACCAGTAAGATTAATAAGAAAGCATACTATCCTCTCTTTCTTTTGGGCGGTTTCATTGGTTTCGATGGAGAATTTAGAGGATAATGAGCTAACAAGATTGTTGGTGACACAAGATAACCATTGTGTATTAATTCATGGTAAACAACGTGGATCAAAAGTCGGCAATAAATCACATAACAATTCAATCCAATTGTGTGATCATTTATCTGTTTTTTTGTTGTACCAGCCTTCAAAGAAAGAATCACTGTTACTGACATTGTCAAACATGTTGTCTTCTGCACCAGGTGAACCAAAGGTCTCGCTTGGAAGAGGTTGAGGAGTCATAGCAACTGCAGTTTCTTCTTGAGTAGGAGTCATTGCAGTTGATTCTTCTTGGAATATACTAAACATCCATACATAACCAAAAACTGATCCATTGTTTTCTGTCACTTTTTGTCCGTAACAATTCATCTTCAGATTGGAGTTGATAAATTGCGAGGAGTCAGGAGACATTTGAGCCTCTAGCTTATCAGGTAGATCCAATAATACCGTGTTTGCCAAAATTTCCATGATCGTACCTTTCATTTCTGGTATGTCGTAGAGCCTTCTTCCGAAAAAGCTTTTTCTAGTAGCATTAAACAGACTATCAAACTGTTCATTATTCCACAATATCACAGCATTCCTGTCATAAAAACATGTTGGTTGTTTTGATCCAAAAAGTCTCTCTAATATTTTCAAAAACATTTGTTGAAATGTGAATGAACTGTCTTGAAGCAATGATTCTCTTGTAATAACATTCAAGTCATAATCTGGTCGCAAAAACTCTAGTTGTGAATGAGGTATATATTCTTCGGTGCTTGGCATCTTGATGTTAGGTTGTGATAATCTAATAACTATCCATTGGGGTAAACCTAGCTCATTTCTAATACAGCAAAATTCGGTTGTTAATAATAAACATTTTCCTATTCTATTCACAAATCTAATGGGATGTTTGCATGAGTCCGTATTTGTGCTAAGCATTTGCAACAGTAGAATGTCGTGTTTGATGATATCTTGTGGGTGAAGAAAATTTTGAGCCATCGCCTGAAACTCTAACTCTCCAACATTGGAAAATCCCAACATGTCTTTCATGGCTTCGTTAACTTTAACAATGAAACCGTCCAACAACGTTACCATGCTTGGAATTGTGTGGTTAATAATTGCTTTGTCGTCACCAAGAATATCTATAATCGATCCAATAACAGAATTTTTTTTCCTGTTGTTAATTATTTGAAGTCTAGAACTAGATTGATTAATGGGTACCTTGTGCACCTTTTTTCCTTTTGATTTGTCTCCATAAAAGCACCCTTTTGGTTTTTGTTGAAGAGGAGGATATGGATTTGAAAATTCTGGAAATTGAGGCACGTCTTGCCATGATGAATAATCCAGTTCTTCACTGAGAAAATTGCCTGCTGAGGGTGTCGGTGTTATGGTTGAGTTTACATTTGTTGAGGGCGTCAATTTGGGCATTAAAAGATCTGAAGGAATATTGTTAATAAAATTGTTGGATCCCATTGAAATTGGTATGGAAGAAAGAGATGAAGTAGAGGAAGAAATAGGGGCTGTGATGGACTCTGTTGATGCTCCAGTATTACTAGCACTAGATTTGGCCATGGCTTCAGCATCTTCAGTGGATTTACTTCTTTTGGTAGCTTCTATTTTCTTTGTTGTTTTTTTCTGTTTGGTTTTAAGCTCAGTACCTCCCAGTGACGCGGATGATGACTTTTTTTGCTTTGATGTCTCACTGGAAGATGTCTTAGTGTTTGAAACGCTTGTTGTAGAGGCAGTATTTGGAAGTGACGTTGAACTTGATGTTGTTGGTTGTTGTTGTTGGGTAGAGCCCGTGTTGCCCATTAATTTGTTTCGTCGCTTCTTCTTTTTGTCTTGTTCAAGTTTAAGATGAAATATAAATTCTTCTTGTGGTCCTCTCTTCTTTCCACACCTCATCTTTCTCTTCTTCTTCTCCACAAGATTATACTTTTGTGCAAGTAAAATATCAGCCGGTATTGATGCTTCATCATCTTGTTCAATGATAGTCGGACTTGATGGTCTTGGTGGTGGAGACGGTGATCGTTGCTGTGCATTGGGTGATTGTTTTGATGATGCTGATGTGGAATTATTCGTAGTTGAAGAAGACGAAGGTAAGGGGTTTAAAAGCATTGAAGAAACATGTGGTTGAGGTGGCTGCATACCTCCAAACATTTGTAACATTTTCATCATCATCATGGGATCAACATTTTGAATGTTCGGAGAATTTTGATTAGGATTGGCATTATTCAATTGCATACATTGCTGTATCATTTGCATCATCACCATGGGGTCATCCATTGGTCCATTCATTACTAACGAAGGAGGTGGAGGTAAATTATTAGAAGATGTCGATGATGATGATGATGTATTTGGTGTATTCGTATTGTTACTGGGATTGTTGTTATTGAGACTCATTGGCAAAATGGTTGACGTGCGGATTTTGAATAATTAGGGTTATGGATGATGGGGAGATGTTCGTGGTGGGATATGGTACCAAATCACGATTGGGAGCAGGATGGATGATGGTAGTAGTGAGAGTATCAACAACAAGGCTTTCTCTCAAAGAAGGCTTTTCAATAAATTATTGATCGGTTGAATCGTTTCCAATTTGACAGCGCTATATTGCGTTATCCACACACAATAACTACTAATATCAGTTGATTGTAATGTTGTTGATGGTGGATTTGATGATGAAATAATCCGCGGTTTGGTTGCCAGAGAGAGTCTACACGCGTGCTGCTATTACTACCACGCTTTTGAAAAAGGAACCAATCAACACTACGGAACAATTCAAAGTGAATGAAAATACACCCTAATAACGGTGGTACTTGATGTTGTTATTGTTGTTTCAAATTTCACCTGAAGTGGTTTCTTCTTCAGGACTCCACGTGCGTGTTACCACAATCACAAAAAGTGTGCGAAGAGAGAGAAATGAAAAATTCGCGTGTTGGAATTTTTTTCTTTGAAATCAAAAATCAACCTCAGAAGGCAACCTTCGTGACACCATCACTTCTAAAACTTATGAAGAACAACAAGAAGAACACAAAGAATTACAAGTGTTTAATAATGGTGAAATGATACGTCTGTGCAATTAGAAATGAATTGTTTATTCAAAACCTTTTAAATTTCCATAAAAAATGCAACCGTGTACGTTGTGTGAGGCGACGGTTAAGAATTATGTGTGTTCGTCGTGCTTGACCGAAGCAACTCGGAAGAAGATAGAATCCATTATGAAATTACAAAAGAAGAGAGATGAATTGAAGAAAAAAGTTGAAGAGCAAATAATCACTCCCGAGAAGGATTTGAAATCCCGAGAACGAAATATTCGGAATCAAAAACAAAGAAATAATACTCTCCGGGAATATGTAAAACAAATACAACAGGAAAATACTGTGCAAGAACAAATCACGACTAAAAAGTTTGAAGAGCATATTGCTCGGACAAAATTATTTGCTGCGAGCAGATCTGAACTTGTAGAAATTATGAAAACAAACAAAATTAGACCTTCAAACGAAATTGAAGATCAAGATGGTTTCATCAGAAATAGAAGACAATATTGTAGCAATTTATTTCAATCTTTTCCAATATTTACAAATAAGGGCAGAATCACGACAAAAATCTATGAACGATCCACCTGTATATTGTGCGCTCCAAATAGTAATGTGTTGTACTTTTTACATAGAGAGTTTCATTTGCCCATTGGTGTTGTGAATGAAGGATTTGATTTTATTGAAGCAATTTTAAAACATGACAATCCAGAATATATTCTTAGCCAAAACAAGCTTAACCCGTTGAGTTCGTTCAAAGAATATTGGCCATCACAAAATGCACTGTCTGGAATGCTTGGATACATTGTACTAATTGTTCAACAGCTGTCAAACATTCTTGAAATTCCCCTTCCATACAAAATGGAATACAAAGGATCAAAATCTATCATAATGGATATTGTTGGGTCAGAAATGAAAAAGAAAAGGATTGACAGCACTGACTCTTCCATGGTGGATTCACCTTTTGAATCTCCATGTCACTATGTTCCTGAGCCCCGATACAAGAAATATGCTCTTTATGAGAGCGATTCAACGTTTAACACTGAGCCAATCCAAGTTACGCCTTTCAGTTTGAGCGATATATCTTCTGCAGGCTCTGGAAAATCCCTTCTCAACTTACCTTCTGGTAAAGAAGAGGGAAACCTTCTGTCTTCACTCAATTCTAGAGAACAATTTGCTGAGAGCGTGCAATTATTGAATGATAACATTGTAGCCATTTGCCACGCTCAAGGCATTGTGGTCTCCAAACATAACAGTAACAACTTATTTCACAATTTATTAACATTGTACCACTATGAGAATATTGGACGTTTAGGTCCCTTCTCATTCTATGGATTTGCCAAACATAGGAATGCAAGTTCTAACGCCACCATCACTCACTTCAAATCAAATATTATGGAAAACTACTATTACGACCAGGCCATGGATATCATGAGAAAGATAATTGTAAATCCACCTGAAGATCTTTGCGTGCCTCAAAGGCCTGCAACTTTTAAAGATATGTTTGCAAACATTATTCAGGAAAATTATCTTCATGATGACGATGACGACTGAATAATAACAGTGTGAATAATAATTGTGTGAAATCATTTCATGAATTTGTACATATGATAACGGAACAAAATAATTTATTATTTACTGTAATTAATTGTGTTTTCTTCATATTCATCTCGCTCAAAGTGTTGAGCTAATCTAGTGGATTCATTAACCTCATCCATAGATGCATAATCTTTCCTTCTACAACTCACAACAACGCTAATACAGACCACGACAGCCATCAGGATGACAGTCATTCCTGCTGCTCCAAATAAAAATGAAGAAATACTGTTCAAGATTTTGTTAAAACTCAATGAATTCCTGAATTGAAAGACTTACCTGAACCAATCATCACCTTGATTCTCTTTCCAGAGTAACAATGTAAACGTCCTAATTTTTCCAGGAACAAGATCCACTCTCGTAAAGTTCATACGATTCTTAATCATGTCATTCAAGGAAAGAGTATTTTCTGCCACTTGCGAAAGAGTGTACTGTGAAAATATGGATTCTGGATACAACGTTACTGGAACAGAGAAAATAGAACTTTCATCTTTCTCATAAATATGATGAAATCTAAGAACAGTAAAGTACGATGTCGCTTGATCACTATCATTTCTTCTTGTTTGAAGAGACAATAAATGTACATTCGATGGGAGAGCATCCACAAATCTCTGATTCACATGATATTGTAAAGTAAAACCTCCAATCGCTTGTTCAATATCATGTCTTGTAATAGAAGCAACGTTGGTGGCAATAGAGACGGATTTTGAAACAATCTTTAACGCTGGATGATTGAACAGTTTGGCAATTTTAGGTCTAAAATTATTGGATTCATAAGGATTGGCAAGCAAAACTCGTAATGGAATGGTAATGACTTGCGTGACATTGAGATTTTCAGCCAGACCTCTGTCATCATCTGTTAATGTATTTCTATTTAACATGACTTCAATAGATCCATTAGAAAGACTGGAAACTCCCATTGCTTGTTTTGTGAAGAGAGTTAATTGAATATTGTTTCCTTTCACAAAGGCAGACTCCACCAGCGGGAAATAATTTCCACTAATTCTATTGTACAGAGAAGTGTCATTAAATTTCACAGGTTGGAAGGGTCGTTCGATCATTTCAAATCCATTACTATCGGTATATAACTGAGTTTGTGTGTTTTCCATTGAAAATCGAAGAATTTGTTCTTGATTGTCAGGTGTCTGCACACTCGTAATCACATCAAAAGATAAACCCTGCTCTGCATATTCGTTTTCATTGTAGAGAATGAATGTTTGTGTGACATTATTGGTGTATCTTTGGCTTAATATTTGAACAACATTTCCTTGTGAGAATTTGCAATCGAGATAGGCGTCTTCGAACTGAAGAGCAGAAGCTTCTCCTAATGGTCTGAAAATATATGCTCCATCACCGAATGAAGTATATTGCATGATTTGTTGTGAAAGTTGAGTACTGACACCTGTCAACTTGTTTGTCACGCTCTTGAGAAGATATGGCAGCTTGCCATTCGAAAGCTCAAAAGCAACACTCACAAAGTTATTTTCCATGAGGATGGTGTTGTTGTAATTCTGGTAAGAAGAGGTAGCTTTCTCAACGTTGGAAAGTTTCGTCGGTTGTTGCATGATAAAAACAGTTACATATCCAACAGGAGGTAAAGCAACTCTGAAATGTAAATGTAAATTGGAATTAACGTCCTCTACCACTTGAGATTCAACATCTAATAAATTTCCAGTTTCGTCGTCAATGATAAATACCATGGCATTCTTACTTTTCACTAAAACTGAAACATATTCTTGAACAGTCCAAGCGAGCGAGTTGAATAGTGCCATTGAGTAAATTTGGTTCATGTCGTTAAGAATGTGAGTCTCTCCAAGAGTGGCGTTCAATTTGTTGCGAGTAGCAGTAGATTTCACGGAAATGTAATCGAACAATGTTGAAGTCTTATTTTTCACAATTTCTGTGGCGTTCTGAATGATATCTGTGTAATTCTTCAAAACAAATCTTTTCTCTGTTCCTGTAATTGCATCGTGGTGAAGCGCAAGAGCAAGACCATTTCGAAGTCCTTGTAGGGCTTCTTCTGCTTCTTGCATTGTTTGAGCAATATTCTGGTTGAGATAGGCTTCAACCTTATACATTTCAGCTTGGCAGATAGTGTAAATGAATTCACAATTTCTCAAAAATCTTTCTCCCTCACGTATAACAGCTTTGAATTGAGGTTCAGATGTGAAATATCCAGACCAGTATCCGTTACAATTTCCGAACTGATCATGATCACTTCCCCAACAAGTATCATAGGGGAAGTAGTCGCTATATCCAAATTCATTGTTATATGTTTTAAGAGGAAATGATTCTATGGGTGCATTGTTTGTCACACTTTGGAAATATTCACTCAATGTGGAGTATCTTATATGAATCTGAAACCGATTAAAATTGCTATTGATGTATGAAATTAATTTGTCCATATTGTCCCACATGAGATTGGCTTTTTGGAATCTAAAATCATTACCAAACGGTATTAAAAAGTTATTAGTCCGGTAACTCTTATTTGTAACATTTTTGATATAGCTCACTAACAATGATGCTCGTTCATCAATGTTCTGAGGAGTGATGGGAGGATTGACAGTTGGATCACCCTCGAAATCAAATCCAGTACATTCACCATTGTCAAAACAAATTTCAGGAGCAGAGTAGTGATGATCAAGAACATGTGTGAAAATACAAGCAGTAGGATCCGATTTTGAAGGGCACCAATTAAATTCAAAGCGCTTTTCAATAATGTACGTCCACTCTCTTTCATAGATGTATACTTGTGTTTTAAACGTTCATCAATTCGATCCAGAATGTGATACTTAAAACCCATTTGTGTGAGTAAATAAGCAAATGTTCTTGATGCTCCAAATGGATCAATTTGCCAACCGACAACCACAGGTGTCACTCCAATATTTTGTTTAACAAATTGATGTCCTTGAGTCATCTGGAATATTATATATTAAATTGTCACATTTTAAATGCTCATGCGAAACAAACCTGATCTATCATGGACTCATAAGTTGGAAGAGCTGCATTCACAATCATCAATTTCAAAAACATAATGGTCATAAAAACTCCAACTTCCAAACTCACCTTCATCATTCATCACCCATCCCCCATTCACAATTTCAATTTGCTTCTTGTTGACCAAATTCACAAAAGCATCTCGTTGTGCCTGTGTTGCATTATTTCTCCACCACATTTCTAAAAATACAGATTCAGACCAAACAAATCTCTTCGTTGGATCTTGACTTAAATACTTGATCACATTGCCCAAAATGAGAGAAACATTATATTTCGAATAAAAATCAACTGTCTCCAGCCATCCAGGGTCGCAATGAGAATGAGCTAAAATATATGCATTAATGATTGGATAATCTCCGGAGATGATATCAGATGATCCTTGAGCATAGGTAGGCTCGAGATCAGCATTGTAGGAAGGAAATTTTCTTTTCCAATCAGCCTCTTTGTTGGTTGAAACAGTAACACTTTTACTTCCGAGGACGGACTCAAATGAAGAGATCAGTACCAATAACACAACGATCAGTACAAGTACTACCACTCGTTGAACGAACAATTTCTTGTCATTGCCGTTGATCTTGAGCCATCCTAGACCAGAGAAAGAGATACTTGGAAAATGATCCCTCGTTAGAGGTTTGGCCATTTTTTTGAATTTTGTGGTTCGCCATCTCATGAGGCCTCACGTTCTCATGTACATGGATGAATGAAAACCGAGTGAGATGAAATTTTGTACACTCGAGAGAAGAATAACTTATCAAAATTTTACAGGTTTTTTCAACTTCTTCAACCATTCACTGTTGGCAATATATTTAACACCTTCTTGGCCAATTTCATTTTTGGTTAAGTCTAAAGAAGTCAGAGTTCTCAAGGATTCACTTGTGGCAATATATTTAACGCCTTCACTGTCAATATTATTGTATCTCAGATCCAAAGAAGTCAAATTTTTCAACCATTCACTTGTAGCAATATATTTAACGCCGTCACTGCCAATATAATTGAATCTTAGATCCAAAAAAGTCAAATTCTTTAAGGATTCGCTGGTAGAAATATATTTGGCACCAACTTTACCGATTGCATCACTGATCAGATCCAAAGAAGTCAAACTCTTTAAGGATGCACTTGTAGCAATATATTTAACACCTTCACTGCCAACCCTACTGAATCCCAGATCTAAAAGAGTCAAATTCTTCAACGATTCACTCATGGCAACATATTTAACACCTTCATTGCCAACTCTAGTGCTGTGCAGTCTTAAAGAAGTCAAACTCTTTAAGGTTTCGCTGGTAGCGATATATTTAACACCTTCATTGTCAATTAGAATGCCTCCCAGATCCAAAAAAGTCAAATTCTTTAAGGATTCGCTTGCAGCAATATATTTAACACCTTCATTGTCAATTTGATTGTCAGCCAGATTCAAAAAAGCCAAATTTTTCAAGCATTCACTTGAAGAAATATATTTGACTCCTTCATTGCCAATTTGATTGTGAAACAGATCCAAAGAGATCAAATTCTTCAACCATTCACTTGAAGAAATATGTTTAACACCTTCATTGCCAACGGTATTGCATCTCAGACTCAAAGAAGTCAAATTTGTCAAACATTCACAATTAGTCAAAAGTTTGATTGGTTTTAAAAATTCTTTGAAGTGATTTTGTGCGAATGATAATGAAAGAGGAGTTTGAAATGATACATGTCTCCATTGTTTTGAAATTTTCATACAAATTTGAATGATAAACATTGAATCAAGGAAATGAAGAATTTCAAAAATAATATCATCAACAAATGGTCCATTGATTTCGGTTGAACTTGTCTGAAAGAAATTATCTTTTTCATCAAGATCATGGATCATTATTGATGATGAATTTGCTGCGTTATCATTTTCAACAAATGCGAGACTTTTCATACGTGAAGGGCATCAACAGAGGAAAAATTGATCAATTTTTTTTTCTCTCTCGGTAATAAAAGACGCGGGATGAATTTGAAAGGTTACAAAATTCGAAAGTGCAACTTTTAATTTCGTAAAGATTTGAAACTGGTTTGATGTCACATTAGTTTCGTTTCATTAAATCCGAACTCTTGTTGTATGAGTAAATCAATCTATGGTGCCCAGAAACCTTATTTACTTTCTAAAGAGAAATTTAGAAATTCTCGATAGAAGAGGAGGAATCGTCCTCGATCGTTCTTTTTGAGACCTTGGACTGCAACTTGACTGTCTGTGTGGATGGCTGCTTTGGAGCGATTTGGTCGAAGATTATGCCACCAATTTGAACTTAATTCGAATGCAGATTCAAAGAAATCAAATTCCTCAAGCAATCACTTGCAGTCATATGTAATCTCAAAGAAGTCAAATTCTTCAAGCACTCGCTTTCAGCAAAACATTTAACACCTTCACTGCCAGTTCCATTCAATTCCAAACTCAACGAAGTCAAATTCTTTAAGCACTCACTTTTAGCAATATATTTAGCACCTTCATTATCAATTTCATTGCGTGTCAGATCCAAAGAAGTTAAATTCTTCAAGCACTCGCTTTCAGCAATATATTTGACGCCTTCATTGCCAATTTGATTTCTACCCAGATTCAAAGAAGTTAAATTCTTCAAGCACTCACTTGCAGCAATATTTTTAGCACCTTCATCGCCAATTTCATTACCATACAGATTCAAAGAAGTTAAATTGTTCAAGCACTTGCTTTCAGCAATATATTTAGCGCCTTCACTGCCAATTTCATTGAAATACAGGTTCAAAGAAAACAAATTCTGCAACGATTCACTTTCAGCAATATATTTAGCACCTTCATTGCCAATTCTATTCAATTCCATATTCAACGAAGTTAAATTCTTCAAACACTCGCTTTCAGCAATATATTTAACACCTTCAATACCAATTCGATTGTTGTTTAGACCCAAAGAAGTCAAATTTTTCAAACATTCACAATCAGCTAAAAGTTTGATTGATTTACCATCTTGTTTGAAGTGATTTGGTTTGAAGGACAATGAAAGAGGAATTTGAAATGATACACGTCTCCATTGTTTTGAAATTTTCATACAAATTTGAAGAATGAACATTGAATCAAGGAAATGAAGAATTTCAAAAATAATATCATCAACAAACGGTCCATTGATTTCGGTTGAACTTGTCGGAGAGAAATCATCTTTTTCATCATGATCATTGATCATTATTGATGATGAATGTGTAGAGGCTTCAACAACACTATGTTCAACAGATGCTGAGAGTTTTCTCATTTTAATGGCACATGGAAAAGCTATGCAACACAAAATTTTTAAAATTCTTTTGATTGTTTCAGACGTGTTCTAGAGATCTCTCCCTTGAACACTGGAAAGAATTTAAGTGTTTTGTCAAAGATAATTCTTTTAGTAAGGCCTTTGACTTGTGTTTGTTAAAATCGTTAGTGTAAGAATTTATTGAGGATGAATTTGAAAACGATATTTTACACTCCTAAATTACCTTCTTACAGCAGAAATCTCTTTATCAATAAGGTTCTCGACTTTCCAGTAGAAAGATCACATTGATATGGGTTTGAATATTCAACAAACTCGCTTGGTGGCAAATCAAAAAGCAAAACACGAAATACAATGTCACTCTGTGAGGGTGAAAAGGGTTGAAAGGACTTATTGAAACTGTGCAACTTCGTTGTTAGCCACAACAAATTGGTGGAGGAAGATCAACTACATGTTGGCGAGTTGTGGATGGAAAACCAGTTGTCGAATAAACATGAATAAAGTTTAAATTTGGATTGAAATGGATCCACCCTGCAGCTGTTTGAAAAATGAGAGCTGCTCTGGCTGCGGACTTGTCCAGGCCCACGATCAAATCTTACAAATGTTGTCACATTCGTTTCCTTTAATTGAATCCAAATTCTTGTTGTGAGTCAACCAATCTGAATGACATAAAATGCTCGCTCTTTAATTCCGAATGTTATGGTGCCTGGAAAACCCCAGATCCGGATTAACATAGTGGGAGGGCCCTGACACTAGTGGTGCCTGGTTTACCATAACATCTTCTCTCACAAATTAATTGTCGTTTTCTTCCAACATTCACTCGTAGCGAAATATTTGACATCTTCACTGCCAATTCCATTGTGATAAAGATTTAAATATGTCAAATTCTTCAAGGATTCACTTGCGGCAATAAATTCAACACCTTCAATACCAATTCCGTTGGTGCTCAGATCCAAAGAAGTCAAATTCTTCAAGAACTCGCTCGTGGTAATATATTTAACACCCTCAATACCAATTCTATTGCGATAAAGATTCAAATCATCCAAATTCTTTAAGGTTTCACTTGCGGCAATATATTTGACACCTCTACTGCCAATACTATTGTAACCCAGATCCAAAGAGGCCAAATTTGTCAACCACTCACTCGTGGAAATATATTTGACACCTTCTCTGCTAATTAGATTGTGATACAGATCCAACGAAGTCGAATTTTTCAAGGATTTGCTTGAAGAAATATGTTTGACACCGTCATTGCCAATTCTATTCCATCTCAGATCCAACGAAGTCAAATTTTTCAAACATTCACAATCAGCTAAAAGTTTGATTGATTTAAGAACTTGTTTGAAGTGATTTGGTTTGAGGGATAACGAAAGAGGAATTTGAAATGATACACGTCTCCATTGTTTTGAAATTTTCATACAAATTTGAAGAATGAACAATGATTTGAAGCAATGAAGAATTTCAAAAATAATATCATCAACAAATGGTCCATTGTTATCGTTTGAACTTGTCGGAGAGAAATCATCTTTTTCATCATGATCATTGATCATTATTGATGATGAATTTGCTGCGTTATCATTTTCAACAAATGCGAGACTTTGCATATGACACAAGTATTATGAGGAAGAGAACTGATCTATTTTTTTTATCAAGAACGGTGGTGAATTTTGAAATATTAATCAAAATTCAAATGACACGCTCAATTTCGTAAAGATTTGAAATGATGCAAATGTTTTGTCATTATTCTTGATTTTCATTCATTTTCCCTGAATAATTAATTGGTGAGTTGTATTAAAATAAGAACAATTCATGTTATTAATGATATAAAAATTACACAGTTTCTACTTGGAATGAAATTTTCACATTATTCGGATCATATCTCAATTGACCTTGCATGGTTCTCTTTTCTCGTCGATGCAACACATAAAACACCAAAGCACAAGGACAACAAAATAGAAATAATAAAATCCACACCCAAAGAGGAAACTTTTCAACTTCACCCATAAATCGGCCCTTATTGACAGGTTGAGCAGATGGAGCCATAATGATGACGACGATGAAGAATGAGGAGAAGGTAATATAAATAACAATGATATCAGACAGGAGAGGAACGATGATGATCGGAAGAATACAGAGGGTGACACGGTTCTTTTGGTTATCGTATGTGTGAATCACCTTCTTCAATATTTTGATTTTTTTAATTACTGAAAATTGACAGTTGGTCCGACATGACTGCTTTTCCAAACTTTCGTACTAATCTACAGTCATATTGTCATCAATCTATTTTCTTGTCAATTACAACGTATTCGAATTTGTCAAATTGTAAAGTAGCTGTTGGTTGAAAGAAGCATCCGTTCCATCACAAGCCCGTGAACCAAATAAAACCCAATTTCTAAATATATTTCATGTTTCAAATATTCAATAAAAAAAGTTTGTGGAATTTCGCAGGTTCAGCCTCCGAGAGCATAAAACAACTTACCACAACAACAAGACGCGAAAAACTCCTATCAAATATCTTCTCTTATTCTTCTCCTTGTCATCATTAAACAACAAATTAGCAAGAGCGTGCTCTAGATGAAAGTGAGTTAATGAGGCTTTATATTCAAACCTCTATTACCGTTTAGAAACTATTCTGCCAAGCAGATTATTGCCAGTTGAAGAACAACTTCTCCTTCTTCTTCTATGAAACCCGGATCCGTTTGATCGTGTTTCCAATTTTCATCATCAATTTTGTAGTTAATTAATAATATTATTAGCATCATCACCATTCATTCATCATCATCACACCCAAATAATATTAATTTCATCCATCCATGAATTTAAATTACTTTGGAGTCAATAGAGGATCATCAAGTAATAATAACACTCCCACACTCGGAGGCGTCAAACTAAGTTCAAGTCAACAATCCACTTCAAGCATTATTAGCAATCAAAGCAGCCACAGCGCTACCAGCAGCTTTTCATCAACAACATTTGCAAGCAGTATTAGTAGTTCAAGCACTGGTGGTCTTCCGATGTATCATCATCAACCATCTACTCCTTCTGCCGATGATTTGGAACAAGATAGAAATGAAATCCTCAACGCAGAGCCTCACATTCTTTGTTCATCGAGTATTAATATCAGTCCAAATCCTCAAGAAAAGAAAGCTGGAGGATCAGGATTGAATGCACTGAGTGCTTCTCCTGACTCTAGATTAATTGCTGTTGGAGGTAGAAAATTATTTAGAATTGTTAGAGCATCGTTTCAAGAGGATGAAAAGAAGTTCAAACTCGATATTCCAATCACTATATATTACTCTGGAAAGAAGAGTATGGATTTTGCTGTTGTTGATCTGAAGTGGCATCCAACTCTTCCCAATGTGATTGCAACGGCTCCTCCCAACGGAAAAGTGATTTTGTGGAATGTTAATAGCAGCTCGAAAAGTGGCAAGATTATTACGAGATTTAATGGTCACGAATGCACTGTCAATTCCTTGTGCTGGCAGCCACATCAAGAACATAATTTATTGAGTGCCAGTGTTGACCACACTGTTCGATTGTGGGACAAGAGGCAAGGGGGTGACTCTGTCCAAACCTTTAACTGCGGAAGTGTTGTGAGAAGCATCAAATTTAACCCTTTTTTCCCCAATGTTTTTGCAGCAGCAACAGACGGTGGAGACTTCCAAGTCTGGGACATTAGAAAACCAAACCTCTATCAAAAGAAGGTACCAGCTCACAATGGATTGATTCTTTCTTTGGATTGGCATCCAAAGAAGGGAAGTATCATTGCCACAGGCGGTAGAGATAGAGTTCTTAAGGTTTGGGATCTCAATGATACAAAGAAACCCTTGTCAACCGTTCAAACTATTGCCAGCATTGCTAAAATTGCTTGGAGACCTGGTAATTACAATTCTCATATAGCAAGTTGTGCCAAGAACGAAGTTGGCTCAACATGCAACATTAATTTGTGGGATATTAGCTCTCGATACGTTCCTCTATTAACATTTACAGGACAACGAGCTGATGTTACAGATATTGCATGGATGAATAATTACCCTAACTTAATGATGAGCTGTTCCAAAGATAATACTTTCATGATTCATAGCGTCTACGAAGCAGAATATGAAAAATCTAGCCTTCCTACTACCTCCCTTTCTTGGAACATTAATAATGAGCTCGTTAGTTACAATGATGAGATTGATAGAGAACAGCACCAACGATATCAAACTATCCTTCAGACAGTTGCTAAAAATCCTCCTTCAGTAATCAAACAAATTAACAGAGAGACAGAAGTATTTACATTCAAAGAAGCCCATTTGAACAAAACAATTAATATCATCAAGAGTGTAGATCAAGAATCTGATTTATTTGCCGAGTCTGATGTGTCAAAAATCAAGTATTTGGCTGAAAATTATGTTCTTTTTGGAGATGACACTTTCCAACAAAAGTGTGATACCAATGCCCTAGTAGCATCAAATATCAATAATTACAAGCTTGAAAAGTTATGGAAATTAGTCAAAGAGCTTCATACTCCATCCACGAAAAAAGAAGACAAGATGGAGCATGATGACACATTGTTAAATCATGTGAACAAGCATCATTCACACATGGATGATCACACGCAAAACAACAGCATTTTTGAAGATGGGGATCATCAAAACTCGATTTTCCGCTATGGTGTCGACCACGAAGGAGATGAGTCCGAAGAGAAATATAGTACCAATTCTAATTCTCTTGATACATACCCTTCGAATGGAATGCTGTATTCTCCACTAAAACAAGCAAGTGAATTTCATGGTGATGTACTCAACCTTGCAACCCCACCCACCCAAGGATCTCTCCGTAAAAAAGCCAAGTACAGAGAACTCGTGTCACAAGACTTTGGTCCTCCACCAAAATTGAAGCTGTTTACAGGAAACGAAAAGAAAATACAGTCCAATATTCAATCGTTTGATGACATGGAACGACCCAACTCGTTACATCATGAAGAAGACACAGAATTAATGGACATTTTAAACGAAAAAGATGACCTTGAAAAATTATATGAATCAAGCATCCAGGAAACTATTGAATATTACGCAGAAATGGGTGATATTCAAACATGTGTTGCTCTAATTGAAGTTCTTGACAAGAAACATGAAATGAGTGGAGAACGAGAAGCTCAATGGTATTTGAGTTATATTGAGCTGTTGAATCGACACAAGCTTTTTACATGCTCCAATGAGCTGATTAATGGATGTTCTAACTATGATGTGCACAATCTCAACAAACAATCAACCTCTATAAGAACAAGCTGTGCTAAATGTGATAGCGTTTTACAAAACACAGACACCATGTGTAAGAAATGCAATAGCAAAACCAACATTTGTGCCATTTGTCATTTACCTGTGGATGGACTATTCTTTTGGTGTCAACGATGTGGTAGTGGTGGTCATCTGAATCACATGAAGCAATGGTTTGACAAGTATAAGCATTGTCCCGTTTGTTTAACTCATGTCAGCAAACTTCAAACTCTCACATAACATTAAAACTAATTTATTTACAAATCTTGTTACACTGTTTGTTCACACCACTTGACCTTGAGTCAACAACAAATTAATGTTTGTTCTCATAAGCTAGAGCCTTATTGCGTGATGACTTGGAGTCATTGGCAAGATATCTGCTGGCACCTGAACCATGGTTACGGAACTTGGGCAACGATTTAGAACGCTCCTTCCATTCTTTTTCAAATTCTTCTTCTTCTGTTACATTCTCCAATCGCTTTGTAATTTCCTCTCTTCCCTCTCTGTCCTTGGTTTTTTCCATGACACTTCTCTTGTCGCCGACTGCCTTAATAACAGAAACTTTCTCTGTTCCTGTTCTGGAGTCTTTCACAGTGCGCTTGGTCTTGGTCACTCCGTCACTCGATGTAGTGGTTGTGGTTGAGGAATAACAGACAACATTATCACCCATTGCCATCTGTCTCTCAAAATTTTGGTCAAAATGTCGAAACATGTCTTCCGTTCGTTGCATCAAGGATGAGAAATGCCCAAAAGGATTTGAAAAGAAAGGGTCTTGATCAAAGATACTTCTTATTGCAAATGGATCATGATCTCTTGTATGACTTTCTCGGTGGTGTGGTCTGGGTTGAGATGAAGCTCTAGGATGACGACGGGAGTGGTTAGCATCTATCATTGAGGCAGATCATGGAGGACGGGTTTCAGTAAGTTGTTTTCATTTTCTGGAGTGAAGTTTTATAATACTTACTCATATCGTCTGGATCTTCATATCTTACTGAACCACTGCTGTTGGAATGATGCTCTCCCTGGAGTTGTTCCTCCTCATCGGAAAGTTCCTCAAACGTTGGACCCTTTTCTTGGCGTGGATGTATTCTCTTCATGATTCCCACAACAATGGACTAGGATCACTAAAGATGATCAATTTTTCCCTTTCTATTCTGAAATATGAATATTATACAACAAGAAGAATGAGTAATTCAAGTGTTCCGAGATTCAAAGACTGATTACGGTAGTGCTCTGCAAAAAAATGTATGGACCTCTCAATTCTCGTACCAAAACGTTTGAGGTTTTTTTTTGAATGGCTCTGGAAGACTTCTCTCGGAATGATGATTCCGAATGAAACCAGAATTCATTATTGTTCGTGATCAATGAATGAATTATTACAACTGTTTGAAATCGCAGTCCTCTATTAAGGTTATGCAAATTTTACCATCAAAATAATGAATACAATAACGACAATAACAATCACGAAAAGTACTGCCAAAATCATCAAAACTCGACACAGCATGCGATTGTTTGTTTTACGCGCCTGGTATACAAAGGTTGTTGAATCATGAGTCAAATCAGTGGTTCGTTGAGAAAGCTCTATAGTCGATTCCATATTTGCAATAAGTTTGTCAATGTTCGAAATCATGATCATTTTTACATCTTCAATTTTGGATTGAACTAGCACAATTTTGTCATTGGTCTTGACACGACAAAATTCTAATTGCGTTTGTAAAATTTTGGAAACTTGTTTTGTGTCATCTTGAGAAGTGTCATTTGGAGAAGATGAAATTTTTAAGAGGAGGGACTCATTTCATTCTTGCATCGTTCCAATAATCCAAAACAAACTCTCACAGGTACATTGGAATGAGCAATGCAGAGATAAAAGAAAAATCGATTATTGTAATGATGTTCCAAGACGTGAATATGCACATTTTGCAATTGATAAGTGGCCTTAATGGTCATTAATCCATTAGTGCTATTAAATTGATTGAGATTGGTTCGTTGCTGTTCAATCACTTGTAGACATGTCTTTTTGATAGTTTCCATAGAAATTCCGATATGTTGTGAGGATGAGCTCGTCATTGTCTTGTTGACCCATCCATGTGACACAATATGTGAATTGAACGGGGTGGCATTATAATTATTTTCAAGACATGGACCTAATCTTGAATATAAAGCATTTACGAAAATATCATGAGTTTCGGAAGGAGAAGTTGAACCATTCAGGTCTGAACGGTTCGTTGGAGGATGTGTCGCTGCTGATGGATGGTGGTTGCGAGAGAGGAAGGGTGTGGATTCGTTGTTGTTCGGATCATCATCATGGTTTGTCAATGACATTTTTTGTTGTTGAAAAAAAAAAAAAAAGCATCTTACAAAAAAATGATTCAAAAACCGTCACCGATCATCGGGAATATCAATTTATGACTTTGGAGAATGGATTGGAAGTCATTTTGGTTCGTGATACAAAAGCATTGATTGCATCGGCTTCAATGGATGTCCATGGTATGGTTTTTTAAAAGTTTTTATCGGAGTGTTGAACCATTGTATGGATTTAAATATGATGATTTTATTCAATATTAATAATTTATTAAAATCAATTCATTGAAATGAACAGTGGGACACATGAGTGATCCGAAGGAACTTCCTGGGTTAGCCCATTTCGTAGGCATATGTGTTTTATTTCTTCTGAAAAGTATCCCACAGAAGGCGATTACAAGAACTTTATTCGTCAGCATGCTGGTACCACGAATGGCACTACCAGTGCTGAGCACACAAATTATCATTTTACGATTTCAAATGATTATTTAGAAGAGGCCTTGGATCGATTTGCACAATTCTTTATCAGTCCTTTGTTTGCTGAGAATGCAATTATGAGAGAAGTGGAAGCTATTGATAAGGAGTATAAGAAAAACCTCCAAATTGATTCAAGAAGATTATATCAATTGATGAAAGAATCCTGCAATGAAAAACACCCTTTCAAGAAATTTGGTACAGGAAATGTTCAAACTTTAAAACTCGATCCTGAGGCCAATAATTTAAATGTTCGAGAGTATTTGGTGAACTTTTTTAACAGACATTATTCGAGCAATCAAATGAAGCTGAGCGTGATTGGAAATTATTCCTTCTCAGAGATGGAGAAATTTGTTAGAAATTCCTTTCGGCCATCAAGAATAATCATATTGACCGTCATGGATTTTATCCTTCTGCAAGTGATGTCACAACAGTATTTGAACAATCTGATTTAGCCAAGCTGTTCAAATATGAACCAGTGACAGACACTACTGATTTAACTCTCCTTTTTCCTCTTTCGATTGATTGCCCTAAAATCATACAAGGAAGAAACATGTACTACAAATCCTCATCTATTGCTTGTCTTACTCATCTATTTGGTCACGAAGGGAAAGGCTCTCTGTATTCTCTTTTGAAAAACAAGGGTTGGGCAGAGTCACTTGTTTCAAGCACCTATTCCTACAATGGTGTCAATGACCCTGCAAAAGAATTTTCTCTTTTCTTCGTCAAGATTAATTTAACCAAAACTGGAATTATTTATTGGAAAGAAATTGTAGAATATGTTTTTGAGTACATTCACATTTTGAAAACTCAAGGTGTACCTCGTTTTTTATTTGAAGAGATCTCATTCCTTCAGAAGCTAGCGTTTGACAATGCACAATTCACTTCTGCCTATGCAAGCAGCTTGTCTACAAGTCTACAGAAACATTTAGTGGAGGACGTCATTAGCGCTCTTTTTTTACATTATGAGTTTGATGAAGATCATACCAATTCGTTATTGACCTATTTTCATCCAGACAATATGAATATTTACTTGTCAAGTAAGAATCATGAAGATTTAGACTGCTCTGAACGATGGTATGACATCAAATACAGAAAGTGTGACTTTGATCCAGATTTCATGAACAAGTTACGAAATAAGAAGCACGAAACACCACAATTGCACATTCCGTTCAAAAATACATATATACCGTATAATTTAGGACTAGTGAATGACACAAACGCACCAACAGAATATCCTGTTAAAATTGTGGATAGTCCCAAAATCAAAACCTATTTTAAAAAGGATGATTATTTCAATACTCCACGAGCAGATATCATTGTCCTACTTACCATTCCACAAAGTTTTGAGTCTCCGTTGAACATTGTTTATGTTGAGTTGTTTGTTGACATGGTTCGATATTTGCTTAACGAAGAGCTTTACATGGCCTCAATCGCAAAAATAGGTTCTGCTATCACAAATGTAGAGCGAGGAGTACATATTCATGTGAATGGATTCAGTGAGCATTTAGTGGATGTCATTATGGTAATTTTAGAAGAGATGGTGAAAGCAGCTGACGACAGAAGTCATCTAACACAGCACATTTTCGACTATATCAAACAAAATAATCTAAGAAGTCATCAAAATAAGAAGTTCTCGTTCCAATCTCATGAAATTGCAACATATGAATCTTCTAAACTCTTCCTTCAGCGTAAATTTACATTTTTCGAATTTGCTGAAGTATTGGAACGTGTAGAGTTAGATGAATTTAAAAACTTCGTGAAGTGTTGGTTGTCCGTGTTAAGAATTGAATGTTTAATACACGGAAATATTACAAAGAAAATGCCTTACAAATTTCAAAACAGGTGGAACAGATTCTGTTTGACAAGAGAGTTCATGCAAACAAGATTTTAACACCACTTCCATCCCAAGAATATTTGAGAAATGTTGCAATGAATCCTACAGATGTGGAACTGTGATTCCAATTTTGAATTATGATCCATCTAATCAAAATAGCGCAATTTTAATATCCTACCAGATTGGATACAGATCATTACGTTCAGATTGTTTATTAGAATTGTTCACACAAATATGTTCAAGCAAGTAAGTATTGATGACAATTTCTTGGAGCATGTATATCATCAAACAACTGTGCGTGAATGATATTCTAGATACTTTACACATATGAGAACGCAGAAACAATTTGGATACATTGTGACTTGTGGTCAACGTTTTATTCATAATGTTTCTTTCTTGAGTTGTATCATACAAACGACTGAACATGAGCTCACAGATATTCTCACCGAAAATGACAACTTCTTCAAGAATAATATTTCAAAATTACTTGATGAGCTCACAGACGAACAATTTAATGATATTGTTGATTCGATTGTTCAAAAAACTTTGGAAAAGGAAAAGACTGTTCAACAAAGATCTCAGCGATTTTGGAACGAAATTGAAAATCGACAGCTCAAGTTTAATAGACATGCGCTTAAGGCAGTACAATTCAAACAGCTTTCAAAGAAGGATGTTTGCGAGTTTTATGAACACTTTGTGTTAGCGACAGGTAAACATTACAAGAGATCTATTGTTTTGGTTGCAAACAAGACATACCATAAGGACCACTTTTCCAACCCAAATGTTCTTATAGTGGAGGACAGTACTCAATTCAAAAGTACCTTGGAGTACTATTGTAGTATTTCAGACTTCTAATCGAAAAAGGAGTAATAAACTTTGGAAAAGGTGTCTCCATCCACATGGCAAACCAAGTAGCGAGAAATTATTTGAGCAACATCGATATTTTGATTTTCCTTTCTCTGTTTCAAAACTTTGGTAAAAAGCTCCAGCATGAATCTGGTCACAAACTGCTCGTGTGTGTTGTCTTTGAGGTGTTTCATGACTTCAGTCACAAAACTTGATGATTTGGCCTTTGAACTCTCCATATGCGAGGAGTCGAGCTGTTTTGTAAAGTATGTAACCAAGATTTTGATTAAACTGAAGCAATTAGTTTGCAAAGTAGCTAAATAATGAACAAAATCACTGTGCACGACATTTTCCACATAATGTCCAATTCGTTCATATGTCTTTTCGTCTACACCCAAGCTTGTTCGTGCAATTTCCAAAATGAGAGATTTGTATTTGTCACTTGATCCACCGCTTGTGTTAATGGTTGTTGTTAATAACACATATTGAGGTAGGGCATACTAATACCAAAGATGCACCAATACTGAGCTTATGCAGTTCATTCAAACAAACAACCTACCGATAAAGGTCCATCTTTTGTGCCATATATCACAATCTCCTTGAAAAGTACCGGGTTAAATCGGATCGCCAATGTTTTCAGGTGTGCAAGACTTTTCACCTTGGGTTCGAATGAAATATTCGTTTCAAAATGACATTCTTCAATAAACGACTTTAAATCTACAAAGCATTGTGAATGCAATTCTGTTATAGAAATGATAAAGAAATGTACAGAATTATCGTCAACACAGGCATGATTGTTTCTTCTTCGAGAGTAATTAGAACTGCATTCAAAAGTAAGCGTAACATCTTTTCGTGTTGGAAACTTGAGTCCTCGTCGTTCAAATTCTCTCCAAAACAAGTCACTCAAGAGATGCTGTTCACTTTCACCACCATAAATAGTTTCATTTGCAGAGTATGTCATATTGCTACAAATTTGCCACTTTGAGTCGTTAGGATTGTAGAATAAATGAACAAGAATTAACGTGTGATGTGTCACGTTACTCTCAATAGTCCATATATAACATCCTTCATTGCTCTTAAATTGATAACAATAATGGTTGTCAGATGGTATGACTCTTCTCAAAGGTAGGCATAACATTTCGAAATCCATGTCATCGGAAAGTCTGGAAAGAATTATTCCATTAAAACACTCGTTGGAAACGTCCGAATAAAATGGGGTTTCATCATTAATTCCTCTAATGTACCAATATTGAACTCCATTGTCCGAGGTAAAAAATGTTGACTCTAACGAAAAATATAATCTCAACATTTCTGACAATTCTTGAACATTTTTGAATTGTTGTAAATATTGAAAGAGTTGAGAAGTCTCCTTCCTTTTAGAAAGGTCAAATTGTACGTCTTTTGGTTGCATGGTCATTGCATTGATTTCCTCTTTCAAGTGTTGATATCTAGGATAATATTCGTTTTCATAGGTTTTCCAAATGTCTTCATTTTCGAATTGTCTATTCAAAAGTTCATAATAAATGTCATTTGCTTCCGTATAGTCTACAATCTTGAGCTGATGAATTAATTGCCTCGCAAGCATTAAATCTCGAAAAGTATGAGCAATGTACTTTTTTGATCTGTAATGATTATTTGACTTGTCATTCCAATACTTTTTTGCAAGTCTAAAATGTCCACCAGCTTCTGTAATTGCTGAAACAACAAGTCTTCTAAAGTATATCTTATAACATGAACTCAGTTCTGGAAAGTCGATTCTCCAAACAAACTTTTTTGTATCCATGTTAACACACATCAAGGCTTGTAACCAGTTTTGTTCTAACCTCTTTCTAAAGGCACAATATTTAAACAGGTTTACATTCACCTCAAATCCGGTCCTATTGCACTTCAATGACAAGCATTGAAATTCTCTACCATCTTTTGTAATATCCATTAATTTTCCTTCATCAATTTCTTCAACTTTGGAATTTTTTGATATCATGTTGGACAATTTATCATCCTCATCATTCACGACAATCCATTGATTTTCAAATTCATGATGGTTTCTCTCTTCCTTGCGTTCCTTTTTATAATTTAAATTCAACCATTCGTATAAATCATCGTGAATAATCATGAAAAAGTCGTAATCCGAGTCCGATCGAGCTGTCCCATAAACTCTAGATCCAAACTGATAAATGTTGCAAAGAGGCTTCACCTGATCTTTTCCATAATTACTTTCAAAGTTTAAACAATTCAACAAATCCTCCAAATCATCATCTCCCGATGATTACTTTCTGTATGGAGCATTGGATCCAGCAGCTGCAAAAAGAGTTCGAACAATCGGAACTAACGTTGAATTTTTTTTAAAATAAAAATCAACACGAAAAAAATAGACCTTGCAAACGCACACCACACTTGACCCCTAAGGAATTCCAAACAGAATCAACACACATACAACAGCATCAGCAGCAAGATATTTTGAAACATCAACCCTATAGACTCAGCAGCACATCAATTAAATACATCAAATGGTATGAAATCAACAATATTATCATCAATTTAGCTAATCAACAACCTTTCATCATCATCACAACAATAATTTATTTAAAACACGAACATGATGCCGTGAAAACGATACTACACCACCTTGGCTCGGATTTGAACACACTGATTTAATGACTCAATATCACCATATAATATAATTATTTGTCTGATGATGTGGCACACCATCATCCTCAACCGCAACAGTCTCTCGATTCTTCTCAACAAACCTCAGCAGTAACTAATAATAGCAACAATGTTGCTGATTCAAATAATAATAATAACAATATCTCTAGTAGCCATCACCCAAACGAGCATCAACAACAAGAACACATGAATACGCAACAACACCACCATAGACTTCAAGATGACGAAGAAGATACAGATTCTGACGAGAATATTATTCAACAACACCAACATCAATCAGCACAAAACGATACGAGCGATAGAGTCCTTTTCGTATTCAATTTAACAGTTGATACCAAGGAAGAGGACATTAATCGCGAATTTGAGAAGTATGGTAAAGTTGAAAAAGTGTCCATAGTGATGGATAGAAAGAGACTCATCAACAGAGGCTTCTGTTTTGTAACAATGTCAACAGGTGAAGAAGCTAATCGAGCACTTGAAGCCAAAGTTGTAGTGAGAGGACAACAGCTGACCGTTGAAAAAGCCGCACGGGCTGAAGGTCATAACTCTACTCCTGGCCAAGGATACCAAGGCAAGAGAACACCAAGAGAACGTCTCATGCCAAAATCCATGCGCCACGGTGACAAGGACCATTCAAGGTCGAGAGGAGGAAGAGACGGAGGTCGTAGAGGAGGTGGAAAGAGCTCCTATCGAGACAGCAGTAGCAACAGTAGTAGGGATAGAAGTTCTCGAGGGAGTGGTGGTGGTCGAGGACGAAACAATGCACTTCCTGGATATCCACCACATCATCTTCCACCACATACAGCAGGTCAACCTCCCTATGGATACTATGATTATTATTACGGATATCCATATGCTTTACCACCAGGAGGAATTTCTCCTTCAATCGATGAACAGCATGCATCAACAGCAGGAGGCATTCCACCAAGAAATGCAGCCACTAATGGTAAGGATCCATCAAGACAAATGCCACCAGGCCTTAGTACTCCTCCGACAACAGGATTTTCTCAGCCACCTTACGGTACTGGAGCATATCCACCTGGAGGCTATCCACCATATTCTGGATATCCACCTTACGGAGGTTATCCTTACAGTTATTATCCACCTTATGGATATGACTACTATGGAGGTCCAGGAATGCCCGGACGAGAAGATCATGAAGGGGGCAATAACGCCTCTCCACCACAACATCATCCAGGTGGTGCTTCCTCTAGGAGTGTTGGTGGCTCTGCTGGCAATAACAGACCTTCACCGCAACGTGGTGGCCCAGGTAGATTTTATCCCTCGTCAAATTACAGATATCATCCATATCCTTCAGTTTCTGAGGGAGGTGTTGCTTCTGGCTCGTCACATCACAATGCAGGAGGCTCGGACTATGGAGATTCGCCTTACAACGCTGGTGTCTATGGAGGAGGTTATCCCATTGAGAAATAAATAATGAATTTCATTCTCAACGATACGATTTCAAAGATCACCGGCCGTTTCCAAAAAGAAAAAATTCAAGTGATGTCCTTCTTATTATGCTGCTTTAATGGTGGCGGCAGCAGTGAAGGAAGAAGAAACAACAATACTAAGGCACCATCTTCCTCCTACCTCAAGCAGAGTAAAGCCCTTGGTGATGATAAGGACAGGCCCTTATTGCAGCATGAACACCTTCCTTCCTCAACGGAACAAGTTGGAAGTAACAGGACTACACCACTCCCTCCGTCATCTTCACCCACTTCAGCAACCATGGTTGCTGTGCATTCAACAAGACAAGTTTTAGTACGAGAGGATGAAACCAACCAAGAAGAAGCCAATCAATGGAATGTTGCAACAAATCAAAACCTGTACTCGAGTGCCACGGAAAGTAATTTTCTGGATGATGAAGTCTATCATAATCGTCCATCATACACGAACGAGGAGAAGGAAAGCATGGTAGATCAATATTACAGCAGCACGAGCGAGTTTAAGATTCCCATGCATTCATCATCGTACGAAGAAGAGGAATACTTTGATGATGATGAGCATCATTTAATGATCGATCATCAACATGATCCATCTACTGGTGTTCATCCACCACCTCCTCAAACGAATAAGAATTTTCATTGGACCTCTCAATATCATCAAAGTGAAGAAGATGAAGATCTTGGAACGGAAAGTGCAAGTCCACCCGAAGAGACGTTTGATGAGAGTGAATACATCGATGACGATGATGAAATATTCCAACAATATTATGTATCTGTGGTAGACAACATAGACATGACCATTGTTGAGTTAGAATGTAGAAATAACAGAGAACGAGACAATAAGAGAATGAGAATTATTAAGGAGCTCAAAAAGACTGAATGCAATTATTTAAAAACATTGGAAACTCTTCAAACCTATTATTTAGATCCTTTGAAAGATGGTAAGAATAATATTGTCTCCAAGGACTTCTTTCAAAAGACTGTCGGAGAGTTGAGTGTAATATATGGAATTAACCAATTGTTTTTCCAAAAGTTATCGGAGCTGATCGACATTCCAGAGGAAGATGAAGATGAAAAAGCAATGTATGAGTATATTATCACTAAATCTTATGATATGGAAGTTAAGTTGGCGAATGAAATTGTTTTATTTAGCCAGGCCTTAAAACTTTATACCGGTTTCATTACCAAATACAAGAATTCTTTGGATCAATTGAACTCGGAGCTTGAAAGAAATAAGAGATTGCAACGGTTTATTAAGCAAGCATTTAAATCGATTCAACTTGCAGGTATGAATCCAGCACCACCGAGCTCCTATTTGATCGCACCTATTCAACGAATACCAAGGTATCAACTCTTACTGAGTGAATTGACAAAAAACTCAGCTCACTATCCAGAACTGCATGAAAAATATCTTCAAGCTACAGAGTCCATTACCAAGGTGGCAGAATATTGCAACGAAAAAGAGAGAGAAGTCCAAAATTTGGCACGAAGTTTCTCCATCTCTCGAAAAATCAGAAGTCGAAGTATCATTCAACCCTCGAGAAAATACATGGATGAGTGCTCGTTTGATTTTAAAAAGAAATCTCGAAAGGGAAGCTTGACCGCCTATTTATTTTCTGACGTTTTAGTTCTCACTGAAAAGAGTATGATGCAACAAAAAACAAAGAAACTCATCTTTAGTAAGGAAATGCCAATCTCTTTGGAAGAGGTTGGAGAACATGGAGTTGCAATTTGTCAAGGGAATAACAAGTATTGGACATTGATCATTGATCCTACAAGTTCAAAGCAACGACAATTTATTTCTCTTCTTAAACAACGATGTAAAGAGCAGTAGAGTTCTGTCTGGACGACATTTATGATTGTGTGAAAATTTAAGTGACGTAAGCTGCGGAGATGAGCTTTTTTCGAAAATTGAACTTGAGAGAAGTACTTCAGTCGATAAAAAATGAAATCATTCACTTCTGATCAAACGAACCTTCATCATGTAGAAATATCTGACACCAACACCTTCACCAACGAAGAAATATCAAGCTCCAAAACCATTGACACCAAATATGGAGAAAAACTCAATCTCCATTTCACAAAATTTCCAGTGCTGTTGCCAGTGATTCATCTCTCTTCCGTGGAACAATCGTTACGAAATGCACGACTTTGTTTTTCCATTGAAGGAATTGATGGTATCATTCTCATTGCACATTCACACCATCATCAATCATTGTCTTCACTTCAACTCACGGCACAATGTTATGCAGCAATTCGGAATGAATTTCCAAATCGTTTTATTGGAGTGAATGTTTTGAAATTTCAACATGCACCTTTGGAAGTGTTTGATTGGGTCATGAAAAATTGTCCCGGTTGTCAATGCATTCAAACAGATCAAGCATGGGCTTGTGTGAATAAGAATTTGGCAAAGAGAATTCTGGAAGCAAGAATACGTTCTGGGTTTTCTGGAATTTATATGGGAGGAGTTGCTTTTAAATATCAAGAACGAGTTCATGAAATGCAAGACGCCACTCCTGAGCTTCCAATAGAAGCCATTAAAGCTCTGAAGCATGCTGGATCTCTCACAACGAAATATGTAGATGTAGTGATCACAAGCGGAACAAAAACTGGTGATCTACCATGTTTGGAAAAGGCGAAAACTTTGAATTCTGTTTGTCAACCGTTAGCAGTCTCTGGAGCAGGGGAATATCTCGAAGATTTTGCACCGTTTGCTCAAGTTTTTCTTTCAGCAACATTTCTTTCCAAAGAATGTCCAAAACATGGCATCATTGATTCATGTGACGAAAGTTTTTGCGAGCTTGATGAAGAAAAATTGAGGAAGTGGGTTCAACGAAGAAATAATTATTTACTTGACAATTAAACAATTCATTCCAAATGAAAAATTCGCTTTCCTTATCATGGATATGTTGCGTAGAAGAGTGGTTTATTCCTTACTGACATGTTTCTTTGGATTATAAACTTCCCATTTCGAATAAGGAAGCTCATTCTTGTGCTTTTCAAAGAATCTTCGGTCAACAATTTTGGAAGCGTGAGCTTCTTGCTTTTCCACAGTAGCGTCACTCACTGCTCGGACGTCATCATGAACGTCAAATCTAAACATGACACCTGTTTTTCCCTTTGTGTTATTTACAATTAAATCATAGAATGAATAGTGATGTGGAATGATCAAGTCTTCCTTAATGTACATTAAATCAGAAACTGAAATTCTCTTCAGCTCTTGCCAATCTTGTTGAACCTTATACAAGAAACTCTCTACAGACGTTCCTTTTTTTACAACAATGGACTTTCTGTGACCACGACCATCCCAATAACTGTATGTAATTTCAATGTCCTCATTCTTAATCTTTTCTTGTTCGTCAAGCCATTCCTTTCGTAACCTTTCGATTTGATCTTGTTCTTCTTGTTCACGCTGTTTATCAGGTAAAAAACTGGTATCTACTTGAGGATTTTTCTTTATCTTTTTCATTTCAGGCTCTATTCCTTCTTCCTCCTCTTGTAATTCATCTTGAAACGATAGGACATGAACCAGTTTTTTTTGTTTCTTTTTTTCTTTCTTTTTTTGTTGGCGTTCCTTTTCTTTTTCTAATTCCAAACGTTTTCGTGTAAAATCTTCGAGTGTTACCAATCCGATGGTGTGTTCTACGAGTGCGTTATCCCGCACATTCTTTTTCTCATCGGCAGCAAATTTTGATGCAATGGATCCTAATTTATTCTTTTCTTTCAATTCCGATGCTGTTTTTTCAAAAAATTTTTCTAATTGTTCTTCTCGTTGCTTTTCCAATAGGAAAGCTTTGGTTAAATCAATTTTGTTTCCTTTATACTCCGCCATGATGATGTTGAATTGCAGTTGAGAATATTTTTTTGCTGTTTGAAATTTTATTATTGCGTCCCAAAATAGATTAAAGATGTTTGCATGACATCCAAAATTGTTGAAGCAGAATGATGAACTACTTCCAAGATAACACACAATCTTTAGACTTCTCGTTGCTTTTTAGCTCTTCTTGTTAAAACAATTATCACAACTGTGATGGCAGCTACCACTCCACAAACCAAAATGGATCCAAGCATAGAAACTGTGGCAGCAATGGCAGCGGCAGAGTCAGCTCCATTTTGAGTGGCTCCGTCTTTATGAATAGAAAATGAAGGAGGTGGAGCGACAGGAGATTTTGGATTGTTGGAAGCTTTCTTGAAGTTCATGTCGATCACTGCAAATGATGTCAAGTGTGAAGTGAAACATTTCATGGTCAATGAAATTGGATCGTATTTTGAAATGATTCCTTCAGGACTCCATTCTTCCTTAATTTCATCAAAATAGACACAGGTCAACTCAGATTGATTCGACATGGAATAAATATTTGAAAATGATATTTCAATCAAATATGTCAAATTTTGAACTTGAATTTCAACTCCACTGCCTTTTGAAAGAACAATTTTCACAATGGGTGAAATAACTTCTCTCACTTCTTCTTTTGTGGCGGTCACATTTTCAGAAATGCACACAATTAATGAAATCTTTGAAGATGTTGATGTTGCTTCATCTGAAATTTGTTTGGAAATATTGGAAGGAAACTGAATGAAAATGGTCTGAAAATTGTCAAAAGTCACATTTTTGGAATCTAATTGCGTCACGTTCGACAATGTTTCAACTTGAACCTCTTTCTTAATAATGGAATTATCGTTGTTCGTTGTTTCATTCTTGCATTGTAAAGTTCCATTGATGAAAATGGTTGGGGGCACGTTGGTACTGAACAATCAAAACCCACCCAATCCTTGCTGTCACATTGACACAAATCGGAGCATAACATTTACCATGAGAACTGCAAACAGTCTGATTCGATGCAGGAACTCCAAAACAAAAAGTTCAGAGCAAATTGTCCAGAATATCCGGGATTGCATACACATGTATTTGGAACAACACAGCTTCCATGACGCTACATACATCTGAGCTGTTTGACAAAATACCGTTGCAGATAGAATATTGACACCTTTCTCCTCCATAACCTGTGTTGCAAGCGCAATTGTCTGGGCTGAGACAGGTACCTCGAGCGCTGCAAACCTTTTGAGTGTCATCAGCTGAAATGCCATAACAGACAGGATTGTCACAAAAAGTTCCGTTTCTACCAGGCTGACATACGCAAACATCGGGAGCAACACATGACCCATAGGAGTAGCACACCATGGAAGAATTAGCTGGAATTCCGTTGCAACTATGATACTGACACTGATCACCATAGTACTTGGTTGATGACCATGGTCCAGTGTTACCTTAAGGAATACATATTGTTAAACGTTCTCAAACTCTATGGAATAGCAAACTTACATGAACAAACATTTGTTGCTGTACATATTCCGTTTCCTGAGCACACTGCACTAACATTTGTGTTCATAATTCCAAAACATTTGAAACTATCGCAATTGGGACCAAAAAAGTCTGGTGAACTACATTTACAAACATCAGGAGAAACACACGCTCCTTTTCCATTGCAAACGCTGGTATTATTAAATAGTATCTTATTGCAGTAGTAAAGTTGGCAGTACGCTCCACTGTATCCAGTTTTGCATGAACATGTATCAGGTGCAACACAAATTCCGTTCCCGTTGTTGCAAACAAAGGAAGAGTTAAATAGAAAGCCATTGCAGTCAAACTTTTCACAATTATTGCCATAATATCCTGCATTACATGTACATGTGTTGTGAGATGAACACACTCCATGGCCAGAGCAAACAGTCGAATTTGAATTCACAATTCCATGACAGTAGTGAGTTTCACAATTCATCCCAGTGTAATTTGATTGGCAAGAACAATAGTTGGGAGAAATGCAACTTCCTCTTCCGCTACAGACTGTTGGATCACTACTGTTCTTGTTAAAACAGATTGGTAAGCACTCGGTAAAATCAGAAGACAATACGTATGAGTTAGTGTCCGAACAAGTAATTGTCAGTTTTCGAAGTGCTCTATTATTCCTATCTGTAATAAGGAATTCTGGCTTAGAACCAAGGAAAGATATATCGACAGGAAATTCGAACAATGCCATTTGGCTGTCTAAATAACCAGGTGCTCCAGGTTGACCATTTCCAGCTACCGTTGTGATTATTCCGTTTCTGTTCACTTTTCGAATCACATGATTATGTCCGTCAACGATATAAACTTCTTTTGATTCAGAATGATAAGCCACGCTGTGAGGATATTGAAGACGAGCTGAAGTGGCTGGTCCATAATCTCCACTGTAGCCAGATTGACCAATGGTTCCTGCAAAAACAATCATTGTTCCATTTGAGAATAATTTGCGAATGACATGATTGTATGAATCAGCAATGAACAAATTTCCTTCAGGAGTGAGTGTAATTCCTAAAGGGTGATATAATCCTGTTGCCACCACCACACTGGTGTTGGTCACTCTCGTCCATTTAATGATCTGATGTCTTCCCGCATCAGAAATGAAGACAACAGAGTCATCTCTTGCTGCAGCAACACCATACAGTCCATAATTTGCAATTGGTGCCACTTGTAAACGAAGGAAACCATATCTGTTTGTAAATCATATTGTCTCACCACATAGTTTTTGGAATCTGCAACGTAGACATATTTTGTTCCAACAGCGAGTTGTGCAGGGGTATTGTATTGAGCAGACAAAGCAGCCACATTGTTGACAGCATCTCCACTAAATCCAGTACCTGTGAAAACAGTCCTTACGAGCGAGATTGGATTGATTCTGTAGACATATCCAAGAACACTTATGATATAGTCGCCGCTGTCAGGAAGTATGGCAACACCGTAAAGACTGGATTCCAAATTGGTCATTACGTTGCTGATGGAATAGGTAACGCTTGAGTTTACAGAACAAATGTCATCGTAAAAGCATGCTGTTTCTTCGACACACTTGGAATTATTGGATGACCACACGTAGCCTCTCTCACAACCAATGCTTAGCTTTCTAATTGAACGGCTGTCACTATCTGTAATGAGAAGCGCTTTTTCAGTGCTGTCAAAAGTAAGAAACGTTGGATATCTCAAGAGAGGACCAAAGGTATTGGTGTACCCAGGTGCACCTTGCTGTCCGTTGCCTGCAACAGTGAAAATTATACCATTTCTGTTCACTTTTCGAATCACATGATTATGTCGGTCAACAATGTAAAGCTCATTCAGAACACTGTTATAAAGAACAGAGTGCGGATATTTAAGACGAGCTGAAGTGGCCGGTCCATAGTCGCCACTGTAACCAGATTGACCAATGGTTCCTGCAAAAACAATCGTTGTTCCATTTGAGAATAATTTGCGAATGACATGATTGTATGAATCAGCAATGAACAAATTTCCTTCAGGAGTGAGTGTAATTCCTAAAGGGTGATATAATCCTGTTGCTACTACCACACTGGTGTTTGTAGATCTCGTCCATTTAATGATCTGACCCTTCCTTCATCAGAAATGAAGACAACAGAGTCATCTCTTGCTGCAGCAACACCATATAGCCCATAATTTGCAATTGGTGCCACTTGGTAAACGAAGGAAACCATATCTGTTTGTAAATCATATTGTCTCACCACATAGTTTTTGGAATCTGTAATGTAGACATATCTCGTACCAACAGCGATTTGTGCAGGGTTATTGTATTGAGCAGATAAAGCAGTCACGTTGTTGACAGCATGTCCGCTACCTCCAGTACCTGTGAAAACAGTCGTCGACAGGTCAGCAGGATTGACTCGAACAATTTGTCCTTGAACACCTATCAAGTAATCTCCACTCGGATGAATAACAATTGCATCCATAGTTGATTCCATATTTGTGAGTAAATTGGAGACAGAATATGTGAAACAACTTGCATGGTCAGAACATGATGAAATGGAACACTGAACCCCTTTCCAACCAGGCCTACACAAACATACATCCTTTCAGAGCACAATCCATGCCCAGAGCAAACTTGGGATGAATTACCAAGTACTCCAAAGCACGACACACCACCTGTTTGTGCCGAGGCAAAACGCAGCTTGATGCAAACTATAGCAATGAGAAGGCAAACAAGAGAGCGGAAGAACATTTTTCTTAATGAAAATCGGTGAGAAATCAAAGCGCAATACGACAAATGTGAGGGAAATATATACCGACCTTAATGGGTTGCCGCTGTCAGTTATGGAATGTGTTGGTTTTCCATTCCATCAACGGAAATCAAAATTATCATCAATCGGGAGTAGAACGTTTTTTCTGATTGCAGTACACTAATTTCTGGATAGAGAAAATTGAAGGCCTCTCTCTTAATCATTTTTTTAAAATGAAAAAAAACCCAAATGTGGAATGGATGATCAAGCCTATGCCAATGGCTCTTTGGTGCCAATGCTGACTGGATAGTCATTCAACTTTTTCCTAAATGCTGGTTGTCGTTATTGAAATGTCTGATCGAGTAACATTTTCAATAATTCAAAAAAGATCATTTACAAAAAAAATGTCTCGATCTTCGTTTCTTGATGAAGAGTTATTGGCCGATGAAGATATTGCTGATTTGGTAAATTATTACAATCATCATCATCAGCACCAACAGCCACAAGGAAATGTAAATTATCTCGTTCAGCAACAACAACAACTCGCAAATACTATGCAGCAACAACAAGGCTCTCCATTCTTTTCATCATCGTTAGTAGCATCCTCCTCCTCTCTTCAACAAGGTCCATCTTTGGATATTTCTATTGAAACAGCCATTGATGAACCGTTCCGACATCAATGGTCTAATTATGATCTCAAGAAAGATGATGAAATGTATGAGAAATATAATGTTGCTTTGAAAATTAAGAACAATGCCAATAGTACCAGTGCACCTTTATTATTGAATTGCAGACATGAAATTCATGACAAGGGAAATATTTGTGAGATGAGTCACAAGAAAACCAATGTTACTGGTTATTATTTGGACTTTTTGTTGTTTGATTCTCAACCCTTCACGTTGCAACCACTCGAAGAAAAAATTGTTCTGGTATCAATATCAAGACCTTCCAGAACCATGGTTTCTCATGGAAAGTATTATATTCAATTCTATGTTCTTACAGCAGGAAATTTCCAATTACTTTGTCACACTCAACAGGTAAAAGTATTAACGAGCAAAAATAAGAATAATAGAACAAAACGTGTTTCATTGGATCCGACAAAGCAAGACATTTCTGTTAAAAATCTAGTTCCAAAAGAGTGGCAACACATTCAAACTTCTCACCAAGTATTTGAAGCATGTTTTTGGGATGAAGTTGATTTAACTGGTGAAAAGAAAAAGTATACTCCACCACCTGCATCTACCACAGCTTCATCATCAAGAACTAGCGCTACATCAAGCAATCCTTCAACAACAACTCCAAAAACAGAAATTCAAAGCAATGGAACGCCCCAAAGTAGTTCACCTGGCCTCATGAATCAACAGCAGCAACAAACATCAACAACTAATGGTGAAATGTTGTTACAGCAGCATCCACAAGGACATTCCCATTTCCCTGGTCTGGGAGATGGTGGCTCTCCTCTTTTCAAAAATCCACTATCACCAGGTTTAATGGCAGGATTAGTGTCACCAAATCATGATTTTTTGAGAAGTCCTTTCAGAGATGATCATCATACGCTTGACTCTGAATTTCATGGACATTCCTTCTTGGAAGAACCCTCTGGACATATTCAAAATTACATTCCAATTAGCACACATACGTCTATCATTAAGATATTCCAAAAACAGCTTGATTTTTACAAACAACAAATGGAAATTCTTTTAACGGAACTAAAACGACATGATAAACGAATGGCTGAAACACTCTATAGACAGTATGCTTCTGTTTTACAACGAGATTCCATGTCATCAAGCACTTCCTGGGATGATTCCAACATTCCATCTGAAGAGGATTTGGAAAATATGTTCAACAAGATGAAAATTATCAAGGAACAAGTGGAGCAGTCCATCAACGACTCCAAAAAACCGCCATGCTCTCCTGTGGCATATTCAAATTTTTCACCACATCATGATTATGTACAAAGCCCCACCTACTCTCTTTACAACTCTAAAGATTATGATTTCTCGTTTGATGAAGATGTGACCATTCCCGACTATTATGAAGTGAAATGTAATTCTACCGTTCTGAAAACATGGCAAATTACAAATTGTGGAATGCCATTTCCTCGTGGAACTAGAATTGTGGTCAAATCCGATAAAGAGACGCCCTTGGAGAGCGACGAGCTGTTATTACCTTTGAGAAATACGATTGAGGATCGTGTCTTGTCAGAGAGTGAGCTGGCTGGTTTTAATGAAACAAAGAACATTTCTTGTTCTATTAAGGCTCCAAATGTGGAAGGTCTCTTTCGAAGAGAGTATTGTTTGCAACTTCCTAATAATATTGAATTTGGAGATTCGTTGGTTGTCATTTTCAGAGCTGTCAAATAATATTGGATTTCGAATTGAATCCATTCTTCACGCTGAAATGACAAATTCATCATCAAAATAAATTAATGTTTATGGTGTAATTATAAGACTTGTTGTTTGAGGAATCATCTTATTGTTGGTGACTGAGTTTGTGAATGACCAAAGGCTCCAATCCACCAAGAACAATCAATTCTTGAGCCACTGGACCCACAGGATGGAATTGATATTCTTTCTTTGAGCTTCCTTCCAATAGAGTCAAACAGGAATTTCTAAAATCAATTCTGATTTTAGCATTCTGGACAAGAACAGTCTCCTTATTGGTACCTTGCGTTTGTTTCAAATAGTCCACAAGAGCTGGCACCTCAATACATAAAAATCCATTATTGGTAGCATTTCTCTTGTACGTTTCACTGAAACTTCCTCCAACCACTACTTGAATGCCCAAATATTTCAAACATGTGGCAGCTTGCTCTCTAGAGCTTCCCGTTCCAAAATTATATCCACAAACAAGAACATGTCCCTTCTTGGCAATTTTCACAAAATTTGCATCATAATTTTCCATAGCGACTTGAGCTTGTTCTTCAGGAGTGATGGTTTCCTTATACGTGTATTTTCCAGGATAAATTCCATCTGTATTGAGATTATCTTGATGAACGAAAACTACTTCTCCTTCCATGACTTCTGGAAATCCCTCAATAATTTTAGTCTTTCCGTGTGAAGACGATCCAGACTCACTATGAACTTTTTTGGAAAATTTAGCTACTACTTGGTTGCCACTGCCACTCGTTGAAAAATATTCTGGCAATGAAATGAAACCTTTCAATGCACTGGCCATGACTACTTCAGGAGAAGCCAAATAAGCTTCTGCATTTCGAGATCCCATTCTTCCTTTAAAATTTCGATTCGTACTTGAAATTCCAACTTGTCCATCTTGTAACAAACCAGTGCCTAAACCAATACAGGGACCACATCCTGGTGGAAGAACTTTGGCTCCAGATTGTACTAACAATTGCCAATCTCCAAGTTGTTCACTTTCTTTTTGAACCTTGTCACTCGCAGCAGAAATGTACAATTCCACACCTTTTGCAATTGTTTTTTGAGAGGATCTTCTCAAGACATTGGCAGCTTGATGAAGATCGTTCACTCGACTGTTTACACATGAAACAATATAGGCCTTGTGGACTTGAATTTGCTTTTTTGCAATTTCTTGGACGCTTTGCATGACTTTGACATGATTGGGTCCAGAGACGTGAGGATCCACTGTGGAAAGATCCAAAGTCAACGTTTGAACATAGTGAGCATCTGGATCTGGAATGAATTTCATATGATCTTGTTCCAATTTTTGAATGGCTTTCGATTTGTTGGAGTTTTGTGTCTTTTTTAACCAATCAATGGTTTGAGAATCCACTGGGAAAACACCAGCTAAAGCACCCCACTCAGTTGTCCTATTGTTTTGTAGTCAACATTATAAAAATTCAAAATGGTTCCATTCGTATGGTCAAAATGAACACAATTCACATGTTTGTGTGAACCAGTTAGGAAATTAATGTTCAAATTTTTTCATGAACACTTACATGTTTGCAATGGATAATCTTTCATCAATCGATAATGAACTAATTCCATCACCTGTAAACTCCACACAATGATTTAACACTTCGTCATTATTAAAAAGTCCACACAATTCAATAATCACATCTTTACCACTCACTCCTTCTCTCAATTTACCAGTCAACTCAACTCGTGTAATTGGAGGAACTTGCCACCAAGTCGATCCAGTTGCCCAAATCGCAGCAGCATCAGTTCTCACAACAGGAGTTCCCAAACATCCAATTCCACCATACATATTGGAATGAGAGTCACTAGCAGTTGTAAATGTGAGAGGCCATGCATATCCTTCTTCGATCATTACTTGATGGCCAATTCCTCTACCGGCTGGATAAAAGACAATTCCATTTTCAGAGGCAAATGATTCAATTTTTTTGTATTTGGCGAGATTGGCTTCGGAAGTGTCCTGAATGTTGTGATCGAGAGCAAAGACGGGTTGTTTTGGATTGGCAAATTTCAGTGGTTTTTTACATTCTTCGAAAAAGGCTTTAAATTTGATCATGACAGCACTGTAAAATAATAGAAAATAATAATCAATATTGAAATAATAATAATCAATAATATTCATTCAGTGTTTAAAGTCTTGTTCATCACCTACCTGGTATTGTCATGAGTTAAAATATGATGAGGAGAAATTTGCAAATAATCTCCCGAGCTCACCAATCCATGATCCTCAGGTGCATATTGTTGTAAAATTTTGTGGATCATGGTTTGATGTTGTCGAAGAGTGAGCGAGTTGGAAAACAATCGTACTTGTTGACCATGTTGTCGTAGTCTTCGAAGGAATAACGAAGAGAGTGCCAATGTTGTGTTGGTGTGATACGCACGGGAAGTGGTGTGGAGCATTTTTCTTGATTCGCGAATTTTACGGGAATTTTGTGGTTGAAATTGCGAGAAATTCCTGACGCGTTGTCTTTTTAGTTCGAGCTCAAAAAAAGGAAATTTGTTCAATTCCATACTACTCCAAGTCAAACTTGAAATCGACATCACTTTTTGGTAGTTCCACATCCAGTAAATCTAAATCTGATAAAGAAAGAAACTCGTCATCCACATGTAATGCTTTGTCAACATAAACAGCTGTAGGAATTGGATCAGTGTCAGTAGATGTTGATTCTGTAGCAATTATACCAATTTCTTTCTCCTTCAAACTATCATTCACTGCCAATTTAGTCGCAAACGTTTCATAGGCCCGAGCTAATTTCGAATTCGTCTTGGTCAGTTGGTTGTTCGCCTTCTCCAAAGCTTCAACTCGTTTCTGAAGTTTTTGAAGGTTTTTCAGGCTTCGATCATACCTTCGCTCCATCCTTTCCATTGCTTGGTCTTTTAGATCGAGAGACTTTTGTAAATAGAGTATAAGCGCCACATAGGGACCTGGTACGGATTCAACACTATTTAAAGGTGGCATTGGAGGCATTGGAGGTATGGCATCTTCAGCGTCTTCTTCCTCAGTACTGGTTCCATCATCTTCGTCTTGAATTTTAATTTTCTTGATATCCATTGCTCGTTTACCCTCCACTAATTTTCGTTTTCTTTCCTTTTCGTTTTCTTGTCTATTAAGGTCAGAGTTTACATTCTCTTCACTACTTTTACCTCCATCTGGCAAAACTGGATAGGTATCCGAGGATATATAAACGTTTAACTCTTCATTGATATTGGAAGAGGCTTCTGATGGGAGTCGTATTAAGACAAGTCTGCATTTCTTACACGTTTTCATAACCTATGTTGTCGTTCAATGTAATAACAAATGTTGTTAGTTCCAAAATATTAATCAGTTCAGATTTCCATCTTACCTTATAGGTTGTGGTGTCACATTCAAATTCTTGAACAACAGGGCTGCTATTTTTCGTGCTTGACTTGGTCTTTGCTTCTGATCCCTTGGTTTCCCGCATCTTACCGATGAAGTGGATGGAAACAGATTGTTGAATTTCACAGCTTTCATTAATTCCTAATAACAAAAACTCAGCTCCAATCTTTTGTTTTTCTGGTATACAGAGTTTTAATTTCCTCCTGCCAAGACATATAGGACCTTTGTGCGTGCATACGAAATTTTGTTTTGAGTTAATTCTAATTTCCGTAATTTCTGAGGTGAGTGATTTCGCTGGAAGAACTAGGGTATCTGATGAATTACTTTTGTTAGGTGTTTCATCTTTGACAGGTGGAAGATTTGCAATACTTTGGGCAAGTTCATTAAAATTGGTTGCCGATGTGGTTGCACTTAGGTCGGTAATACTGTCCGTGCTTATTGAAGCACTTCTGGGACTATTATCTTGTTCGGTGCTTGAAATAAGTTTGGAAATTGCTGTAAACGGAGCAGGTATTATTTTCGATAATATTTCTTGACATTGAGCAGGTTTAAATGAAAATTGTAAACTTCCTAATTCTTTCAAAAAGTATTCCGTTATTTTGTGAAACACAAAAGGTACAGGTGTTTTTCCCTGATTATTACATTCCGATTTTTCTGTATTGTCTGATGATGACGATGATGATGCTACCTTTTTCCGTCCCATAATTAATTTACATAAAATTACAATACTACTAAAGCGCACTAGAATATTCTACAATTGTTGTTGGTGATCGATCGTTCAATAAAATTGTTTTAATAATGAAACCTCCACGGTTATTAGAGGATCGTGATGCTTGCGCGTTTAAATATTTTTTTTAAACGAAAAAATGTGGAAATCATCACTCCGAAACGGATTGTGCTTGAAGAATTATGATCATCATAGAGCATCAATATCGTTACTGGTCAATAATTACAAATTATTCAATCATATAAATAGGCGTTCTTTAAGAAGGAATTTAAAAGGGTCGGAACAACAATTTAATTTAAATCAATTGTTAACAAAGGCAATTGAAGATGGAATTCTTGAAGAAAATCATTTCAAGAACACCACTGTTATTGACACTAAAAACTGTGCTCCACATAGGAACAATGAAATTCAAAATTTCAGAAAATTAGACTCTTTACAATATGTTATGAATTTTGATGATTTGAAAGAAACTCCGAGCGATGGATATAAACTGTTCGAAAATTGTACATTCACATTGCTTTTTTCGGAGCCAAACACACAAGTTTGGAAGATGACAAATATTGATTATGAACTATTAGCATATTTCACGTTGAAGAAATCTGATTATACACATTCTCATGACAAGAAAGCAATAATTACACTCTTTGATGAAAGTTCGGTATGTATTGGTGATGTCGCTTAACTCGAATCTAGTTGAATTTACATAAATTATTCATCTATTAGAAACACTGGGATACCATCATCTCAATTTCAGGTTATCAATCCGTTGTGAATTGGGTTCAGAAAACTGTAAAGGACTGGTCACTCCAGATGAAGAACTCGTCATTTCCTTTACAAAATCTCAACGTGTTAGACGCTGCTTGTGGAGGAGGTTACACAGCACAACCTATTTTCACTACCCTCAATCATGAGAATGGCCTCAAGACCAATATTATGGGCATTGACATTTCTTCTGGCATGTTGCAAGTAGCATTGCAAAGAGCACCTCAAATATTCCAAATGGGAATGTCGACACATGACCTCGATGAACCAATGAAACTATTTCCTAACGAATGTTTTGACATCATATCTTGTGTTGGAGTTGTAGAGTTTTTACAAAATTTTGAAAGTGTAACCTTACCAGAATTTAAGAGACTATTAAGAAAGGATCAACACGCGGAGATTTGGTTTACTGCTCAATTTCAACCTGACCCAGCAGTGACAAGCATTGAGAAAGATAAAGAAGGCCACCATCTTTACAACCAAACAATTTTAGAAACACTCCTTGCAAAGCATGATTTATATATAGCAGAGAATGGCCTTGAAATTATTCAAAAGGCATACAAAACAGGAGAAGGGAAAAGAAAGAATACAGCAACAGACACGGTTTCCTTCATTGCTGTTCGAGTCAAACACAAATTGTAAAAAGTGTTTTTCCAACTTTGCCATTTCATACTCGTAACTATATCAAGACAATTTGGAACGTGGACTTGAACCTTAGGTTAACTCGTATTTGTTCTATAGAGTAACCATCGGATCTTGGTTACATCCAAAATGTACTTCTTCTAAATTTGACCATTTCCCTTCTATAGCTTAGTGATGCATCTGCTGCTGTGCATGATAAGAGGTGAACTGACTCTCTCAATGACACAATTTTCAGAACAAAAAACAACACAAGATATGGAACAAAACATTGGCAAGAAAGAGGAATTTAGCGGCAATAAGGACATCCTAAGCGGTGAAAAGAATTTGAGTCAACAAGGTTTGAGCTCAAATCTTAACAAGGAGGGCTCTGAATTCATGGGCGTTGGAGGTGAAAAGAGAGATCAAGATCTTAACCTCAACAAGGACATCTCATCAGGCAAGAGCACTGACGTTCCAATTCAAAGAACCTCGAATGTTTAAAGAGTGATGACATGTCTGCATCATGATCATTGCATTCACTAAGCTGAGTACTGTTAGGTGTGATAATTTGTGTTTTATGTGTGACTGTACATAGTGTGAAATTGTGCGTAAATGAATGAATTCAATAAAATTCGTGATTACAACAGTTTGAAAAGAGTTATGATTACAAGCAAATATACATTCGATCGTGTGTAATGAACACTCGTTGACAATCATTCAACAATTCGGATCCAAATATTCCATCGACGTGAAACGAAGAAAGCATGTAAGACAATTGTGAAGGAAGAGTTCCACATTTCAAAACAAAGGTTTTTTCTACTTGAGAATTCTTTCCACAACTCGTCAAATGAAGTGGCACTCGATACAGACTAGTCATGAATTTTCCCATCGTTGGATGAAAATCTTCTTCAGTTCCCAATGGCTCATAGTTGGAACGTTCGTCTTGGACCCACTCCGCTGAAATGTAGGAAATCTTGGCTCCTGTATCAAAATACATTTGTTTCAAATTGGAAGAGGAGTTGTTGTTTTCAAATGCATGACCGGAATTGAACTCACACGAGTCAATTCAATTTCCAAAACATTATTCTCTTCGTTAGGATTTGATAAACGAGTCGAATGAACAGATTTGTTGAAAAATCGAATGCACTCACGACTCAGTTCCAAATGATAGTCTTGCATGATATCATTTCCCAATAAATATTGTACATTAAAATTAATATATTTGCTAATACTTTTGGTAGAGAGTTGAGAGGATGCTTCATCATGCATTTGTTTCACTTTAAACTTTTTGCCACAAATTCCCAAAGTAGAATATTCACTGGAGAGGGTCATGGGTGATCCAGTGTCCACAAGGGCATAGAGAGACTCTTTGTTTTGATTTGGAATTTCCATAATGATGTGTCCGTCCAAAAATTGAACCTTGTAAGAAGCAATAGGTGTTGTTTGATCCGATAACATGTTGAGATCAATTGTGGTGGTGTGTTATTATTGTTTTTCAAATTGATTCTATTTTTTTTTATGAAATCCAAAGAGATAGGTAAGAACGATTTTGAATTTGAACTTTTTAGAGATAATAATTCCAATGGTTCATCTCAAGTTCAGTGTTCCAATAATGAACAACAATCTCTAAATGTTTGATTCATTTCCCACGGTTGATTTCCGATAATTCCGATCATGATGTATTTCATTGCCACGTTCTTTTTGAAAATAATTTCCTCATGATTAATTGAATGATGAAACGAAGCATGTTCAATTATTATTTTTTGTTAATTTTTTAATAATAAAAATTATTAAAAAATGCCATCATCGCCCCAACGAATTTCATCCTCAAGTAACAATAATTCTTCAAAATCGGTTGGGTCCTCGGGTGTGAGGTTTAATGAAAAAACAACTAGTGATCGCTATTCAAATAACAGATATAGCAACGAAGGAGGATATCGGAGTAGATCCGGTAGAAATTATGATGACGAGGACGATTATGATCGAAGAAATAAAGATAGAAAAAGCTATCGTGGAGGAAGAAGGGATTATGATGATGATTATGATCGTGAGAAAAATTATTCAAAAGGAAATTATTCAAGATATGAAAAATATGATCGATATGCGGATGATGATAGAAAAAAATATTCAGATGATTATAAACGAGATGACCGCTCTTCTAGGTACAAAGACTCACACAAAAATAGTGACGATCATCATTCACAACGCGAACATTCCAAAGACAAAACAATCAACAACACGAATGAGAACAATGAAACATTGTCAACGTCCAAAGAACCTCAACAACAAGAGTCTACGGGAGAAGTCTTATCAAAAACAACCTCTACATCCGATCTAAATAACTCATTGAAACGAAAAATGGAAGAACATCAGCAACAGCAAAAACGAAAAAAGATGGGGCAAGAAAAATATGATACTTCCGATAAGGGAGAAGAATTTATAGGATTAAACGACGACTCCAGCGATAGTGTGGAGGACAAAATTATTGCATCTAAATCTGAAGAAAATTCCATTCAAAAAGTAGCAGAACAACTTTGGACGGATGAAAAGGATTTCATTCTCAAACCAACATCGATCGACGAATTAATTGAACTTAACAAGGTTCACGTACTACGAAAAGAACAGTATGAAAAGAAGTTGGAAAAGTTAGAGAAGAAGAAAGATAAAAAGAAGAGTAGCAAAAAACGAAAGCACAAGGAAGGAGACGAGATCATTACTTCCACGTCAACCACAAATCAAGAAGAAGAAGTTGGTCCCAAACTATTACCCGATATGACTCAAGACAAAGACACTAGATATGAAGTTCCTTTACTGCCTGGAGAAGGTGCTGCTATTGCAGAATTTATTCAACAAAATAAGCGTATTCCTAGAAGAGGAGAAGTTGGTTTGACAAGTGAGCAAATTACTGATTATGAGAATTTGGGATATGTCATGTCAGGTAGTAGACATGCAAGAATGAACGCAATTCGTATCATGAAGGAAAATGAAGTATACATGCAAGAAGAAAAGAAACGTCTCGCTCTCTTAAGCAAGCAAGAAAGAAGCCAGAGGGAAAACAAGATTATTTCACAATTCAGAGACATTGCCAAGAGGGAATAAATGTGCTTTAGAGTGGATCATGTAGAATGTTAGTGTACTCGTCCTGTGTTGTTTCTTAACAATAGTTGGTTCAAGACTGGTAATTCTTGTTAACCTGAACATACTTTGTAAAAAACAAAACATTTTGCGTCGACCGGGAATTGAACCCGGGTCACGGCGATGGCAACGCCGTATTCTACCACTAAACCATCGACGCTCCTTGTCAATTTTAATTTATTTTAAATAAAATAAAATTAGCTGAATTATTACTTTGAATCAGTAACTTGCGTCGAGAAAGCTGTTTGGAACCTTTGATTTTCCACACAAAACGATCCCAATCCCTTTTCGTCAAACAACGAAACAATACCGCTAAATGCAATCTCATTTCTTGTGTTGTTCAACTCCTTCATGGGGATAGTAGGTCCTCCAGAAAATCCTTTGTTAATGGTGTTTGAAAAATAGCGAATGAGAGTATTGTTGTTAATACTTTGATGCCCAATCATATTTCCAAAAGAAACAATAGGACTCTTCTCATTGGTCATCATCAAGTTGTTGACCAATTCGATCGAGAGAGATGAATCATTTCTTGTTCTGGCATCCATAAATTGCTTGTATTTAGAAGGGTAGCCAATGACAATTGTATCAAAACGTTGAGAGTTATTGGTGTACTCATTATCCATTGCATCACATTCACATTGTTCTTTTGGAATAAAGTATTTTTGTGAAATATCTTGAACGTTATACTTGTTTTTTGTAATAAACTCATGCGCATTACATTTTAAAATTGCATAATCAATATCATTGTCTCCATCATAATGAAATTCAACAATTTCACATTCGATTAGTTCTTTTTGTACTTTGGTTGATTGTGCTAACTTTTGGTTATTAATATGCTTTTCCAATGGTTTTGGAATTAATCCTACTCTCTTTGCATCTCCAAAAGGTGTAATGACACAATGAGCCACAGTGACCAAATAAATATCCTTATGGTCCCCAACAATAGGGCTCACAACAAAACATGTTCCTCCAGAAATTTGTTTGGAATCTTGAACTGCACCTATTGGGAGTGATTTGACATGAAACACTAAATAGGTTGTAATTTCTTTCAAAAGAGATGAGCTCACCATATCCTCACTCAAGTCCATTCCGGTTGAAGTTTTCTTGAAGTCTAAACTCTGGCTGGTAAATGCTAAATTGGTGTAAGTATTTTCTTCCGCATGAAATTCAGCAATAGATTGCAACTTTTTTCTCCAAGCACCAATCATGAAAGATACGCCAACTCCAGCAATGAGAATGAGAGTGATATTCTTGTTGAATTTTTTACTCTTCTCTCTAAAATAATATTCAGTAAATTTTGTCTTGAAGTTAGATGAAAAACTCCGATGAATTACATGGTGAGTATGAAATAATTTGTAACGATCATCAGCAAGATGATGACTCTTCAGCAACAGGGAAGGACATGCACCCAACAGTTTTTTCATTTTTTGTGTCAATTAAACAATTTTTAATATTTAATCTTTTTCTAAAGACGATCACGGCAGTCATTGGAATGCTGCAAAGAAAGTTCTATATCGCAAGAAACATGACTCGAAATTTCATGCATTTAGAAATTCATAAATCAAAGAATATTGCTAATACCAAAGGCATAGGTCCATACTTTTGCATCAATGATGAATCCATGATTCTTTGACATGTCTTCCAAAGTGTCAAACAACTTTGATAATTTTACAATATGAATGGTGATATGCTCCTCATCTTCTAATTGCTGTTTAGGCCTTTCTGATATTTTAATTGGTTCAACCTCACAGCAAACAATTCTACAGTTCGCATTGGTCAATCCAACTTCCAAGCCTACAACGGAAGAAACTCGTGAAATTTTGCAAATTTTAAGTCCAGTTTCTTCCAGTAATTCTCTTTCGGCAGCTTGTTCTGCACTTTCTCCCGAGTCGCACAAACCAGCAGGAAATTCCATACAATAGCCTCTCATTGGAGGTCGATATTGAGAAATCAAGACCACATGTTTTTCAGTTTCTTCCAAAGGGATCATGGTGGCGATGACTTCAACACCATCAATTTCACCGGATCGTGTCGTTCTCTCTACACAATCCCACTCTCTCTTCACTTGAGTTTCATCCATATAGGATAACTTTTTTAATTGAAGCCATCTGGTTTGATGGAGAGTCTCTTCGGAAAGATGTGTTGCAGTGAGATTGATTGTTGTGGTTGATCGGAAGGTGGCAAACTCATTTTTTTGAGAGTGACAATTCGAATTGTAATCCAATCATCATTGTAAGGAATTGTTTTATATTCCAAGCCATTCTAAACCCAAAAGGCATGTTACACAAATTAATCCCACTTGTAATCTTGAATTGAGGCAAGAACTCGTTCATAGACTTTGTCAGCTGTGGTGTTTTGAGCAAAGTATTCAGCCAAATGACCATAAGGATCCATTAAATAAATGAAAATACTGTGGTCAACCAAGTAGTCTTGTTTTCCTTCCTTATAGTCTGGAGCATTATAGTAGACTCGGTACTTTTTACACACTCTGCTGATTTGATCAGGTGTTCCTGTAAGTCCAATAAAGTTTGGATGATAGTCCTGAAGATACTCAGCAACAGCAGTACATGAATCACGAGGAGGATCACAAGAAACAAATATTGGAACAATCTTGTCGGCCAGCTCAGGATGTTGCTTTTCAAGCATTTGCAGTGCCTTAGTCATCTTTTTCATTTCAGTAGGACAAACGTCTGGACAATTGGTAAAACCGAAATACATGAACATGAATTTTCCTCTAAATTCAGAGTCTGTAATGACTTCTCCTTTAGTGTTAACAAGAGTGAAAGCCCCTCCAAGTTTTGGAGCTCCCACAGCTTTTACAGCTTTGTTACTGGCTTGACCTGCATGAGCAGAAACATAATGTCAAAAGATTGAAGCCAACGTTGGAATAAAAAATAAATTAATAAATTGAATTCATTCCAAGTATCCAATTTTCGAAACACTTACGGTCCAATTCAGCTTCTCGTTTCTTTTGACGAACATCATATTTTGCAAAATTATACAAAATAATTCCGAACACGGCAGGTAAAATCAAGTTAGCTGGAGAGAGCAATTTTTTAAAGTAGCTCTTCTTGGTTGTATCCTCGGACCCTGTTTGTTGTTGTTGATCAGTATTTTGTTGCTCTTCCTTGGGCTCCTCTTGTTGTTGTGTTTGTTGTTGTTTCTTTTCCTCATTGCAAAAAACAATTGATTTTGAAAATGAAGCGCTCTGATTATTTAACACTTTGAGGAAGGAATTTTGATTCGGAGAGAGATGTACAAATGGAGAACGGAACGAGCAGGCTTGAATGGCTCGGACCGTGCTTGTGTTTTTCGAAAAGAGAAGTTTTGAAGTGAATTTGACTGAGTGGCTTGCAAGCATTTTTTTGGGTTGTGTTCTGATAGCCAAATTAAGACCAATATGCTCTATCCGTCTGCAAGAATTTGATGCCTTTAATTATTAATTTATTCACATCTTGGCACTGCATTCAAAATGCTGCAAATTCTCTTGTTGTTTCTTGTTTTTGCAACGTATGCTGCTGTGATTCCGTGTTGGTTTTGTTTTGAAATATCAGCTCCACATCTAATTAATGCTTCCACAGCACCAACAGAATTACGGAATGCAGCTATGAGTAAAGGTGTAAAACCAGACACGGTATTCACATAATCAATATCCTTTCGGTAGTATTTTGCAAGTTCATAAATAATGTTGGGTTGATTTTGAGCAGCTGCTACATAAATGGGTCGTATACATCTATCATCTTGAGCATCCTCAAAATTGAAACCTTTCTTTTTAAGGTATGAAATCAAGTGCTCATGTCCTGATGCACAAGCGAAATGTAAACAAGAAATACCTGATGCATTCTTGACGTTAATGTAGTCTTTACCATTCACGTTGGCCAAAAGTTCCATCGCTGAGACAGCCCCCGCTGAGGCAGCAACATGAATTGGATATCTGCCAAAATAATCTACACATTCAACATTAGCACCTTTGGCGAGAAGTAACTTGATAATATTACAATGGCATTTCTTGGCAGCCAAGTGTAGAGCGGTACGAGGATGACCATCATTGGTGTTGGCATTCAAGTCGCAATCAGGCTGTTCAACAAGCACTGATTTTTTGTAAACAAAATCAGGTTGAATGAGCATGCAGTCAAGTGCTTAGATGCAAACTGTTGCACAATTACAGATTACTACTACTTACGCTCACAAATTTCCAAGTTGCCCATAAACGCAGCAATGTGAAGAAGTTTTTTTCCACTAGGCGTATATTCACATGTCGAAGCACCATTTTGTAATAAAACTTTCATTGCGTTGATGGCGTTTCGTTTCACAGCAAAGTACAGAGGATACTTCTTCTTAAGGGTTTTGGCGTTGACTGTGGTTGGATTGAAGTTGATCAAGAGTTGCAAAATTTCAATACCACTGCTTCTCGAAGCGGCCTTGTGAATTGGTAAATAACCAGTCGAAGTGCTTATGAGTGATGGGTCGGCCAGGTTTGGACATAATTGTCTCATGGCAGTGTGTAACTCGAGGAATAATTTTACAATGGATGTGTGCCCCTTCTCAGTTGCAATGATAAGGGCTGTTCTCTGATTATCGTCTCTCGTTAGAGAATTTACAAATTCATGAATATGTGGGATGTTGTGAGGAGTCAGAATGATTCCAGTTGGATTGCCTTCAAACTGAAATTCCACTCCTTGTTGTTGTGGGATGGTACTGTTACCCATGAACTTTTGGGCAACCCATTTTACAAGTGCTAAAACTACAGAGCAATGGCCACCATATGCTGCAAAATGAAGAGGTCTTGAACCTTTCAGATTTTCAATATTGATGTCTATGGATGATCCAAAATGTGTGAACAGAAATTCAATGATTTTAACTAGTCCACAATTTGACGCAATATGTAATGCTGTTTGTTCTTTGAATGGGTGAATTGTGTTTCTCATGTTAATATCAAAATTGGGAGGAATTTTGCTCAAGAGTGGCATTAAATCATAACCGTTAGTGATGTATTTGAAAAATTGCACCTCTATTGGCTCTTCATTTGTTGTTGGTTCTATCTTTCTCTTCTTATTGTTAGCAGCATCGGGTAATATGGTCTTGACAAAAATAGCTAAATTTTGTTGACAAATCTCGTCAATTATGGCTTCAGAAGACTCCACGTTAGGAGAACATAAAATTTCAGGAGGAGCCTCTTCATCGTCAATGCTAGACTGAGAGAGTCGTGGTTTGTTGTTGTTGTTATTATTATTATTATTCAAATGGTGATGTACAGTTTTGTTGTTACTTTCGGCCAATGATGAAGTGCTCAAATTCACAGAATCATCGGCAGAAAAAACATCTTCTTCAACAAACAGGACATGACTGCTCGAAACAAAGTCCTCACCTTCCTCCATTCTGTCTTGTCCAACGCTGGGATGATGATCAACGTCATTCACATGAATTTGTTGTAACACATTTGTGGCTGTACTTTTGCTTGTACACAACAACTCCCATGATGAAGCCATCTGAACATTTGCTTGTTGTTCGGAAGTGTTCTCCCCATCACACTCGTCTTGAGAAATAAATTGGTCGAATTTTCTCTTTAACATTTTTTTTGCAAAATTGCAACCGCCGATAACGGCTGAAGGTGAACACCACTGAACTTTTGACAGCCTTCGCATCGCATCTTGACATTCACGCAAAGATAATCATCTTTTAACCTTCTTTGTTTCTTCTGTTGTTTTTGATACACTACAACAAGTACATGCTCTGCTACTACTACAAAATTTGCTCTCTTTTCCAATGGGCATGATTTCGTCATGGACACCTCAGCAACGAACAAAAATATCCAGATGACATCATCAAGAGAACGTTGATCCCAAAAGAAAGTTATTTTTGAATTACACTCGGGGCATTGAAAACAAAAGAAAGCTTTCATATCCATATAACAGCATTCGCTTTCTTTGATATTCTTTGGTAATCATGAATATTTCATCATTCGGAAGCCTTTTTTCGAATTGGTACAATGCCAATAGCGATACAAATACATCATCTTCATCCGCCGCAAATTCATCAGGCAGTGCAGAAGAACATTACTCGGTTGCAAACAGAAATGCCAATAGATCATCAATACGAACTACACCACCAAAAACTGGTACAAAATCAACATCCAGTTATGTACCTACTTTTTCCTTGAGCCACGTAATTTCTCCATCGAACTCTAACGCGAGAGATGATAGCAAACAAAAATCGGAATCAATTAATTTTGAATTTCAGAGTACTAGTTTGATCTGTACATCTTCTCATCATGAACATCACTGTTTATCAAGCAACAATCAACAAAATATTCGAAATAAGTCAACTTCCAAGCTTGTGTCTCTTCCATTTGATGGTATGGTGGAGATTTTAAGCTTTCTCCATAAGAAGGACATTTTCTTCATGTCACTCACATCCAAACATTTCTACAATATGATATTTTGTCAGAGTGTTTCTAATTTTCCACTATGGCGAGTGTTGTGTGTGAGGGATGGATTAATTTCACCTCATGCCAACGACAGTGAAGATAACTCTGAAGACGATGAAGACAATAATGGTGACAGCGATAACCTTAGCGATAACAACAGTGAAGTTGTTGCCAAGCATTATTTCTTTGACCCTTACCGAGATTTATACTTGAATTATGAAAGCGACATTGGAAGCAGTCAATGTGAATGGTTTTGCAAGTTTGATCTTGTCAAGTTGGAATGGGTGTTGAACGACAATGTTCTCCAACTTTTCGAGAAAATCATTAACAAGGAAATTTGCGTTGTGACAGCTCTGCAATGCTATCCAGACTCCACCAAATATAAGGGAAATGCAAGTCAAGTCCTCAATCAACTTCTGGGAATAAGAGACGCTTTTCCTAACTCCCTCACAGATCAAGACTCTGAATTACCATGCCTCTACATGTATACACGCCCATTGTGTAGAGTTAGAAAATCTCAAAGCAAGGGGAAAAATCAGAACATTCTCTTCATTCGAGCGTATAACTTGTTCGATGACGAGCACGACTCAAATGTGTCACTCGACGACGAGGATTTATTCGGATGCAATGATGAGTCCAATTTGGCAAGTGTCAACAATTTACGAAAAACAATAATGAGATTTATTATCATGTACAGTTCAACTGTCATTATTTGCAAGCAGAGTGAATGCCCTTCTTGGTTATACAGATTAGACAGTTTGATCGAACCCATTCATGATCCTCCTCTGTTTGGAGCATACTCCAACATGCCTAGTCTTCTTGTATGCAGTCTGCACACGGCATCATCAATTTCTTCATCTAGCTCGACTCCAAAAGAAAATGTAGAAATTTATGATTTGTTGGATGAAATTCGTCACATTATTGCATACAACAAGAATCAATCATTGAACTTTTTGTCTGTCATATTGAATTGGTTTGGAAAGATTCATGGTATTAATTTGAACGTGAAAAACATTTCCAACGAATCCTATGATGAAGACTTGTGGTGTTTTGTTAACGACATTACTAGCAAGTTACAATTTGGTTGGTCCATTTCCAGGTGGGATCGAATCAAGTCTAACGGTGAAATTTGTAAACTCTTCTTTGAAAAATGTGTCCAGGAAACTAATGAAAATAGAACCTCGAACATTACTCATGGAAATCTCTTTGTAGACGGAAGCATGTTCCATGAGAACATACAGAACAAATTTGCAAAGACTCTACTCGAGAAGGAGATGCAACGATCCTTGGAGTTTTATCAAAGAGCTGTCAAAGCTGATTTAAATCCTGCCAATCCCTTGGAAATGGAAGAAATAGTCAAACTCTCTGAAATGCACGCCGAAGCAGCCATCAGAATGTTCACACAAACAGTAGCTCCTGCATGCTTCTCCTCACAAACTATTGAAGAAGTGGAACAATCGTTGAAGCATGGAATTAATAACAATTTCAGGATTTTGTGGAGAGAAAATGCAAGAAACTCTGAAAATTATTGTCAAGAAGTTTGGGAAGCAACTTTTAAATGGATGAAGGCAGAATTTGAAAGCCCGAGCACTCACGACGATTTTTGTAATTTATTTGAAGCTCGATTTTTCTCATCTCTCACTCTCTATCTTCAGAATGCAATTGGAACTAGGAAGATTTTTGTCATGAATTTTTGTTCCAAACAATACCTTGAAGATTATATTATCCCTGTTTATCCATGCATTCGAAATATTTGTCAAAACATTATGGCTGCTGTTGAAGGATTAACTTTCCAGGAAACTGTTGATATTGACAAGCAACGATCACAACTTCAAAAACTTTCAGCCATACGATTGAAACTTCTTACCATAGAAAATACCATTGACCGTCTCAAAGAGGAAATTCATGTCAGAGAAGAGGATTTGAAGAAGTCAGAAGAGCAAAGTGGAGTGATTGAGGATCGTATGAAGAGACTTGGTCTCAAATATGAAAAATCTCTGTTGGGAAAGGTTTCCTCAATACGAAAATTGTACATTGAATCAGCCTCACTCTCATTGCAAAACAATATTGAATTACACAAAAAGTTTGACACAGAATATGAGCAGCTCAACAGTATGGGCTTCAACAGAACACACATTGAATACGACATTTTATTGGAAGAATATTACAAACGAAAACTCTTTGTGGACGCCAAAGACAAACGAAAGAGTTACTTTTCACACCTACATGCAAACAATATGAATATTTGAGTTACTAAAGTTAGATTAAAATGCAGTAGCTAGTTTCAAACATGCTCAAGTAGTAGTACTATTCTTATGGGCTTATTTGTTTTCTTACATTACTTGTCACGCTTAAACAACAATATCATTTGGAGATTTTGTAAAGTCGAGCTCAACAAGTTCTCGTTTTGTCTTTGCGAACGCCTGCACTCAATGTTGCCAGCTTTACGCCGTTCGGCTTGAGAGCCTGCCTTCGGACATGAAAAAATGAAACGACTTGTTCTCTTGTCGCGAAATTCATCATCACGAAAAATCGCTGCCTCATCATCATCGGCTGCAACGACCATTCTTCAACAACAACAACAAACTCTTCTCCGATCTTCATGCAAGAGTGCTCTCTATTCCACCCATAGAAATCCAGAGGAAATTAAACAAGCTCTTGAGAAAAAGCTTCCAAAGGATTGGAAAGAAACAGCACAAAAGGAGTTGAAAGATCAGCCTTTGGAGTCGCTCATCAGAACTACACCCGAAGGAATTAATATTTTGCCAATTTATGTTTCTCAGACCACTCTTGAAGGAAAGGAACCAACAGGAGCAGGCAATAAACCATATACACGTGGACCTCATGCTACCATGTATACGGTAAAACCTTGGACCATTAGACAATATGCAGGTTTCTCAACAGCAAAGGAGTCCAATGAATTTTACAAGCAAAACTTGGCACAAGGACAAATGGGTTTGTCTGTTGCGTTTGACTTGGCCACTCACAGAGGTTATGACTCTGATCATGACCGTGTGGTTGGAGATGTTGGAATGGCTGGTGTTGCCATTGACTCTGTTGAAGACATGAAGATTTTGTTTGATGGCATTCCTCTCGATAAAATGTCAGTGAGTATGACAATGAACGGAGCTGTTTTGCCAATTATGGCCATGTATATTGTTGCAGCTCAAGAACAGGGAGTGAATGACTTGAATTTATTGAGCGGTACAATTCAAAATGATATTTTGAAGGAATTCATGGTGAGAAATACATACATTTATCCACCAGAACCTAGCATGAAGATTATTGGTGACATTATGCAATTTACTTCTCAACACATGAAACGTTTCAATTCAATTAGTATCAGTGGTTATCACATGCAAGAGGCTGGTGCTGACACTGCATTGGAGTTGGCCTATACTCTTGCTGATGGTCTTGAATATGTGAGATGCGGAATTGAAAAAGGTGGATGCAAGGTTGATGATGTTGCTCCTCGTTTCTCCTTCTTCTTTGGTATTGGTATGAACTTTTATTTGGAAGTTGCCAAGTTGAGAGCTGCTCGTAAATTGTGGGCTGAATTATTGGAAGAGAAATTCCATCCAAAGAATTCCAAGTCACTCTTGTTACGTACTCACTGTCAAACTAGTGGTTATTCCCTCACTGAACAACAACCATACAACAATATCATTAGAACAACTATTGAAGCTATGGCTGCTGTTATGGGAGGTACTCAATCATTGCATACCAATTCATTTGACGAAGCTGTTGGTTTGCCAACCAAATTCAGCGCTCAACTTGCTCGTAACACTCAGCTCATTATTGCACATGAAACTGGAATTACCAATGTTGTTGACCCGTGGGGAGGCTCCTACATGATGGAAGAGTTACCAATCAACTCTACATCAAGGCTAAAGAGCTTATTAAGGAAGTTGAGGATTGTGGTGGCATGACCAAGGCCATAGAAACTGGTTTACCAAAGAGAAGAATTGAAGAATGTGCCACAAAGAAGCAAGCCAGAATTGACTCTGGTCAAGAAATCATTGTTGGTGTTAACAAGTATGTCACCAAGGAAGAAGCCAGCTACGAAGTTCTCAAGATTGACAACACTAAAGTCAGAAAGGAACAAATTGATAGAATCAATAAGATCAAGTCAGAAAGAGACGCCTCTCGTGTTGCTGCCTTGTTGAAGCGCTTGGAAGAAGCAGCCAAGACTGGAAAAGAAAATTTGTTAGCTGTTGCTGTTGAATGTGCCAAGGCTCGTGCCACTGTTGGTGAAATTTCTTCTGCTCTCGAAAAAGTTTGGGGACGCTATGAAGCCAAGCCAGAAATTGTAAGCGGTGCCTATTCAAGCACTTGGAAACAAGCTGATTTGGAAAAGTTGGATACTGATCGTGTTGAAAAAAAGGTTAAGGAGTTCGCAGCCAAGAATGGTAGAAACCCAAGAATTCTTGTTGCCAAGATGGGTCAAGATGGTCACGATCGAGGTGCTAAGGTAATCAGCTCTGGATTTGCTGATTTGGGCTTTGATGTCGATGTTGGTCCATTGTTCCAAACACCAAAAGAAGTTGTTCGTGAAGCTGTCGATAATGATGTGCATATTATTGGTGTGAGCTCTCAAGCAGCTGGTCACAGAACTCTTGTTCCTGCTTTGGTTAAGGAATTGGAAAATGCTGGATTGAAGGGTCAAGATAGACCAATTATCGTTGTTGGAGGTGTTATTCCACGTGAAGACTACCAAGAATTGTATGAAGCAGGAGTTGATTTGATCTTTGGTCCTGGTACTAAGGTTACTGATGCCGCTGAAGGATGTGTTGATTTGTTGATGAACAAGGCTAGACATTAAATTATTGGTCCAAAAAGAAATCTTTGTATTACATAAACATTTGGAAATTTCAAGTAATACCTCATTCTCTTCAATCTTTAAAAAACTTGAACGTTATTAATTAAAAAAATTCAACATGATTGACCCAAAATCCTCACACGACTCTTCTTCATCAACCCTTCCCACATATTCCGCAATACCAAGGAAAGAAATCTTTCGTATCAAATCGGCAAGATCTCATGAGCAAGCAGAAGCATCTTTTACTTCATTGTTGCTGCAACGACTCAAATACGCATGTTCATCATTGGTACGAGGAAGTGAATCAAAGTATGTTGCTCCTGGCAGAGATTTATTAGAATATGTCTGGGGTCATATTTTGTTGTGTTTTAAGATCCGATTAGAGAATGGGAAAAGAGCCACTTGTTCCGATGATGCCGATATTGCTGATATTTTGGAATTTTTCTCTCACGCTCATTGGATTTATTTACAACCTTCGATGAGAGAGAATTTATACATTGGATTTAATTTGAATATTTCACGAGCCTTGTATTACAATGCGAAAGTAGACGAAACCAAAAAAACATTTGACCTTTCCAAAGACTCGGACACTGGTGAATTTTCCACCAATTTTCTAATATCAAATCATGTCATTAGGAATTTGGATTGTGAACTAGCTTCTTCTTTGTTACGATATTTTGTGAACGTTTTCACAGAAGAAATGAACACAATTATTCAAGGAGGTGATAATACACTGAAATCAAAGGAGCTTTCTCTTGCAAAATATTTACAACAATATGAGTCTATCAAGCACATGTTGGAGACTATTAGAGATTACTATGTACATGACATGGATGAAAAGTTTGGAGCAGAAATACAGTTGAAAGAATGTATAGCGAAGGATCACTTGCCAGACGTGTCCAAACTTATCGCATGTATGAACTACATTGCCATAGACAATAGGCAGCGATCAGATTGCAAAGATATTCGCCTCTTCTTTCATCAACTCAAAAATGTGTATATTAAGCGACAATTGTTGGAACAAGTGGTGACACTCTCTTTCATTCATCATGAGAGCGACTTATGCGAATTTATTCGAGACATATTTTCTGATTATATTACCTTTAGGCCTCGAACTTTGTCATTGAAGGACTTGATGTATGATCTTAATACTATCATTGCCAGTAAGAAGATCAAAAAGGTGACAGACGCTACGGGAATGACATTATGTTGCCTCTACTTGGTATTGAAGTCCTCTCATGCACAACCAAATGTTGAGTCCCTTCAACTAGATCCCTCTCAACATCAAGCATGCCAAGAATTTGCTGCTAATGATTTCAACATTGATGTGACGGATGAACTATTGGCACCTGAAATGATTTTCCTTTTGCAAAATTTTGTCAGTAACGACAATGAAATGCAAGATGAATAGCTATGGCTCATTTTCTCGTTGCAATATTTTCTGAAAGCAACAAAACGAAATTCTTGCAAAAAATTTCAGGATTTCTGAAAATAAGCCAAAAAAAATACAAACAACAATCACGACACAGAATTCATCAGGCTGCAGAGAGAATGATTTCCAATCACATCAATCCCTCCGAGGAAGAACAAATTGTTTTTTTAGAGCACACATACGATATTTCAATTACATCAAGTGACGCTGATTTATCCTATTCATGTTTAATGTTTCAACGTTTGATAGGTTACCTCTCCAAAACCACACAGCACAGTAAGGTTAAAAAGATACCAGATAAAAACACCCTCCAACGTATTTGGAAGGCTATTCTCTCTTGTCACAAACACCACATTCAACAAGGATATCAACAACTCTCACTGCCCGATTTGGAAATTGCCAATGGCATTGACATTTTAACAGATATTATTCCACTCTACTTTGATGGAGGGAGAATGACTGAAATGTTTCCTGGAATTGATATCCATCACAAATCCCAATATTATTGTTCAAGAAACGAGATGCATATCGAAGACTTTAAACTCTCCAGAGACGTCATTGAAAATTTAGCACGGCCTTATGGATCGAGATTGTTGAGATTTTTCAGCACTTTTTTCTTTGAACACATGCTACACTTATTTCGAGTATTAGAAAAAGAATGTGGAAAGATGGAATATCATCGTGAAGTTGAGAAGTCTACAACAAGAGATGACTTACGAAAAACAGTCTTTTCAGAGTTTGCAATGCTCAAATATTCCGATAATATTGAGAATAAGGACAAAATTTCGACATCGATCAAACTTTATGTTTCCATGTTGAACGAGGACAGCAACTTTTTCTCAAACATTCGCTACAATGTGAAAGACCAGAAGCATTTGGAAATGATATCAAAATTGCTTTCATGCCTTTATTGTTCTATGAGAGCTCACACTAGAAATCAACACCACGATCTTACACTACTCTTTTCGCAAGATCAAACACAGTCAAACGATTTTATCAAATATTGTCTATTAGAACACTTTTTTGCATGTTTTGACGATGAAGCGCGTGTATGTGCAGTGTTGGAGAGCATCTTTTCACACTATACCTCTGTCAATGGAAAGAGCATGAGAGGCATGTTGAGGCAGGTGAAGACCTACATTTCTTTCAAACATGTCAGAGGTCATCCAAATGCCTATGGAATGACACTGTGTTGCCTTCTCGTTCTATTGAGATTAATGACCTCCTCCTACGAACATCAACAACAGTTTGGAAAAGATGAGGAAGAACTCTTACTATTTTCTGAAGAAGATTATGAGAGCTGCAAAGCATTCGTTGCACATGGTCGTCAACTCTCTCTCTCTTTGGCATTGCATGAATCCATTCCCAACCATAAGAAGAGAAAAAGCAATAACAAAACAAAACAGAACGCCACAGATTCTAAAAAGAAAAAGTTGGATACTTTGAATGATACATTAATTTTGAGTGCCAGCGACAGCAACACAATACCAATGAGGCAGATGAAGAGGATATTGTATTGCGCTGTTCTCCTTCTCGTGGTTCATCTGTGAATAGTACTATAATCAATGAAGAACCACAGAATTCACAGCCAGTAGAGCCACAAGGCGCTACTCATCCACTCATCACTTGCAATGAATTACTTTGTCGTGACATTTTGGAAAAGCTCAAAACGTTTGTTGGACATGTTCGAGCTTGACCTCCAGAACTTGAATTATTTTATGTAAACTCGAGTCCTTTCTAATTTGTCCATCCTTCCAAAAACGTATTTCAAGGCAAGTCCACCAAAACTCGGTGCCGTTCATTTCTGTATCAAACAATTTCGAATACAGGAACAAAACTGAATATACTTTCTCTGAATGTAAATGAAAATTTATTGTGTGTTTGGTAATTGTGTTTCACCGATTGTTGTTTTCTTCAAACTTTCGTCATCGTTGATTCCTCGTTGATTCTTCAGGCTTTGTCCAAAAAAATATTTCAATTTATCAACAAACAAAGATGATGAAAAAGTTGGCCATCAACACAACGGCTAAGCGTTGTGGCTCAGTGAGTACCGAGACCATTCAAAAGATGTTGTTCTCTCAACAACACAGATTTGAATCCAAGGCTCATGTTTTCAAGATTGATAAGGTAAGAGGAGGATTTTTTTGATGTGTTTGATGATAATGATGATGTATTGGGATGTTGTATTTGATGGTGATTTGGCCTGTTGTTGGAAAACTATGATGACGGTACGCGATTTACGTAAAATGGTTCATGATGAATATCAATTTTATGTGTGGGTGGCTGCAATGTTTTATAATGATGACAATACTCTTCATGATGGTTGTAATTATGCTACCATTCTTCAAATCTTTAACACCTCTCAACATGAAATGATATCCGATATCATTGGTGTATACATTTACACTTTTTGTTTAATAATTGACACTTGGTGCTACTTGTCTCAATGCAAATTGATTGGCAATCCGATAATCATCATCATCTAATTGATAATCGTCATGATTGATCATGTTGTTGTATCGTAACAACAGGAAAAGGCATACAAATTCCATCTTCCACAAAAACACATGCAAGGTATCACATTCACAGGTCCAAAGGAACAAGTTGAATTTACCAAGGAAAAGTTAATGGAAATGTATCGCTTGATGGCTTTGATTAGAAGATTTGAATTGGTTTCTGACCAACAATACAAGGCTCGTAACATTCGTGGTTTCTGTCACTTGTACAGTGGTCAAGAAGCTGTCTGTGTTGGAATTGAAGAAGCAACTACTCGTCAAGACTCCATCATTACTGCTTACCGTGACCATGGTTTCCAATTGGTGAGAGGAGGAAGTGTTGAAAGTACTATGGCTGAGCAGTTAGGTCGTGTTACTGGTTGCAGTAAGGGAAAGGGTGGTTCAATGCACATGTACAATGTTCCAAACAAATTTTATGGTGGTAACGGTATTGTAGGTGCTCAAGTCCCAGTTGGTGCTGGTTTGGCTTTCGCTCATCAATATTTGGATAGATTGAACAAGAAGGATGTTAAGGATAGAAATGTCTGTTTCACACTTTATGGAGACGGTGCTGCTAATGTGAGTTTCTTTGTTTTGAGAATTCATTTTGATTTGATTGACACCTCAATTTTTTAATACTGATACCGTTTACTGATACACACGCTTTGAATCATTGATTGTACTGACACGACAAATTATAATTTACATGAATTTTCATCAAAATTGAACAGCAAGGACAAGTTTTTGAAGCATTCAACATGGCCAAGTTGTGGCACATTCCAGTCGTCTTTGTCTGTGAAAATAACAAGTATGGTATGGCCACTCCTGTGGGTCGTTCCAGCGCCTCTACTGATTACTATGAAAGAGGAGATTACATCCCAGGTATTTGGGTTGATGGACAAGACATTTTCGCTGTCTATGAGGCTTCTCGTTATGCTAAGGAGTATGCTCAACAATATGGTCCAATTGTTCTTGAAACTGAGACTTACAGATACTATGGTCACTCAATGTCTGATCCAGGTATCACCTACAGAACAAGAGAAGAAGTCCAACAAGTAAGAGCAAGCAGAGATCCAATTGTTAGAATGAAGAATCGTTTGATTGAACAAGGTATTGCAACTGAGGATGAATTCAAGGCAATTGATGAGCAAGTCAAGGATGAAGTTCAACAAGGTACTGAAAAGGCTCTCCAAGCTCCACTTCCACCAGCTCATGAGCTTGTTGAGGATGTTTTGGTTGACAAGGAATACTTTGTTAGAGGAAGATGGATTGGTGAAACATGGAATGTAGTTCAACAATAATTGGTCATGCAAGTAAATATTTATTCTAAATTTCTCGAAAAATTGACGTTTGTGCTGTTTTAATTCTAATGATATTAACCATTATTGGAAAATTTGAATTCTGTGATTTGATGAATCTGCGACGTAAAGTGTTCCTGTCTGTTCATCTAAATCCATCCGAACGTTTTACATGACCTTGCCCGAACAGTAGCTCTGATTGCCATAATATCGTTTCTGATGATGGGCAGCGTCGCAACTTGCGGATGTGTCCGTTCTGGACTACAAACAAAGTGTCATTTGTATCAGTGATATCAATCCCCGATAAATCATCCAGTTGGATACCATTGTGATTTTTGTCAATTTTGTACAAGACATCTCCTGTTTTAGAATTCAGAGCAGTAATTTGATCCACATAACAAACATAGATGATGTTTGATGAATAACGATCACGAGAGCTCACAATTCCTCGAGCATTGCAAATTGCTGATTGCTGCCAAATATAATTACTTGCCCCTTGTTTCTCTAATACTGTCTTTAAATCGTATTTTACAACACTGTCATTTCCTCCATAAATCAAAGCATCGTTATTATTTCCATCATAATTTTCTTCGACATGAAAATATGGAGGTTTTTCTTTAGCTACAAAGATTCCCAACCTTTTGTGAGTTTTCAAATCAAAAAAACTAAACGTATACTCTTCGCTACTTAAAGCTACAAGACAATTCAAGCTATGAGATATTCTTACTTCAATAACATCTTCCAATTCAATAGAAGCAACAAGCTGAAATTCCAAAGAGAAGGGAATTTTACGTTTACATTTTCTCATCTTGTTGTAAAACTCGGAAACAATATTCGGATCCCACAGATTTCCAATTTGACATAAATCATGTAATATAATTTTTACTTGTTCATCATCATTATGAAATTTCAGGAACCTGTGGTTAGCAGTTAACGAGCTGCTGCTCTGTGAGTTCATTTTTTTTTTGGTTCTCTTGTTACAACCATGATGCTGAACTTGGTGAATTCTAGATTCAAATTCCTGTCTTGCACAGGACTATCTTGTTCAAATCTTTTTGATTTAAGGTTTTAACCTTAATTTGTCATTTATTCGTTGACAAAAGTCATCACGTTTTTTGTCATTAAACTCGTTCATCGCTACTTCTCTTTTTCAGTTGCGGAGCAAAGCTATCTGTGCTGAACGTCACAGCCATGCTCGCTCTTTAATTCCGAATGTTGCACTTTGGATTTTCCAGGCGCCCGTTTTACCATAACATCTTCTCAACAATCAATTGTCGTTTTCTTCCAACATTCACGCGTAGCAAAATATTTGACATCTTCTCTGCCAAATCTATTGTTATAAATATCTAAATTAGTCAAATTCTTCAAGGTTTCACTTGCAGCAATATTTTTAACACCTTCACTTCCAATTCCATTAGAGCTCAGATTCAAAGAAGTCAAATTCTTCAAGAATTCGCTCGTGGCAATATATTTAGCACCATCACTACCAATTATATTGTGATAAAGATCCAAAGAAGTCAAATTCTTTAAGGATTCACTTGTAGCAATATATTTAACACCTTCACTGCCAATTTCATTGAAAGACAGATTCAAATAAGTCAAATTCTTCAACCACTCACTTGAAGAAATGTATTGGACAGCTCTATTGCCAATTCGATTGTCATACAGATTTAAAGTAGTCAAATTTTTCAAACATTCACTTGTGGCAATATGTATACCACCTTCACTGCCAATTCTATTCCATCCCAGATCCAAAGAAGTCAAATTGTTCAACCGTTCACTTTTAGAAATATATTTAACACCTTCATTGTCGATTCTATTGCGATAAAGATTCAAATAAGTCAAATTCCTCAAGGTTTCACTTGCGGCAATGTATTTAACACCTTCACTGCCAATTTCATTGAAAGACAGGTTCAAGTAAGTCAAATTTTTCAACCATTCACTTTCAGCAATATATTTAACACCTTCAATACCAATTTCATTATAATAGAGATCCAAAGAAGTCAAATTCTTCAAACATTCACAATCAGCAAAAAGTTTGATTGATTTACCATCTTGTTTGAAGTGATTTTGTTTGAACGATAATGAGAGAGGTTTTTGAAATGATACTTGTCTCCATTGTTTTGAAATTTTCATACAAATTTGAATAATAAACATTGAATCAAGGAAATGAAGAATTTCAAAAATAATATCATCAACGAAAGGTCCATTGATCGCGTTAGAGCTTGTCGGAGAGAAAACATCTTTTTCATCATGATCATTGACCATTATTGATGATGAATATGTTGCTTCAACAACACCGGTTTCAATAGATGGTGAGAGTTTTCTCTTTTCAGAGGCGCAAGTATTTATCATTGGTGGAAGAAGCAATTTTTTTTTGTTTTTAAATCTAGACTAATGTTCGCTCTTTAATTCCTAATGTTGCTGTTACTTGTTGCTCGAGTGTTTCCAAAAAGTGACTTGATTCCATCATCCACATTATTGTAATTCAATGGATCATCTGCATCTTCTTCCTTTGTTTTTGGAATAAGGTTAGCAAATTCCAACACGGAGGACGTTGCTTGTTTGAAAAATGCATAAACTATATAAGATCTTTGGCGCTTGTGTTTGTCAAGTACTAATTGCTGTCCAAATACATACAAACTCCCAGGATTTCATCATTTGGGATACAGTGTTTGAGTTGCGATTCAACAAGATTAAAAGAAGAACAACAAAACCGTTTTTGTGAACCTTTCTGGCTTCTTCTCCTCCTCCTTTGAATTTGTGCCGTTGAAATGAAAAAACTCTCCTTGGTTGAAAATAGTGTTGTTGAAGCCTTAACACACACATTCATCATCAATAATGATCCATGATGGTGATGAAAAAGATGATGAATGGAGACAAGTGTCATTTCAAAAACCTCTCATTGTCATTCAAACGAATCAATTCAATTTTAAGATATCCAATGGGTTTGATATTAAACAATATATATACGATATATCCCTTGAGATAATAAATATCTGAGAAAAAAAAAGCGAAGTTGTTAATTGGTTCATAAATGAGATCACATTACTTTCATTCAAAGCCATTGATGATAGGCATGAAAATTGTTGTTCTTACTGCACGTTCCAGCAAATGATAAGAACACAATCCAAACAATGAATTCGTTTCGGACGGATAGAGGATCGATTGAAATCTCACATCACTAAAAATTAAGCTTGCTCAAGTCTTCATCTCTGTTTGTTGCTAATCACTTGTTGACAACATTGTTCCACCTCTTGTTTGAAAGTATGTAACTTTCTATCCACATTTTCCTGAATGTACTCGGTAGAAAGTTTCATCTTTCATTATTTCCATGTTTCAATTGGTATAATAATAAAAGCTCTTCAGTTGAGTGGACATTACCATACAACTTGTCTCGTTCAATATTTTGTTTTGCCTTTAAGAGTAGCGATTTTCTTATGAAGGGAAGTAAATGATTGTGTACACACTTGGTGTGGAATGCTGAATGTAGCAATTCTAATCTATTCTCTACAAGGTTATCAGCCATTGAGTCCTTACGGTTCGACAATGCTGTCGATGAATTGTTCCTTCTTCCATTTACAACTTTGAGACTTGCATCAATATTGATTTCACCAAGTGAATGATTTTGCTTGATGCGTGAGAGAAAATCTCTACACACAGTTCCATATTCATTCATAAATGTTTTCAATTTTCGGACTCGCTTCAGTTGCTTTGGAATTGATGATCCAACAGACAATGATTTCAAGGAACGGTTATTTTCGTTATTTCTTAACTGGGAAGAAGAATTTTCTTGTGATGATTCTTGTTGTTGTACTCTCATCAAGGTTTGCTCAATAGCATTCAATTCCTTCACTTGTTGATCCACCCTATAATCAGAATATAATAAATAATATTCAACGGTTTCATAGAGAGTCATCTTTCGTTGTTGGTTTAACAATTCGTCATGAGTAATGAATTGTCGGGATGATGTTGCTTGTTGTGAAGCGGATGTTGTTTCCTCTTCATCTCGTTCCATCGGTTCTTCATCATATTCTTCTTCGTTGTTGGAATTTACATTTTGATATTGTTGTTGTAAAGAAATTGTTGGTTCTTCTTCGGAGTGGAATCTTCGTCTCTGTCGATGGTACGATCAGGCAGCATGTTGACGCATTTTTTTGTGGATGGTTTTAGAGAAGGAACGGTGTTGCAACGAATAAACTTTGATAAAGTGAATAAGAAGGAATGGTACTGCAATCAATAGGCTGTATGTTGATCTAGAGAACAGTTTTCAAAAGTAATACATTTAATTCTCATAAAAATATTAGTCTATGGCTTGGATAAAAATTCTCTTTTAAGGATTTCTTGAAAATATTCGTTATCAATTTTTTGACATAATTCCAAAGGTGTAATGTTCTGCTTATTGGGAAGGGAGATTAATTTGTGTGACTTTCGAAGCAATTTCAATAGCAAGACAGTATTGACATGTTCTATGGACATGTTAGATTTGAGGTAGAGATGTAAAATATTGTCTCCTTTTTCTTCCACTCGCGCATTCTCAAAATCCTCGAGCGGCATGTGGTCAATAATGCTTTCCATTAACAACCCTCCATTATGAGGACAACGAACAAATAAAATACCAATCAAGGGAATGTCCAAATGTCCTCCTTACCAAATGACGTGCTACATTTGACTTTTCTAATCACTGTTTTAGTTAAGAGATCCATGTTGTGAATTAAAAAGAAAGAAATAAGGCTCTCTAGTTCCGAAAATTTGGATCCACGTAAATATGCTACCAATAGTGATAATAACATCTGTTCGTCGAATTGAGAATGTACAATCTCGAGTACCTTAGAAAGCAACACACGTGGCTTCTTATTATCACAAACAAAGAATGGAAGCTCTAGTTGTTGTTTCCAAAAATGCCAACCATAATCCATGGCCAACATCATGGTCTTGATGTTCGACATGTTCATAGAATTTGAAATGTTAAAAAATCTTCCGTGTTGATACTCGTTGCATAAATACACAAGATATTGCAGTAAACATTGGCAAGTGTCAGTGTGTGGCTCAATAGTTGTTGACATTACGTTTTCACATGGAAAATTACACGTCTTAATCATGTAGTCGAGAACCTCTTTAGCATGTCCAATATTCGAGAGTTGTGTTTGAAAAAGTCCACATACTAATCGATCATTGTACGCACCAAATGCAGAGATAGATGGATTGTAGCTGAATAAATATTCAATAAGAATCATTCTCATCGAAGGATGAAATTCAGTCAAATATTCAATGATCTGCCATGGGTTTCGTTCCTCTATGATTTGGTCAATATCGGAGAGTGGTGCTGTACTAAAGTTAAAAACCTCATGTCCCGTCCTGAATTTGATGATCTTTTTAAGGCTAGACAAGTTAATACACTGCTCATTGGTGATATAGCTCGATTTCATGGTAGTTATTTCTTCAAGAGTCTGATTGGAAAAAGAATCTGGAAGTTTACAAGGACATAATAAATCCAACTTTTTGAGTCTCTTACATTGTTTAAGGACGACATGGAGCAAAAACTCTGACATTTCCTGAAGCAATACCAATCTCTCAATGGTGGTGTTGTTTCCAATAAACTCTTCAATAGGGAGATATTGATACTCATCCAAATATGGTGCAGTCCATGAGACATGAGCAACAGGATGGACATTTCCATAATGCTCAGTTGGGCTCATAAAAGTAAATGGTGAGCTAGTTTTCGTGGTACGTTTCTGACGAATACCTTTGAGGCTCAACAACGATGTGTGGCTCTCTGAAAAGATGTCAACAGGTGATGAGCTGGAATCAATTGGCGTCTCAGGTTCCAAATTTTGATCGTCTGACGTTGCTGCACTTTCTGGTTGAGTCCGAAAATACTCGTTGTTAAGGATCCAGGCAGGAATGAAGAATTGGTACCACTACTACTACTACTGGAACTCCAACCAGCTGCAAAACCAGAAGTCTGTGCAACACTACTTCCAAAGATGGGTTTTCCAAAAGGTGTAGCTCCATCACTCTCGTTGGTGGCTGTCGTGGTACTACTACTACTACTTTTTAGTATTTTCAATTGTTCAACATCCTCGCTATACAAATAGATACTGTCTTCAGACAAGGGAAGTTTTCCATGACTTTCTTTGAATAATCTCTGTTTGCGGAGAAACGAGAGGAAGTAATTCATGGCCCATATGGTCGAGTCCTTGTCAGAAATGTTCAAAATAATTTCTCGTACTTGTAAGATACTTGTCATCATGCGACGATTGAAAGCCTTACTAATGACTCGCATCTTGTGATAGGTAACGATGGGTTGATCCATTCGATATTCCACATGTTCTTCTCGTTGAATGGAAGGTACCTTTTTCCATCATGATCCTGAACGCTGTTATGATCATTACGATTGGTTCGGTATGGAACTCCAATTTCATCCATGAACTGATCATTACGTTCGAGAGAGGACCAACGAGAATAAGTGGGAATGTATTCCATGATATCATATTTGATATTTTCATCTAACAATGAGAGAAGTTTGATATCTAGCACATCATGATGAGCAGCAGTTGAGTATTGTTGTTGATTCTTCTTCTTGTTCTTTTGATCATCATAAATCCATCTCTTGGCTAAATCACAAACATTTCCGTACTGTACAGAGATTGCCTTCTTCAACTCGGAATCGTCATCCTCTTCCAGAAATTCACTCAATTTTCTGCTTCGGAGTTGTAGCTGCTCTGGTTCAGTACGGAGGACTTGATCCACCAGATTGGCCACTTCTTGACATTCAATGTCGATGAGAGTGGATCCAAATGAAAACATTTTTTTTGTTCTTGTGTGATTAGCGGCAATCCATCATTCAAATTGTTGATTCTTTTTTCGTGAATTCTGGAGATTCTCCCCAGGTGTAACACTCTATTTCGATTGACCGGCACGGACAACTCCATGAACAACAATGCACGATTTTAATCAAGATCCAACGCTCGAATAATTCCCACTGATGCGTTCGATCAAACATTTGGGTAGAGTAAAAACTCTGGATTTGGTTCCACTTCCTTAAACTTGTCGATACTCAAAGCATGATCTTTTGATTGGAAGGTTGATTTGAATAATAATTTGTCACACTCCTCTGGATTTTGCTTTCTCATTTCAAGACACCGTTTCAGTAATTTTCTTGCATGTTCTTGAACTGGCGCAAGAGATTCATATTTGAAATAAACGTCCAGTGGAACCCATTGACAAAGGTCTATCTCTGTGGGGCATGCTGAAATTGCTTTCTTATGCTCTTGTGATTTGGGTTCCAATAAACAAATATAGTAAATATCTGGATTGTCAAACCTGAATGCTTTCTTATACCTAAATCCTAAAATTCCTTTAAAATTGGTTTCAACATTGGTCTCTTCTCTAACTTCCCTACATACACCTTCTTCAATAAATTCATGGTGATCCAATTGGCCTCCAGGAAACTTGTATGGTTTCATATGTGACGGTAACAGATTAATCTTTTCGGTAATGATTAAAATTTCTTCCTTTTCAAAATCAACTACACATCCACCCACTCCTACATAATGCTGACAATATGGCGGATATGTATTTTTCTCCTCAGAAGCAAGCCATTTATGTAAATAAATATATTCTGGTTTGCAATGATGAAATGTAAATCCAAACTTTTTCAAACAAATCGGAATTAATTCACTGAATTTTGCATCAATTTTCAAGTGTACACTTCTCACTCGACTATTAAAATCAATGGATTTTGATGACTTGTTTTGCCAAGCTTGTAATGCTTGTCCTAAAATTGTTTCAAATTCATCAGTACTGGAGATATTGACTTGGCTACCAATTTCAACTTTAATAGCTCGGTATTGATCAACGATGGATTTTTGGAAAATTTCAGAAAGATTGGTGGGTGTTTCCTTAGGAGAGGTAATTGTGGAAGAAGCAGAGGCTTCTCCGTGTTTAAAGTGAAACTCTTGCATGATCGCTGCACCGTGTGGTTGCTTTTTCAAGAGCAGATGTTTGTTGCTGTTATGGAATTTAGTAAGAACTGAGCTCATAAAGTGGGTTCGGAGTCGACCCAGTTCCACGAATGAATGACAACAAGAACGAGAGAGCATCCTACAGATACGAATTGAATTTTTTTGTTGGATCCTCTCGCACTATCGATTTAAAATTTCTTCGCACTCAGCCCTTGTCGAACTCAATTATATTGATTGATTCTCAATTTATTCATAGCACAGCGTTTATCTATAGTGCGAAATTTATTGACCTTCCTTAATGATTTTAAATAGTGAACTAATATTGTTGTTTTTGATTGCTTTTCTGCATTCTGCAACTACTCGGTTTTTAGGTTCTCCAATTCTGAGACGAGCAGCTTTTTGAATCATTTGGTTGACCTCTTTCAAAGCTGCAAGTAGTTGTTCATGATTTGTGCTCCTCTTTTTATATTCACCAATGAGACCCTTGTTAATGCTATATAGCTCATTATACATGGTTCGAACTGATTTCATATCTGCAATAACTCGAGAATCTTCAGCCTTGATCACGTATGCCTTAATTAATTGAGAATTATCTGCCATTTCTGCTGTCATCTTTAATCGGTTGGAATTGAATTCTTCCACGTTCTGAGTAATCTTTTCAAACTTGGCAAACTCCACTGGGAAATCACATTTCGAGTCGAGCTCTTTTATCGAAAGGAATGCACAAATATCTTGAAACAAATCACCTGCAACTTCCATGTCATCAACATAGAACGTCATGATGCCATCCTTATACACTAACCTCAATGGAGATCCATCACGTAGACATGTGAATTTAGCGTCAATTACTTCGGCATCTCCTTCCAATTTGAAGAGAATGTTAAACGAATCGTTGAGCCACATGATAATTCTCTTGGCCCGTTCATCCAATCTGAAAGAGAGTACGGATTGTGGTGTTTTAAATTGCTCTCCAGCAGGTATGTACATGGAAAAACGTGGTAATGTATAAGATAATTTGAAAATATGGTATTTGGAACTTTAAAAAAGTGAGAAGAACAACATGTTGGTACTTGGGTTCATACTTACCCCATGTTAAATCCGACCAGTACTTGAATATTCATTTCAATAGCAGCATTTTTCTCTGGCCGCAAGCTCACCTTGATCTCGTTCGTTGGATTCTTTGAGTATACCATGCTGCTGTCCGTTTTGAAAAGTTGTTCTGCTGTAATGATGGAAGCTCGAATGATATTTTCAACGTCTGTCTTAAAAACGATATCTAAACAATTCTCTTGAACATTTGGCTGTAAATGACACTTCACTTTAGAGTCAGATCGGATTAAGGATGAGTCTACTTCTCCGCTTTTAAGCTTCTTTAAATTCTCTTCATAATTTCTTAACTCGTTGCTTAATTCTTCTCGTTTTTGCAATAGTTTTTCAATAATTTCGTCAGTTGTGGTGTCCTCAATTTGTTTTGATAAATTTTCTTGAGCTGGTACAAATCCTTTCAAATCGCCTCCAATAGAACAGCAAATTAATTCATCATGGCCATCCATTCGGTAATCTGCTACCACCATGCCTGCAATTGCTTCTTTCAAGCTGTCCTTGTAAATGAGGCGACCATCGTCTTGTTTTCTCACTTCAACTTTTCCACTTTCGTAGCCAACAACCAAGTCAGTTACACCATCATTCACAATATCAAATCCAACAATAGAATTAATTTGACTCTTTGATTTGTTTCTCCATACTCTGGTACTGCCTTGATAGATACCATACGAATTATTTGAAGTTCCAAAAGCAAATTTTCCGCCTTTAAGGTTGCACAATTCTTTTACAGCAGCTGTTTCTTTGCACTCTGCAATCATTGATTCGTCTTGATACATATAAATTACATAATCGTCGGATCCCACCAATAATTCATTTTCATTATCGCCGTTAATGTCTGCTAAACAGAGAGCAGTGACATCACCTCCAGCTGTCGTCCAATACTGTTCTTCTCCCTCTCCATCATAACCTTGTATGGAGCAGTTTCCTCCTACAAAAACAAGAGGATTTGCACCTGCTCCAAGTTTTCCGAATGTCATTCGATTGACACCGTCTGAAACATCTCTATAATAAATATCGGAATTTGAATCAACATTGTATGCCATGATATTCGTTTGAGTTCCAATCATGAGCGTTTCTCGTTTTGTATTGGGTTTAAAAGCTCCAGATGCCAAACATTTCACGTCCTTATTGACATTTAAAAAAGTTACTATTTGATGTTATCACATTATTTCATGTGATGCCAGTAGAAGTATTGAATAATCAACGATCAAAAATGTAGGAAATAAATTTCAATCCTCAATCATCAAAATACTGTTTATGCAACATGACTTACATTGAGATCCGAGACTCTGTTCATGAGGATTATGCACTAAAACCTTTCCAGAGCTTGTTCCCGAAGCCAAACAAGGTCTATTGCCATCAACTGCAGATCAAAATCATCAACCATAACACCATGTGTTGTATAAGGATGATACACCATAAAAACCATGACCATTACTTACACTTTCCGACGGTCACTGTACCTCTCGTGATGGGATGTCCCAAATTCACCTGAAACGTTGGATTTAGCATGGTGGTTTATATTGAAATTTTTTTTGTATATCAAAGCGCGCAAAAATCATTTAAAATCTCTTGATGATGATGATGATGAAAACTTCACAACACGACCTTCCAACCATTCTCTTCATTCAAGGTATTGATCATTTCCTTTTCCTCCTCACTCAATTTGTTTTGCCATAAATTCAATGATCGTAAATTGGGTCTCAACAATTTACTTTCCATTAATGCTGTCGCTCCTACGAGTGTAACGTTACAACGAGACAAATTGAGATGTTTTAAATTGGACATGAATACACTCGATGCAATCTCGTATACACCTTCGTCTCCAATGCAGCTTCTTACACATGAAAGAGTGGTCAATTTGGACATGTGTGAACATTGTGTCACAAATTTCAATCCTTCGTCCTTCACATGAGTTTTTCCAATTTTGAGATGTGTTAAATTTGTAATGGTGGAACTTATATCAGAAAGGGCTTTCATAGATTCATTTCCAATGGATGTCCCTTCAAGATCGAGATAGGTTAAGTGTTTCATTGAATCTCTCTGTGTAAGTAAAACAATGGAGGAGTCACGAATGTAGGGATTGTAAGAAATGGTTAATGCTTTCAAATAAGGTATGTATTTGGAGCTTGTCAAATACTGTATTCCATTAAAAGCAATATTATTGTACGACAAATCAAGTCGAGTCAATTTTGAACTATCTTCGTTCGAATTCTGAAACATTGCTTGAATTCTATACTCATCGATTTGATTTCCAGATAAATTCAAGCATTCCAAATTTTTGACAATTTCACTCTCGGTCACAAATGATAAACTAGTTCTCGACGAAGTGTCAAATGCCCATCCGACCATTTTTAGACTTTTCAAATTTTTCAGAACAGAACTGTTCAATAATACTTTCATTCCATCCTCATTCATAGCAAATGAAATATCTAGGTATGTCAAATTTTGCAAACTCTCACATTGTGAAACAAGTTGAACAGACTCTGAAGACATGGCATTAATACTCGAGAGATCTAATTGACAAGAGTTTGTAATTTGTGTTTTGAATGATCAAAAATGATTCGAAAGATTTCTGTCGATAATCGATTGTGTGATAAATCCAAAGTGGAAATGCGTTGAATATTTTCACAATTTTTAAAATTGTAAATGTGTTGATCCGATGATGATGATAAATCAATTTGAAATTCAATCGTTTGTGAAATACGAAGAAACCTCTTGGATACTATCATACACTTTGTAAGAATAACACTAGTTGGAAGAAATTGTAAAATATGAAAAATCATATCATCAGGAACATGACCGATTGGATGGTTTGTGTGATCCAGATCTGTTGGTTGTAGCATTTTTTTTCCATTTGCCAAATTTGTTTTGACTGTTGGCATTACATTGAACTGAACTTTCAGAAGATGAATTCTTTACACAATCAAGATCAAAGAACGACGCTAAATTAAAAATTGGCAAAGGCTGTCACCAATCCTTTGCGCCGTTTTGTAATTTTTAGCGCCAAAAAAAATGAAATCCGTCCAAGCCAATAAACAAGCTCGAACACTTTGGCTGAGTCAGTACAAGGCCCTCAAATCAAAGTACGTATTCATGATGATAATGTTCTTATCTGACATTGATCCGATGGAATGTTGTACAATATTCGGTTCCAATCGTTTAGAGAAGAAAATTATCGGAGGGATTTGGCTCATCATTTCATCAATAACCCAGATTGAGTGATATGAAAGACTTTTTCAATGAAATTCAATGTACAGAAGGCCTCCAAAGGCAAAAACAGTTAGAAGAGAGAAAAGAATGCTTGGAAGATATTCAAGATATCAGTAAACGAGTTTCATCTCTCAAACGAATGACTGTTGAAAGTAAAACCATACCTCAAGAAAACACAAGTCCTGAACAACAGGAAGAATTTTTGAACCGAATACAATCCGTTATGGAACGAATTGAAAAACAATGTATAGTATTTAAACAAACCCGAAGGCAAATGCTTCAAACTCTCAACACAGAGGAAAAGATTTTAATGAAAGAAATTACAAGTTTTGAAGGACTCATTGATGATCCCGATTGGCTTAAGGAAAAGGAGGAACCTGAGAGTATCTTTACAAACCCAGAGAAAATGAAGGCGGTTAAGCAATATATTGAGCAGAGAGAAAATTTGCGTGTGCCCATGGAAGTTATTGATTATGATGTAAGTGTCATGCAAAAATTATCACAAATAGGTTCTTCTTACACTTGAATGTCTTTCTGATTTTTTCTTCATCGTTGACGTTGTGGACTTTTATTCTCTCATAACACAATAGAACTATGTGGCACAACATGGAGGTCTCACAGGAGGATGGGACGCAGAAGATCACACTCTTTTTGTTAAACTAAAAACGAAATATCCAGATCCACAACTATTTATTTCAAAAGCAGTGGAAGAAATTAAAACTCACAGCATTATTGAGATACAGGAACATGACGAATTTTACAAGAATTTAATGATACTGCAAAATCAAAAGAAAACAGCAATCCAGCGATGGAAAGAAGAAAAGAAGAAGAAGAAAGAGGAACAAATTGAAATTGAAGAACAAGACAAAGTGAAATTGTTGGAAAAGGAGGAAGAAGAGAGACAGAAAGAAGCACAACGACAAAAACAACTCACCAAAATTAAGCTTCAAACATGGAAAATAGAAAAGGAACGACTAGAGAAGGAAAAACAAGAACTTGAGGAACGCGAAAAACAAGAAAAACTCAACAAGCAAAAAGAGGAGGAACGAAGATATCGAGAAGTAACCAAATTGCACTTAGAGAGCTACAAACAACTTAAAGAAATTAAGCAAAAAGAAAAGCAGAAAGTTCTTGTGGAAGAGCTCTCTAAAAAAACACGCCCTCCTTCACCGGCAGAATTGGCAAGGGTAAGAGAACGAGAGGAGCAGTACGTGAAGAAAGCACTGGAACGAAAATTAAAACGGGAACAGGAAGCAAAGGAGAAGGAAGAACGACTTTCAAAGCTTAAAGAGAAAGTTAAGGTTGAAGTTGAATCGGATGCAACTCGTCTCCTTAAGCCAACACAAGCTCAATTCAATAGAGAAGTAGAGATACGAGAATATATGGCTCAACCTAAAGATGAAGGCTCAGGAAGAAGACCCATAGCCTGCGACGTCCGAATGATTTCACACAAAACAATACCGAGTTGGAGAAAGTAAAACAAGTGGAACTCAAATAGTCGAACGCAACTCTTGTGCTAATATTGTCACTGAATTCCAAAGAGCTAGGATGGTATTTACAAAAATTACTTCCCATCCAGCTTAAGGATTATTGTTTCAATTAAAAAAACGCTAGTTTATAATTGTAAAAGCATAAATGGTGGAGGGAAACGGAGGTAAGTTACAAAACTATTGTGTGGTTCAGAAATGCATGCTGTTGTTTGAGAGCAGCAGTGATGGAAGTGTGATTGATGTGGAGTTATGATAATGGCAGTAGTGGTGTGTATGGAACTTATTAAGGATAAGTGGTAGCTAGCGAGCTAGGTGAACTTGAGTGGTAAATAATATCAAGAACGAATCGGTTCGGGCATTGTTTTTCTAAAAATCGGCTTTCGATGCTGAACCATTCTCTTCTTTTTGTTCTTGGCCCTCTCCTTCTTTTGGTTCTTCTTGTCTTAATGCTCGGACATTGTAATTCTTGTATCCATAGACTTTAAAACCATAAATTTTAGGAACGTAAACCTCTGTTGGTGGCTTTGGAATCAAATTGTCGTATTGAATCAAAAACAAGTGAGGGAATGTTGTTCCCCAGTATGCTCCATCAATGCCTCTGTGTCTGCTTGACCTAGGATAATAAATATCATTGCATCTAGGACAATAGATTTTCACTGATGATTCCCTAATATTATCGGACTGACCAACAGGAAGAACAGCTTGTCCTTGGCAGTGCACACGAGGACATCTTCCGAAATGGACCTGCCTAAACTTTTCTTCCATCAGAGCCAAGCCTCGGTTTGTGAGAATGAATCTTGCATGTATCAGTCCATAGAGTGTGTCTGCTGCAGATTCAACCAATTGTTGCTGCTCCTCTGTTAATTCTTCATCCATTGGGGACTCCAAATCAAGAATCATATCAAGGGCATAATCGAAAAAAGGCACTTCGTTTTGCAATCCACAAAGATTAAAATCGTCCTGAATATAGTCTTCATCGACTTCACAAAAAAACTCGTGTCCTTTTAGTGTGCAAAACCAAGAAATCCAAGATATTTCTTCTTCTTCATCCTCGTACTCTTCATCTGATGCAGGTGTTCTTCTATCGCTCATTTTGTTGTTGTTGTAGTGTATGAGTGTTTGTATGGAATTAGAGGTTTTGAAGAATAAAAAACGGATAATAATGTGTTATTATTATCGGCTAACAAAGGATGATGAATTGATAATAGTGAGTGGTACAAGAGTTATGTTGTAGCACACGTTGATGATGAAGATGTTACGAAAATATATCGTTGAATATGAAGACCAACAACAACAATTTAGAGAATATATTGTTCAATGTTGTTGTTTAGTGTGGTAATGATAATAAACAACACAATTGTTGTACGATGAGAACTGTGTGGGCTACGTTTTTGAGTCTGGTAGTTGGTACACTTCCCTCCTCGTTATTGTTGTTGATGATGAATGAACGACCGCAACAAGCACAGCCCTTCTGTTATGAATTTTTTTTGTTGGCGCCCAATTGCCATGCACCAGTTTATGAGTCGATCAAACACTTGTTCAGAGGATTAACAAACATCAACAGAGGACGTTCCTTAGAGTTTCCAACACATCTTATCATGGTTGTCGTATGATCAAGAGTTTCACCACAAAAAAAATGTTGAAACGGCTCTTACAAAATCATCATGTCATTCTCGCTTCTCAATCTCCGAGACGAAAGAAAATATTGATAGAGAATGGTGGACTTGAATTTGAGAAGGATTTTGTCATGATTCCATCATTATTTGATGAAAAGTCATTGGATAAAAAGAGTTTTCCAACACCGAAAGATTTTGTGATTGAAAATTCGAGATTGAAAGCATTCAACGTGTTTAATGACTTTAAAAATTTAAAAGAAAATTTAATTGTTATTGGAAGTGATAGTGTTGTGGTATACGAGGAGCACATATTAGAGAAGCCTGTGGATGAAATGGACGCCATTAACATGCTTCAAATGTTAAGTGGTAATACGCATCGAGTCCTGTCTGGAGTTTCAATTTATATCAAGACAGGAAATCAAGTGGAACAATTAGTCACATTTGCAGCAGAGACAAAAGTATTATTTGACACTCTTACTTTGGATCATATTAAAGAATACATTGAACGGGAGAGCCATTTGATAAGGCAGGTGCCTATGGAATTCAGGATTTAGGCGCTGCTTTTGTGAAATCCATTGAAGGAGATTACCATACAGTGATGGGCCTACCATATCAACTTCTCTACACACATTTACGAAAAGCTTTGTCAAACTCTGACCAATAATTATTCTTAATTAGTGCACATTTATGATATAAATACAGCGTATTCGAAAGACAACAAGTGATAGAGTTATTCCGTGAGCGTTTTCACCAAACCAACTCGAAATATTGCTTAAAAGATGAATTTGATGAATATAGAATTTAAGAAGGAACTGTTGGACCATTAACAAAAAGGTGAAAAGACCACTAGAAATAGAATTTCAACACATACCTATTTTCCTTGCTTAGATACAATTCTGTAACGTCACCTGCCAGCCCACACAGTTTTTGGAAAGGTTATTGTCATGCCCTTCATAATAATCATGCTCTGCTGTTTTTACATATACAATATTTGTGCTTATCTTTAAGGTATTTGTTCCTGACTCTACGTAAAATAGGGATGACATCACATGGGAGTCGGACAACTCCAGGATCTATAGAATTCATCATTCAAAGATGATTCAACAGGTTCATGCTGAACTTGATGGGAATGAGGTGCATCATCATTTGAAAAAATGCTTGAAAAGCTTTCCGACGAAGTCATTGGTCAAATCTTGTCCTATGGGTCGTTGTATGAATTCAAAAGCCTCTCGTTATTGAACAAGGAATTTCATCAGCGTCACTTTGAGGATGAAAACTCGATCGTGATTCTAGAATTTTTATCTTTTATTATTGGAAAGGAATTCCCTCATGCAGCAACATGATCACCATAAACGTGTTTGGATAGAGTTGGAAACATTCAAAGAATACGTAAGCAAGCATGCTTTGCTCAAACGAAAACGCAACGTTAAGGAGATTGAACATGAAACTACATATCTTGACTGTTTAAAAGTCATTAGTTATGAGAATGGTTGTTGGATTGAACATTTGAAAAGCAAATCATATTCAGAGATGGATACCTTTCAATATTCACCAGCTGTAAAAGAGAGGGCATTAACCACGCGTTTTGAAGGAAGCCATATTCATGATCAATTGCTTGAAAATATGGGTTTTACTTGTGAAATGTGGGTATCTTTCTCTCAACATTCGTTTTTCCCTGTGCTTTGTACGATTAGTGACGTGAACTGGACCAATGGTTTTGGCTTATTTGAATATTCGAATAACAGCATGGAAATATCAGACACCATTAATTGGTTTATTCATGATTGGTATGTCGAGGATAAATATTTTGTGACAACACCCATTCCTTCTACTAACGAATGGGTACACTATGCAGGTACTTTTGATTTGACCACGTGTGTTGCTTCTCTATACGTCAATGGAAAGTTGGTAAATCAAAAAACGATCCCTGATCATGGCTTGGAGCTAAATGAGTCCATGCAAATGGTCATTGGGTACTCTGATTATTGCAACGATATTGGTTATCATGTCATTGGAGAATACACAGACATTCGAGTGTGGAATGTTTGTAGAACTCAAGAGCAAATACAATCCACTATGAATCGAAGAATTTTCAAATATAATTTCGACAGAAAGACAAATCTCGAACACTTGATATTCAACTATTATCCAGACCCAATATTGGACACTCGCAAATGTATTAAGAATAAGGCGCCCAATCCCAAGTATCAGTCCAAAGAATATGACGCTGAGTGTGAATGGAGTGTGGTGTGTCAACCCATAGCTTGCGTCACACATATTAAGCAGTAATCTTTTATTACATTATATTTCTATGACTAGATCCAGTCATAGACACCAATAACATCAATAACATTATATATATATATAAATAATGATTATGATTTTGGTCAAACCTATTCTTATCGTTGTGTGCTGTTTTTCAAAGACTGACTCTCCATTTCGAAATGCTTTTGAGATTTGGTGAGGTTGGGATTAATTCCCAACAACGAGAATAAATTCGAAAAAAGTTTCAAAAATGAAAACTGAGATTCAAGCCATCGTGTTGGCCGGAGGAGCCGGTGTTCGGCTCTATCCTCTCGTGGACCAACATGCACCAAAAGCTACTCTTCCTATTGCAAATAAACCCATGATTCATTATACACTCACTTATTTGGAGAAGAATGGATTTAAAGAGGCAATTGTTGTTGTGTTGGCTAATCAGCAACGAGAAATGAATCAAGCTTTGAAAGAATATAGAGGCAAAATTTCAATTCAACTCAAGATTGTTGATTCAAAAGAGGCCAACGAAAATATGGACTCTGCAGAAGCATTACGAGCAATTTATGATTTAATTTATACTGATTTTTTAGTCATCAGCTCCGACTTGATTACGGATGTACCTTTATTGAATGTTTTGGATATACACAGACAACAAAATTCTTCTCTCACTCTTCTCTTAAAGGATGAATCAAATATTAGTTCGAGTGATTCCGATGAAATAGATTATTTTGCATTGACAAATTATGAGAGAGCCGCTGTTCAACAATTTGTTGATTCCGAACAACCAATTTCTGCAATGCAAAGACGAAAAAAGTTGGCTCTCAAACCACCTCGTGTCATTATGGATCAAGTATTAGACTCTGAGGACAAATCACTCTCCGTTCCACGTTCATTCATGAGAAGATGGCCCAATTTTACACTCACAAAAGGTCTCAAAGATTCACACTTGTATATTTGTTCCAAGTGGATTGCTGATTTGCTTTTACAAAAACCAGAAATGGAATCTTTGAAACACGATGTGATTCCATTCCTTGTTGATTCACAAAATTTACCAAGCGACAAATTGGACGAGGTTCTCTCAAAGATAGTGCCACCATTTTTACAGACGGAGGCTTACAAGATGAGTACAACAGACACATGTGCTGACGATTTGATTAGGGTCTTTGCATATGTTGTTCCTCCACATGAGGACAAGGCAACCACGTCAACCTCTCCAAAGAGTTTGAAACCAGGATTATTTTGCAAGAGATGTAACACAATTTCCTCGCTCCTATATATTAACAGAGAGGTAAGTTTTTCATGAATTGGATTTTATGAAATTTTGGAAATTGGTATATTTCAACATTCCACAATGCAGATTGCAAGAAAGAACAATATTTCATTCTTTGAAGAGCTAGCTCAATATAAGAACACCCCAGCATCAGCTGCTGGAGACTCATATCTTTTGGGCCCTGACTGTGTAGTTGGAGAAGGCTTAATATTTACCGGTATGAACAAGAAACTTCGACCAACCATCAAAAAGAGCAATGTTGGTAAGCAATGTAAGATTGGACAAGCTTCTAAAATTGAAAACTCGGTGGTAATGGACAATGTGACTATTGGAGACAAGTAAGTATTTATACGAATTCAACACCGTCACTTGACTGCTTTATTCATTTTTGTGTAAACACGTATGGAACGAATTGATTTTATGTTTGTCAAACCCTATCACAGCTGTGTCATCTCCAACTCTGTTGTTGCTACTGGAGTCACCATTGAATCTGGAACCAAGATGATCAGTTGCCAAGTCGGGCCAAACTTTAAGGTTGAGGCGAACGAATATAAGGATGAGCAATTGACAGGAGGAGACATGGAACTCTAAATCAACAATTCATGCACACAATGATTTCAAATAAATATTTTGATTTGTTCAGGTTTGTCACCTACTTTAAGAAAACACGCAAGCTTAAATAATTTGTGTTTTATTATTATTTTAATAGAGTGAAAAAAGATGATTTAGAAGAGACCACCGAAAGCATCAGCATCATCCTCGGATTCGGATTCCTTCTTCTTTTCTTCCTCCTTAGCAGCAGCTGGAGTAGCAGTAGCAGCTGGAGCAGATCCGGCAGCAACACCACCACCAACAGTGGTCATTTTTGTGATGAGTGATTCAACCAAAGATGGAGTAGCATATTTAGCAAAGACTTCAGCAGAGGTCTTATCAACATTCACACCAGCAGCCTTGGTGAGAGCAAGAATGTTTGATGAGGTGATGTCCTTTTGAGCATCAACCAACAAGAGAGTTGCGTAAGTCAAAGCAGAAGCGACGTCTGAGGAAACCATTGTGTGGGATAGGGTTGTGGCGTATTTTTTTCAAAACAAAATTTTTTTTAAAATGGTCAACCTAGGTGGGCAGTTTACAATAAAAGGTTGTGGCATGGTTTTTAACGAACTTTTTTTATTTGAAATTGAATTTCAATCTGTGGAATGAACATCCGGTTGAGAATGAACCGTATTAATGGGTTCGTTAAAGTTGTTTCCTTTACAGTTCCTGGTATGCCTTTTTGTTCATGACTTCACCGTTGGTAACGTAACAAAGCTCGACTTGTCGTCATCTTCAATGAAATTCTAAATTCCAGAATTCTATCAAGCGCTCGCATTATTATTATTATAATTTTTCGGATTCATGCAGTGAATGTATGTTCTCCAGCCAGTTGTTGATCCAAGAAAAATGTCTCAACACAACAACAAGCCTGTTCTCACTTACTTTAGCTCGAGAGGTAAATCAGAAATTATTCGGTTGCTTTTAGCAGAAGCAGGTATGTGACCCTATCAAAGCACCCGATTCTCTAATTGATCGGAAAATGGGGTTGGCTTACGTGGATGTTTTGGTTATTATTCAATCCCGATGATCTTTTGTTATGATTATAATATTAAATATATTCATTTACATGGACCTCTTGTTGAAATATTTACAGGAGTGGATTATGAAGAAGTTAATGTTGGTGTTTGGCATCCAACTGATAAATCTGAGCAATTCCAACAACTCGTTCAAAACGGTAGCTTAGCCTTTGATGCTCTTCCAAGTTACAAGGATGATCAAATCTTCCTTGTTCAATCTGGTGCGATTGTTCGATATGTTGCAAAACGATATGGTTGAGTGGAAGTAATCTCGTTGAGGAGAGTCTTGTTGATCAATTCTATGAGGGAGTGTTGGACATTACCACTCAACTTCGTTCTGCTTTCAATGTCATGTATCCAGTCACGAAAGAAGTATCCAATTCCAGCATTGAGGAAACCATGGACAAGATTGCACGAGAGAAATTACCCAAATTTATTTCATACTTTGAAAGAGCACTCAAGGGAAAGACTTTCCTCGTGGGCGAGAAGATTTCCTATGCCGATATTGGATTGTTTTATGTGATTGATAATTTATTGGAATTGAATGCAGAATATACCAACAAGTTCATTTTGGAGAAGAATGAAAATTTAAAAGCATTCCATGGTCGAATTAAGAGCAGAGAGGGCATTCACAAACATGTGACAAATCCTAATCGATTTCCTAAACAAAATTTACCAGGTTATGAAACAGTTCTTTCGAAAATTGTTCAACAATAGAGAGTAATTGCGTCAGGCAGGGACGGACCATTTCATGTGTGTGAAAGCTCTTTAAATTAATTCGGATTGGTATTCTTTCAATATTTTCACACCAAATAAAAATGTCCTCAAAACTCACTTCACTTTCTGCTTATCGGTCGTTGCTGAGAGCCAGTCGTCTGGTATTCAATGGCGACACCCGAACACTCAATCTTTCTCTCCGACAAATACGTACTGAATTTGAAAAGAATAGATTTGAAAAGGATGAAAAGAAGATACAAAAACTCATTTCCGATGCTCAGGAAGCCTCCTCATTTTTAATTTCCTCCGTTCTCCAGGGAGTGAAAGAACAAGATGGCTTCAAAATTCGACTCAATAAGAAACAAGTAGAGGCTAATTTGGATGCTAACGTAACAATTAAAGGAATTGATGATCAATATTTGGAGAATTTAGAAAGAAGAGCCGGAAGGAAAAAGAATAGAGGAGAAAATAGTGCTGATGAGACGGCTGTTGAGCAACAACAACAACCTTCAACGGAATCTAGTTGTTGCAAATCATCCTCTCAACCTGCAAGTAATTAAGTAGCTTGCTTCAACGAACCAATTTTGAAACTGTTGAACAAACTTATTCGGATCCAACACGAACCAAAGCAAGGATATTAATGTTGTCATTGAAAGTTAAGGGAAATCTCTATTCAAACATCAATATCATCACTGACAACTCGTATATGGAATTAAATCATGATTTCCATCAATTCAATCAACATGATGGTATTAATTGTTTCCAGTTCATCCATTTTGATTTAAAGATAAAAAAAATTATTCAAATAATAACGAGCAACTTGTTGAGTCTTGAAAATGATAAGAAGAGCTACCACAACCACTTGCCGAGGATTGATAACAACATTAACCTCTAAAAGATCCATAAATTCGGGTTCATCATTGGCCTCTTTTGTAAAAGCAATGTCATCGTCTAGAATGATTCATACGACTAGCAATTATAACTCTTTCATGAAAAAGAGTCATCATTCCATGAACAACAATCATCATCATCACTACAATAACATAATACAATCTTCATCGTTCCATATGAATTTAAAAACTTTGAACTCATCAAGTAACAAGAAACAAGATCCAGACCTCTCCGAACTCAGATACATTACAGTGAAAACTCCCGATGATGTGGTCAAAAACGCAAACGTGATTATTGAATGGTTGAAAAAAGAAGGAGATTCAGTAGAAGATAATGAACTCGTTTGTAGAATTGATAGGCAACCAATGGTGGGCGATGAGATTAGAGAAATCCATGCCGAGTACAAGGGAAAAATTCATAAAATACCATTTCAACCAGCGCCTACTCAAGAACAAATTGGAGAAAAACTGAAAGCTGTCATGTCACCAAATCAAGATTTATTTATTTTAGAAACAACAGAGGGAGAAATTAGGTCTCAAGAAGGAGTTATTGCCAAGATTAAGAGATTTGTGAAGAAGTATGGTATTTTGGGAGTTGTTATTTATTTTGGAATTTATTTTTTGACTTTGGGAACTTTGTTTTTACTATTGCAAGAGGGATTTTTAGCAACCAAGGATGTATTGGCTTGGTTACATAACAGTGGATTTGACAAATACATTGACATGAATGACTTGAAAAAGTCAGAAAGAAATGCCAACTTTGTGGTTGCTTGGGTATTGACCAAGTTCACAGAACCTGTCAGAATGGCTGTCACTCTAGCCATTACTCCTTATATTTACAAGATTTTGAGAAGATTTATGAGAAAGTAAAGCAGGTGTTTTTAAGTGTCAACATTTTATCTGTATGGAGAGAAAAAAGATTGGCATGAGGCGCAACTTGTGTTTTGAAGTCTTACTACTTTTGATTGTTGAGGTTAAAAATTCTTTTGGGCTTGCTTTTAATACTAGCTTACTTGTCAAGATCAGAAAGATCAGGTTTTTCCTCTGGTTCCTCTTCTCCTTCCTCGCCTGGTTCGTTTTCTGGGAAAGAAGTTTCTTGTTGTGGGAGATAGAAATCTTCCATATTCATTGGCTCATTCACATCACCTCCGGATGCATGCCAATCGTATTGATCCTCTTCATCATCCTCTTCATCAATCCATTTTGTCCAGTCAACTGAAATTTGTCTATTCTTTTGATTGGACTTGGTTAATCTTGGCCAAAATTCTCCTTGGTCCTTTCTCTCAATATTCAAATCAATGGTTCTTCCGGATACTTTCCACTTTGAATTTTCAGTAGAAATTTCAGCAAACAATTCCAAATCTAATTCATAATGATCTCCATGGGAATTGGCTGAAACCTTCAAACGACCCTCGTCTTGCAATGCTACTTTTACATCGGTTGCATCCGGAACTTCCACAGTCACATAAATACGATCGGATCTTGGTGCCCACAAGACATGTGGTCTGTTTAAATGTTCCCAGAAGAATATTCATTGTTTGATTATTTGGTCGTGTGATGATGATAAATAGACATGATATGATACATACGTATGAGAAGAGGAGGTTGCTGCTTCAGACATTTTTTTTGTGAATTTCGGAATTCCCTATCGGGTACGTTATTCCGAGAGTATTTGGATCAGATTGCAATTCAACAATTGAATCAAATTTAATATTGTTGTTTATATGAACACCTTTCATAGGATGACAGTTCTATGTACAGATATCGAATTCGTGTGTGGTCTGAAAAATTTTGTGTTGAGTTTGCAATATACCATTCAACTACAATTTCGCTTAGAAGAATCTCAAAATAAAAGCAATTAATGCAATTAAAATAATTCCAGCATACATGAAATTGACAGCTTTGGTTCGACCAATATGAGGCATCTCAGGTAAATTACTACTGATCATATCTTGTAAACTCGTGGTTGTTGAGGCAATACTTGATCTTCTGCTTTGACAAACAAGTGCCTCGGTTTTCATGTGGAATGTTGTACCTCTCTTTGGAACAAGAGCATTAAGGTTCAATTCACAACAAATTTCTCGAGCCATTTTACGAAGAGAGGTTGGTTCCCCGTGAACGACAAAGACCATTTTTGGCTTTGGTTTCTTTGCAGCCTCAATCCACTTGATAACATCTTCCGTATCACCGTGAGCAGATAATCCACTCACTTGCATAATTTGGCATTTGACATTGACTGTTTTTCCGTGTAATTTGATGTTTTTCACTCCATTAAGCAAATCTCTTCCTCTGGTACCTTCAGCTTGGAAACCACTAATTAGCACAACATTCTTTTCATGGGGAGCCAAGTCTTCAAAATGGAACAAGCAACGACCACCAGTCATCATACCACTGCTACTAATGATGATGCATTTAGAGTAGCCATCCTTAATCTTTTGATGCAATTCTTTCGACTCTTTCGAGCTGTTGTGACAAATGACATCTTTGAGTAATTCGTGAGCATCTTTTTGATGCTCCTCCAATAAATGTTGCTGATAAAAATCTAAGGCTTCAACCGACATGGGGCTGTTCATGTGCACTGGTAGTGTTGGTATTTCCTTATCTCTCATCATTTTAAGGAGGTAATAGGCAATAGTTTGAGAACGACCAATAGCGAATGCAGGAATAAGAATGATACCATCGTTGTCGACAATATGTTGCACGGCTTGTTTCAACACTGGTTTGACTTTGGTTTCAATCACATAATTGATATCTTCTGCTGCTTTTCCAGTTGCAAAATCGACGTGAGACTTTCCTCCATATGTGGCTTCGCAAACGACATAATCTGCTCCTAATGGAAGATGTGGATGTTGTTGCATTGGTGACAGAGTTTTAAACGTTCCCAAGTCTCCAGAAAATATGACCTTTTCTTGTGTGGGGAAAGTAATTTCAACGAAAGAGGATCCCAATAAATGTCCTGCATTGAAAAACTTGAATGAGAATTTGTCTTCTTCTAACTTGCTTTTTACCACTACTCGTTCTCCGTATTTAACCTTTCTAACCAATTTGAGGACGCCCATCACTTCATCTTCAGTGTACAATGGAAGAGCTACTGCATGCTTGGTTGTTTCTTTGCGATTTGCATAATGTGCATCTTCTTCTTGAAGACGAGCCGAGTCAAGTAAAATCAATTCTGTCAAATTATAGGTTTGTTCAGTCATGTAAATTGGACCATTAAATCCAAGAGCATACATTCTGTGAATGCAAACAGTAAAAAATTTGAAAAAACGAGTTGGAGTCATCTCTGATTTTTTACATTTCAATACTTACCTTGGAAGATAACCTGTGTGATCCAAATGAGAGTGAGTAATGATAATGGCATCACACATGGTCTCTACTGGTCTAGACGATGAAATAACTTTCCAGTTTCTCTCTCTGAAGGTTCAAAGGAATCAAAATGAAAATACAGTCGGAATAGGTAAATTACAATTTCGTTCAATTTCATGATCATCATATTCATTAGATAAAACAGTAACATACCTGAGCTCTTTCAATCCTTGATACATTCCGCAATCAATCAAAACGTTCAAACTTCCATACGTAACCATATGCTTGGAACCAGTTACTGTTCCCGAAGCACCAAAAAAGCTCAACTCTGAATGATTAGCAAATACCTCAGGTTTAGGAATTTTGGCAAGTTCTTTTTGAGCTTGCTTTACTTCATCCTTATGCAGTATTCTGATATCGGCCCGAGTCAATTTTGTCTTATCAATGGGCATTCCCTCGACAAAATGAGCTCCTTCTCCTTCATCTTCATATTGAGAGGAAACAAGTTTTTTGTCTGAACCACCTCCTCCGAGAGATGATGAGGCTCCATTGGTGGTTGTCGTGTTATTGGTAGTGTTGGTATTCTCTGTAAAATCTTTCTTGGATGCTGGCATTTTTTTTCTGTTTTTAATTTCTACTTTTAAAGACCTTAAAAAGGAATCTTTAAACACTGAGGAGATAATTGGTTTTTAACACAAAAATGATCATTTTCAAAATCTCCAAGAAAGACGGAAATGATTCACCCGTATATTCTAATTGTGAAAAAGAGAAGAATCATTTTGCACGGTCGTTTGCTAATCAAAATGAAGCTCCAAACAAGTTTCATGACAGTTCATCAGTCTGACGAGAGGGGCTGAAGAGCGAACTGTGTAGATAGTGTTGACATCTCGCTTTTAAAAAAATCAAAGATGATCAAATCCTCGCTGCGTATTGCTGCCATAGGTTTCGGAACAGCCGCTCCAGCCTTTGCATTGTTCGCTGCCAAAAGTAAGTGATATCTTTTGAGTGTTGTGCGAATTTGAAAATCTTGATCTTGTAGTGGGTCATCAAGTGGACATTTATGAAAAATTTCCAGAAGCAAGACCTATTGGAAGTGGAATTTTGCTTCAACCTACAGGTAGGCATTAAATCATGCATGAAATTCAAAATGTTCTGACAAGTGGCATTTGACAGGAATGAAAGTGTTAGATTCGCTCGGACTTTTGGACACAGCTCTTTACTATGGACAAAAAATTGATAGACTCTATGGCTACACCGATCGTTCTCTTCTCATGCCATGGAAATTCACCAATGATCAATTTCAACACAAAGTTCTCGATTTACAATACAAACATTTGGGAGAGCACTTTTTCGGATTGGGAATTCACAGAGGAACACTTTTTCAGATTTTGCATCATGCAGTTTCGAAACAGACACCTCAAATTTCTCTCAAGTGTGGATTCAATATTTCGAGAGTGGAAGAACGTGAAGTATTTGACTCGAATGGAAGGAAGAGAGGTGTGAAAAGTAGATTGTTTTTTCACACGAATAATGATAATAATAATGGAAATTCCAAAAACAAAGGACCAATGAATCAAGGATCTGAGCATAAAGAGGAGCAAGAAATCGATACAGAATATGATCTCGTTGTAATTGCTTCTGGAACACACTCTCGATTAGGAAATTTCGAAAAAAGAAAAGCAAAATTGTACGAATTTGGAGTTTGTGGGTGAATGCTGTAGATACATGCAATTTCAAAGAGAATCAAACACTCTTCAGAAATATAGAAATGCCAAATACATGTCAGGAATCTTACCAATTGGAAAATTATTGAACCATTCCCAACATTTGAACCCTGCTGCTCCATTATGCAATGATTTGAACCCTTCATCGAATACATGCAACAACAGCATTGGCATGGATCACCATCCACATGCTCATGGAGATTCCCTAGTGAGTATTTTTTGGAGTTTGACTCGAAACGATTATCTCAAATTTAAAGAAATGAGTTCCCAAGGCGAGGATTTTCATGAATTTAAACAATCCTTAATCAATTTTTGGCCTCAACTCTCCACATTTATTTCTCAAATTCAATGTAAAGAGGAGTTTACCTACGCCACCTATAACGATGTACAGATGCATCCTAGGGATTGGCTCTCTGAGAAGGGAGGGTCATTATGATTGGAGATTATTGTCATGGAACTTCACCTCAATTAGGACAAGGAGCAGGTAAGTGTGGATGTTCAACCGATACCATTCATTCCTGACATGAATATTTATATAATAACAACCATATGTTTTTTGATTTTTGGAATTGAAAACTTTCAGGACTTGCCCTTATTGATGCCTATATCCTCAACGAATGTATTCAAGCTTACCATATGGAACACAAATTTCAATCTCTTCAAGAAGCGCTTCATGCCTACACTCAACAACGAGCAAGTCATGTCATTGGTTATCGATTGGCCTCTCGAATTCTCACTCCATTCTTTCAAAGTAATTTTCATACAGTGTCCTACTTGAGAGATTTGGTGATGGGTCCAATGTGTTCGATTCCACCTGCACGATGGTTCATGTTGAGAACATTGGCAGGAATTCAAAGTGGATGGTTTGATACATTTGATACAAGTCCTACTTTTTAAGATTTTCAAGAATGACTCAGTAAGCGTTCTGAGAAACGAATTTGATTGGTGCACAGGTTGTTTGTGGTTTAGAGGTTTAGAAATTAAAACAAGACTCGTATTAGTAAAAAGTTGAGGAAGGTTCAAAACTGGGTGCGAAAAAATGAAAGAACGTCGAAGGCTTGATTCAAGCACGAACGAACCTTCAAGTAGTAGAGGTTCTCAGGGTCAACATAGATCACGTAACCCGAATTATTCTGCAGAATCTTATCATCCCTATGATAGAAATCAACGTAATAATAATCGCCACAGGAACAATGATAAGAGAGATGGTAATAACAGTCATCATGAGAATCGGAACCATAACAGACCACAGGAAGGCTCTTCTCAAAATGATCGCTCTCGAAACAATTACAACAATTCTACTTACAATAATAGCAATTACAATACAAACAATTCAAGAGGCAATGATTCAAGAAATTATCAAGGCAGTGGTAAGAAGAATGAAGACAAACTCGTAGAAAATCAATCTTTAAATGGAAAATGGCAGAAACTGAAAGAAATTGCCGAAAAACCTTCACAACTTTATGATTTTAACAACAAAATTGATGTTGTGTATGATATTAATGGAGTTCTAATTATTGGACAAGAACGTCTTTTAACATTAAGGCTTCGCGCTAATGATGCTGAGACAAGTATCACTCCCTACACTCATAATTCACCCTTATTGGAAATACTGTAAGTATACTAATTTGAGAAATCACCAACTTGAAAAATTGCACCCATTTTTAAACGCCATCTGTAAATCAACAGTCACAGAGACGCGAATGTTTATATCATGTGCCATAACCATTTCTATTGCTACGAACTAAATATCAGCAACGTTAGTTTAACTTGTAAATACAAATCAAAGGAGCTTGAGAGACTAGTTCATATGGAATGGTATTCTGATAATGAAATTCTAATATGTGACATCCAAGGAGGAATTTTCATCTTTAATACAACCATGAATGTCATGGATGAATGTGTATCTGGAAATCTTGGTCTCCCATACGGTTTGTGTTGGTTCTCTGTTTGTAGAGAACGAAACTGGCTATTCGCATCTGGAAGGAATACCGATTTAGAGATGGGTTCTCTCAGTTCAATGAAAATGCAACGTGACACACCAACTTCAACCTTCGAGAGAGGTGGAGGTAAACAAGAAGAGGTGAAATGCTGTACTTTGTGGGAGATTGGTGCATTGCAGTGGGCTACAATACCAAAAAAATTGGTTTATTTACAGTCATTCAACCCAAGTCTGGAAATGATCACACTCTCAAACTTTCCAAGTTTCAAATTATTGACCCAGCCACAGAGTACTCTCATTTGTTAGCAGACAAATTCAAGATATTGGTCGTGTCAAGAAATGGAGCAAATTCCAAAGTAAGCATTTATCGCAAATCCAAAAGCGAACACAGAATTGAACCAAACAAAAAAACCCAGATCTTTGAAGAGTGCTCAACTGCTTCGTTTTGTTCGCCTCAAAGTCAATGGATCACTTCCTTTTACTGCCGAGATGACCTTATTGTGTTTGGTACGCAAATTGGAAAAGTATATGTTTTTGATTTGTTGAAATAAACAAATTTTCAAAATGTGATCATGACAACAATCTCCACAAATTGTAGTAGACAAAGGCTTTCATTGGTTAAACCTTTCAACTGCTTCTTTCATAAAATCTAATTCTGGAAAGGGTTGACCCGCCAAAAATGCCGCAACTCTACAATTCCAAACCGTTGGACGACCTTTCTTTGAATCCGTTGAAGGATTTATCGGGAGGACGAAGATTATATCAACAAGAACCCATAGAAAGCAATCAAAACATCCCAATCATAATAATATTAGCCTTGTTGAGGAAGAAACAAACTTGAGGTTCGGCAAAGAAGATTTAGCTGCTTGTGATGATACTCGAGTAGATTCAGAAAATTCAAAACAATCTCGATCGCTTCAAGAAAAGGAGATTCTTTTAAATAATAGTTATTTCTATCGGAAAGAAATGAAAAAAATCAAACAGCAACAAATACTAATTCTCCCCGAACGTTTCAAAATAATAGTTTCATCAACTCATCATTCCCTTCTTCCCGAACCGCACCTATTTTCGAAAATTCAAATTTAATAGATGATCAACGAAAAAAAGATCTCTCCATGCTTTATGACTTGTATTCAAAAGAAAAGCAAAACGGAAATGAATTTAAGAGCTTACAATTTTTAGAGGAATATATTTCGACCTTCATTCGTTCAATTCCAGAAAACCAGCTCACCGCTGAGGAATTGGAGCATTTGAGAAGATTAACTGAAAAATTTATAGTTAAATGCAACGTTGTTGCAATGGATTACTTGACCAATCAGAGGAACAAAAATATGAGTAAGGCTTGTCTTGACAAGGCAAAAAATATCATTGATCTTTATGGACGAATTGTTTTTAAAGAGGAGGAAGAAAAGGGAACAAAGCTGTTAGTGTCTACACTTAGTAATTTTTCAGTTTTTTACAAAGAGTAAGTGGAATTTTGATGAAAATGGCACTAAAAACTACCCGAAACAGATGTGGAAATCTAGAAAAAGCTTTAAATGCTCTCAATCTAGCTCAAAAGGCAGAAACTCATTTCAATGCAAGTTTAGAGCTTAATTTTTGTGCGGTATTGTCCCAAATGAATCGACACGAAGAGGCGTTAAATCATGGTCTAGAAGCATTAAGACAATTAGAGCTTTTCAAGAAACTCAATCGAATCAAACACAACATTGCAAGTTGCAATGAAACGTTAATCATTGCTTTTTACAATGTAGCTGTTGAATATGAACATTTAAAGCAAACAACATCAGCAATGGAATACTACTCGAAAGGTTTTTCCCTCTCATTGAAGTGCTTGGAACCGATCATCCAACTACCAAACGTTTGAGAGAGTCCCTAGAGAAATTTCGATCGAAAAATCTGGTCAAAAACAATGCCAGCGCAAACACTTCCATCGTTGCAGAGAATGCATCAAAATTATCAGCACGACCATCGACACTCACTTCAGACTCTCGAGGTACTCATGTACGAAAAGTCAAGCCACCTTCGCTGGTTCTTCCTCAACCAACAGCTCTCAAAAAACCTCTAGCTCAGGAGGCTCTTCATCCGGTAACAGAAGTTCTGATCATTTTCAAGAGTCTCTATCTGAAAAGAGGAGAACTCAGAGTACCAACTTGTCACTCAACACGAGTACAGTGAGTATACCTCCTACATCAAAATCCACCCCTCCTGGATTACCACAAAGTGTCGGTTCACACAACAATTCATTTCGAAGAAGTTACAGGAAAGCACCTAACCTCCTCAAAAATCCATCCCTCTCACAGAAAACAATCTCGAGCTACATAACAAAATTTCTTCCTTGCATTTCTATGCCACTCTCATTCAGAAAGTATTTCGAGGGTTTTGGACAAGGAAAAAGCTTCGGGAAGAACGGTCGATACGATACAGTTACAGGCCCATTAAGGATGTTGAATTAATGTATGAAACTTTTTTGTTGAACCATGAAACATTATGTCGAACGAAGCTGCAAAGAAGATCCTCCATGAATCGACAAGTCGCGAATGTGACACAAAATGAAGACAAAGTACACATTTCACGACAACATCGCGCAATGGTGGCACGACCTCCCTCTCCTCCAAAAGTTGACATGGCCAGCAAGACAAAAATTCTTGTTAATGACATGACTTCAACGTTGAAGCAATTGGAAAATGTGTTGAAGAATGATTGAATAAACTCTCACCATTGTTTCTCATGGGTCGCCCTGACGTTAGATCATGTGAAATTTCATTGCCAATATCATGATTCTTTTTAATGACACACAGAATAAATAAAAATTTAGAGTTTCTTCCAGACAGTCTTCAACTCCATGAAAAGATCAGCACCAAAGGTTGAAAGTTCAGCTCCACCAACTCCAGATTGCTTACGTGTTGGCCATGGAACTTGGCAAAGACATGGTTGACTGGCATTCAACCACAATGATCCAACGCACAATTGTCTTCCAACACGTTCCAATCTTTCGTCACTGCCAGAAATGACAGATGCAGCCAATCCATATTTAGTATCGTTGGCCAATCGGATAGCCTCTTCTTCAGTTTCAAATGTCATGACACTCAAAACAGGGCCAAAGATCTCTTCCTTCCAAATGGTCATATCAGGGGTGACATTGGTGAAAATAGTTGGGGCCACAAAGAATCCCTTAGTTGGATCTTGAGCCTTAATAACTTCTGGTCGGCCACCACCAACAAGTGCAACAGCTCCTTCCTTCTTACCAATTTCAATATAATTCATAACCTTATCGTATTGAATCTTGCAGACTTGAGCACCATGAGTTACAGTCTTGTCAAACAATGAATCTCCAGTAACAATCGTCTTGGTCTTTTCAACCAACTTGTCCATCAATGGTTGATAAATACTCTTTTGAACCAAGAGTCTTGATGTTGCAGAACAAATCTCACCCTTATTTGCGAAAATACCTCCAACAATGGACTCAATAGCAACACTCATGTCACAATCTGGATTTAAAATCATGAATGGATCAAGGTGAATTTCACAGCATCCTACTTACCTTCGAAAACAATAATAGGACTTTTACCACCCAACTCGAGAGAACAACGAGTCAATGTTGGCAAACAAGCAGCACCAACCTTCAAACCAGTAGCCAAAGATCCAGTAAATGAAATCTTCTTCACACGAGGATCAGAGGTCAATAAATGTCCCATCTTGTAGCCATAACCAGCAACAATATTGACCACACCCTTTGGGAAAATATCTTTAATGTAATCAGCCAATACGAGAGCAGTCATTGAAGTGTATTCGGATGGCTTGAGAAGAATGCTATTACCTAGATTGTTGTGTTTTCAATGAAAAAATCCATATCCATTGTGTGATGTGAATCATGATCATTTCCAAATTATTGTTAACATCATCCATACATACGAGATGAACATGATCAATCACGAATCCAAATATTAAAAACATACCTGTAATCATGGCTGGAGCCAACTTCCACATCAACAACAACAATGGATAATTGAATGGTAAAATTCCCACACATGGTCCGATGGGTTCATAACACAACCGATTCGAGAGACCCCACTTCTCCGAGTCATGATGAGGATTCACTCGTCCATCCAACTTTTCCTGAACATATCCAGCCAATGAAGCATAATATCTCAAAGTATTACAACATTCATCGACATCACCAATACTCTCAAAGAAAGTCTTTCCGTTATTCTTGGATTCAAGTTCAGCCAATTCATTCATATTCTCTTGGATCTTGTCTGCCAAACGGTTCATACAGGCAGCCCGCTCCTCGATGGGAGTTTGGGACCATACAGAGAAGGCCTGTACAGTGGAATCAAGGGCTTGGGAGATTTGATCGGGAGAGGCTTGAGTAACGAGAGCAATGACTTGTTCCGTACATGGATTGATCACTGGAATGTACAAGTCGTCGTGAGGAGTGGTAGATTCTTCGGATTCACGTGAAACGAATTCATTGTTGATGAGAGAGTGATATTTGGGGAGTGAGGAAGATGCCATTTTTTTTTGTAAAAGAAATGCAGCGAGTTCAGTTGACTCGAGGATCTTGTGCTTACAAAATTTCTAAAATGAGACGAGGTGAATAGTTCAGCAATTTGATATTTTTCATGTTTTCAGTATATTCTGAAACAATGTCCATGGGATTTATTCATGAATATGATGCAGCATTTTCCTCTCTTCTGATATGTTGACAGTTTGTTGAGAGGGTAACTGTTGAGAGCACACCTCTCGGAACAGTTGATTTAAGTCAAATAATTCTAGCTTCCAACTGAAAATAGGTCCAAAGAAGTTGGTTACGAACACAATTGAAAATACAAGAAACATTTAATTCTTCGGAAGGGATGTCTTGTTGAAGTAGAGAATAAAAAATGCTCCGTAAAGTACTTGCCACGTTCACGTACCATCAGCATCATCCTTCACAACAAGCACTACAAGGGATGAGAGTGTTCTCATCATCAGTAAAACAAAATATTAATAATAATAATATTGGAATGGAATATTTTCAAAGTTGTTATCATTTCTCGTCATCAATGAAATACTTTCCGAGGGACTGCCATCGGCAAGGAATGAACGGAATGATGAATGATTTCAGTATTCATACTACTACTAATGGAGACCAACAATTATCATCATTAATACGATCCAAAAACAAAACAGCAATTGTTTTAAAGAATAATACTATTTCAAATTGGAATTTCATATCCTCGTCGGGTCGGGTTCATCCTTTAACTTTACTGGCCAATGTTACAGCGTCATTACAGACACGACAATTTTTGAATGTATTGGCTAATATTACAAATTCTGCCAATCATAACCATCGTGGAATTAAATTTGTAGAACAACGGGTGATTGGATATAAACCCGAACAAGTCTATCATGTGGTTTCTAACGTAACAGATTACAAACATTTTGTACCCAATGTCAAAGATTCGGCTTTTGTAAATTTGGATAAGGCAACAACAAGTCCACCCGATGAGAATGGTTTGTAGAGAAGAAAACAGAGGCTTATTTAACTGTAGGGTTTCCTCCCTTTGTAGAGACCTACATGTCTACTGTGTTTTTGAAAAGTCCTGTGAGTGTTAGAGCTGAATCCAAAAATGTGAAACTGTTTAATAGGTTAATCAATCACTGGGTGATTGCTGAGGGACCTTCAGAAGATACATGCAGATTGACGTTTCATGTCGATTTTGAATTTTCCTCACGTCTTTATCAATCTGTGGCAAATATGTTTTTCGATTTTTGTAAGTATACTTTTCGCTTTAATAAGAAACGCTGATTCATTTCATGGGTCTTTTTTCAAACGGGAAATGGTTCGTGCTTGAACAATGTTGTGAAAAAAATCGCTCCCTTAATTAGTGGTCAAAAATATGACGGATGCTTTTGAAAAGAGATTAGCTCAAGTTTATGGCAAGCCCTCTCAGCAAACTAAAATAGTGTACACTAAAACTCAACAATGCTAGTGACAAGCACAAAATGACTTGTTCGATTTATTGTCGTTGTTGTCTGCTGAACTGTTTCTGTTTGGTTGTCCAAAAAATTGTTGTGCAATTTTCTATGAAAATTTTAGTATTAAGCCAAAATGCACGTAGAGCCAGAAGCCGAAGTTGGTAAATAGTGATCACTATTTGTTTTCATGAGAGTTGGAATGATGATTCTTGGTGGAGTTTTTTGCGTGCGTTCCTTGTACATTCTGTTGAGATCGTTCAGAGAGAACGGTGGCTTGCTGGTTATGGACGGAGACATTCCTAAATGCAACAATGAGAGACATTTCAATGAAATAACAAACTCTAGAAGGTGTGAATAGGTGACATCTAACAGAACGCCATTTCCTGCAAAAATAACTATTGAGAGCTTGGGACAGTACTGAACGAGAAGGTCAAAAAACTCAGCATGTGGCAATCCTGTTTCCCAGCTTAAAAATAAAGTGTCAAGATTGGGGCATTGTTTGATCAGTTGTGCAATTTCATCAAGTTGTCGCGAACCTAGAAGTGTTCCCACTAATTTCAAGCTCGTTAATTGGTGTGTGGAGTGACTTGAAAGTCTCAGTAAGCAAACAGGATTAAATGCGTTTTCAATTCCAAATTTTTGATACTGATCGATCTCTCCGCGATGACATGAAATATTTGATCTGCTTGTTCTTGAGGAAGTGTCGCACCAAGCATGTTCACACTTTGCAGTTTTGTATTGGTTTCTGTCAGAGTTAAAAATCCTTGCCCAACATTGCCAAAAATGTCAATGTGTGTCAAACAACTGAACACACATAATATGGATAGATTATTCATAATTTCGTTATAATTCTCCTCATGAAGATTTGGTAGTAAGAGAGTTGTGAGTTTTTTCATTTCTACTAGACCATTCTGTTGAATTTTTCCTTGAAAGGGCACCAGTGTCGAGGATCTAATTTCAACACTTTCCAAAGTTTCATTGCTGTGAATGATAAGAGAATAGAGATGAGATGATTCTACCATCATACATCCCTCAATCAAAATACTTTGTAACTTGAGCTGACCTAACTCATGAATTTTCTGTGTAGTGCCCACCCGTTGAAAACTGCAATCAATGACTTTCAAGAATAACAACTTTGGGCAATGCTTGGCTACATTGATGAGCACATTGTTTTCCAGCTCATCCAAATTGTCCAAAATTAATCGACTCAAGTTTGCGAATGGTTTGGAAAAAACAATGGTCGACGCCTGCAGGTTAGAGAATTTAGCATTAGAGGAGCGAATAAAAGAAAAAACCAGTTGTTTCTTCTCTCTTCCTCCTAATTTCATCTCTGAAACAGTATTGTTACAGTTTAAAAGTGTCACCAGAGTCATGCAATCACTTGGGGCAAATATTCGAGTCAATGATAGGCCATTTTCTGTATGTTGAGTAGCGAGGGGTAAAATGTGGTATATTAGAGCTGAAATTGGGTCATATTTACATTCTCGTTCAATTTGATAGTCCGATACTTCAATATTTCGAAGTTTAGGAAAAAGAGGAGCAATTTTCTCCTCCCCAGCAAAGTATTCTCTAATTTCCTCAATGATCAGTTCGCGTTCATTGGCTTGCGCGAGCTGCCTCTGATGGGATCCAGCTGGTCTATAGATTAGAGTTTCAAGATTTGATTTTTGAAACTTGGCAATCACATTTTCACAATGGTCAAATTTGACATGTGGGTGTACTCCTCCACTTCCACTAACTTCATCATATTCAAAATATTTAAGGCTTTCAAACGTTTCAAAGATATCAATCACTGATAACAGCCTTGTGTAAACAGATGGCATATTCCTGATAGAGAGATGTGTGAGATTTTCTCGTAAATGTTTTGGAGCTTCCAATGGAAGTAACTGTGGAAAGGTGTTATTTCCATCAATAAGGGCAAATGAAATATAAATCTTTTCAAGTTTTGAGCACCCTATAATCAGAGAATTGAGGTCATTCGGTGTCGTTGCAATGAATCCATTCAAATAAATTTCCTTGATATGTACATGTGAAAATCGGTCGCATGGAAATAGCTCCAAGTTATTTAAAAAATTTGGCACGTCTAAGAATTCGGTAATTTTGTCATTCGTGAGCATTCGTTGTGGTCCACATGACAAATAAATTCGCTCAACCAAAGGATTATTTACACGCAGCCCAAGAGATTTGAATAATCGTTTGCTTTTTTCACTGCTGCATAAATGCATAAAACTGACGTTCCAAAAATTGAGCAATCGTACTGCCTCTCCATTATCAATAAATTGAGAATCTTGAATTGAAGACGTCAAACTTGCCAAAATTATTTCAAAAAGGTGAGGTCCAATTTTTTCCAACCAGCTCAAATCATCACTCGATATTCGCGACGCTGTAGTGGTCGTGTTCTCTACTGCTACATTATTTACACGTATCATGTATGGAAAATTCAATGTATCACTCCGTCGATTTTGAGGCTCACTATTTAAGTACTTGTTTACAAATCGTTCATTACTAATCAAATATCGCCCGAGGAGAGCACAAAACTTCTTATTTAAAAAAGCAAAACGTATTACATGTTTCAGTTCAATCATTTCAAATATGTCAAAAAGTATTTCCACTGGCAATTCCGAGAGAATGCCCAATTGTTGTTGATGTAGATGAGATACAGACTCTTTCGTCATAATTTCCTCCGTTTCATCATGGCAAGCATGACCATTGCCACCATTTGTAATAACCGATTTTTGTTGATCTTTTCTTGTTGGGGTACCATTACCATTTTGTATGATGCAATGATTACTTGTTGATGATCGGATGTTGGATGTTATTTTCGTGTTGGAATGATTGTTGTTGTGGTTGTTAGAACTAGTTCCCGATGAAGAAAGAAGGGACGGCGGTTGCTGATGAGCCATTTTTTAATTATTATTACTTTTTGATCATCATGGTTTAAAAAGCTCTTTATGGCAGTATGCATTCGCTCCTTTTTGTGCTGCTGAGCGGAAATTCAAGGAATGCAGGAGGACCATTAAAACAAAATCAAAAAAAAATAATTGAATTTTTAACTTTGAAACTGCTACAATCGGAATTGAATACTAGTATTTCGCAAATACCACCAACATGTTGAAATATTTACAGAGAAGTGGAATGAAATATGGATTTCAAAACAACAAGGGAGTTTTTTCATCAGGAATTCATTTCAAATCTTTAGTGTCATCTTCAACAACTGCAAATCATGCTGACATTAGTATTACTCATAGGGAGAAATTTCTCTTCTCGTTATTCACTTCTAATACTTGTACAACAACATCATTCCGGCAATTCTCTCAATCATTTCCAAGAATTTCATTGGACAACCAAAAGATGATGACATTTGAGACTCAGGAACACCAAACTAAATTCAATACGGAAGACCAATCATCCAACTCGAATGAAGAAACCAAGAAAAAAGGCTTCTCCTTTCTCAAATTTCTCAAAAAGCTCATCAAATACATGACCCTTTCAGTTGCCTCGGTCATGGGTCTACTGGCAGTGTGTTTACCTCCTGGGTTGATGGTGGATTTCAAAGAGGAGCTCGAAAAAGGAGGTTATCGAGCAGTACTTGCTGCTCTTTTGGATGCGTACAAAGACACTTGGAATATTCTCACAAGATTTACGCAATCATGCTACTCCATTGTACAAGTCATGACCATTTATCGAAACCTTAATAAGGATTTTGAGCCAAAATTTGAAAACATCTCCAAGAGCAAGAGCGGTGACGATGCATCCAACTCATCTGAAGAAGAGCTGCAAGTATTGCGTGATTATGTGAAAGCCCGAAGAGAAGCCAATGCGAAGGCGGCAGAAATTTTACTCGATCTCTGTTTAAAGAATGGAGGCGCCTATGTGAAAGCAGGCCAATACATTGCATCTCTCAATTATATTATGCCAAAAGAGATTACGGACATTTTGTCAGTACTACAAGACAAGTGTCAACAACATGATTTTTCAGTGACAGAGACAATTCTTTTGGAAGACTTGGATCGAGATTATCGAGAAGTTTTTTCCTCCTTTGACACGACACCTATTGCCAGCGCCAGCATTGCACAAGTACACAAAGCCACTTTGAGAGATGGAAATCAAACGGTGGCTGTAAAAATTCAACATCCCAATTTGATGCGTATATTTAAGGCTGATTTGAAAACGATGCAATTTTTACTCTTTTCAACTAAATTATTTTTCGATTTTCCGTTCGCATGGACGTTGCCAGAGTTTGAGAGAATTTTATTGAGCGAATTAGATTTTGTGAATGAAGCTGCTAATTGTTCGCACTTTTCACAAATGTTCAAAGATTATCCTGATCATCAAATTGATGCACCACGTGTTCATTGGAATTTAACAAGCAAACGAATATTAACTATGGATTTTATTGAAGGATGCAAAATCAATGACTTACAAGCTTTGGAAAGAATGAATATTGATCCAAAAGATGTAGCCAAATTATTGGTGGACAGCTACTCTATTCAGACATTTATTCATGGCTTTGTTCATAGGTATGTGTTACTATGATTTAAAACATGATGTGACATACACCATGTCATGCACCTGTTTGTTTCATTTATCACAATTATTTTCTAAACATTTTCTAAACACATCATGTTAGTGATATACATGTTGGAAATTTACTAGTGAGGCGCTCAGACAAGAACAAACCTCAACTCATATATTTGGATCATGGTTGCTACAAAAAACTAGATGAAGAAACTAGGAAAGATTATTGTCAGTTATGGAAGGCTGCAATTTTTAGAGATCATGATAATTTGAAACTTTACACTGAAAAATTTGGAATTGAAGGAAGATTTTACCCACTCTTTGGATTGTTCTTAACATTTTCAAATTATATGGATAAGTAAGTGTCACTTTCAACAAGTAGTGTCACACATTCTCATTATTTTCAACACTAAATTTAACCTTACTCTGTATTGTGGATTTTATGACAATAGAAGCTCAAGCTCCATGGTTGACCAACGAAAGAACATGACCAGTGAAGAAGCAAAGAAAATGTTCAAACAAATTCGAGAGACCTTTTTCCCTAAAAGCACTCACAAGGCTCAAGATTTATTCAACATCATTGAAGAAATGTTCAAGAACATGAAATTGGACCTTATTTTACTCATGAGAGCCAATGTTCAATTAAGATCCATCACTCGAGAATTGGGTAGGCCCATCAATCGATTCGCAGTCATGGCAGAATATTGTTTAAAGGGAATTCACTACGAGAGACACAATTATGACATGACATGCATTCCACACCGAGAAGCCGATCAAAGACAAGTACAAGTCACTCACATTCGACCAACATCCTTCTTCCACCAACTCACTGTAGAATTGTTCAAATTCAAGCTGAGCTTGTTTGTGTTAGATTTAGCCTTTGTATTTTTCAACTTGTCCATGAGTATTTTGAGATATTTCAATCCTTCCAAATATGAGGAAGCACAAGACGATCGAGAGACTTCACATGCGAAAAGAAGATTGGAACGAATGAAACAAAAGAAGGCAATGGACGAAGATGTGGCATCTTCGAAAGAGGACATTGAAGATTTATCTGCTCAAAAGTAAGATCGTGCTCCCATTCTCTCAGAAGACAACAATCTCTTTCGAAAGCCTTACTTTTTGGACAGCCTTCTCCAATCAATTTGTTCGCAAAAAGAGAGATCTCGGGTGCAAAAATGGTGAATAATTGTTTCGTCATGTTCTGATTGGGTAACGGCTTCTTTTCTACATACAAAAAAAAATATCAAAAACACAACAACACTAGAAATGAATTCTCAAAACTGTGGATGCTGTAACGGTGGTGCTTGCAATTGTGGTAGCAACTGCTCATGCAAGGGATGCGGACAAGAAAAGGTCGAAGAAAAGAAGTCTTGCTGCTCTGGTGGATCATGCCAAAGAAAGTAAATTCATTCCGAAGGTTGTATAGAAGTTGATCCTACCAATGCTTCAACTCACTAAATAAATTAACGCGATCATCGTGTTTGAATTGTAAAATGAGCACAATGATTTGAAATTGTATTTGGTCGTTGATTGTGGTGAGCAATTGATGACAACCTCGAGAGACGATACCTTCCAATTACAACACATCCGTTTACATCCAAACGACAAATGTATTGGTCTTTACAAACGAGAACCAGATTCCAATTTTTGGTCACCCACTTTTTTAATGCACAAATCTAAATAGTTAAGGCATGTAGGATTCAATTTTCATGACTATCTGAGATGTGTAAAAAGAGCTCTTCTCATGATTCAAAAAAAAACAACAAAACCATCCATAATCTCAGCAACCTGTGTTCCACCCAAACATGTCTCACTCCAAGAGCGTGATGTTGGCTTTACTCGCCTCGATCCTCCTATCTTTTTTAATGACGAACACATCATTCCTTGTTCATGCAACCTCAAGTGAATGTGGACCAGGACCATGTGTATATCCTGGTTCAGTGTCGGTGCTTCATCATCATGGAAGACACACAATCCAAGAAGAGGAATCACTTCTCAGTGCTGAATCTCATGAACATTCATTGACCACTACTACCACTTCTGAAACTGCAGCAGTGAGAAGTTCTTTATCCAAACAAGCCAATGACTACATTTCATTGAGTGCCAATAAGAGTTGTAGTTCCACGGGACCTACCAATTTAAAGTTAGTGAATCGTCAAGGTTTTAAAGGAAAGGATAAGACCTCGTGTGTGGCCTGTCGTTTGGATTGTTTGGGAACAGGAAGTGTGTTCTCCAAATGTAAAAGTAGATACTTCTATTATGGATGCCGTAAAAAGAATCCATGTTATGATCCTTTGACTGCAACAAGAACAGTGATTGAGACAGCTATTGGAATTTGTATTGATAAGAATGGATGCATATTGAAACCAACAGGAATTAAGAAAGGAAAAGCATTGTTAAACAAAGTCATCAAGAAGATAAGAAAGGCAGCTGACCTTGATGAAGACAATGATGCATAAGTTAAGAATGTTGAATTCCAAGTTTATGAATAAACAAAGAACCAATAAGCTTACAACTAAATAATTATTATATTTTGAAATACCTGTGAGCGTCGATGGTTTAGTGGTAGAATACGGCGTTGCCATCGCCGTGACCCGGGTTCAATTCCCGGTCGACGCAAATTGTTTTTAAAGTTTTCTGTTTTGGCAAAGTGAATTCTTTGATCCGCTTTCCAATTTTTGAATTGTAAGCTGGTTTGAGAAATGTAATTTGTATCTAGCACAACTCCAGATCTCAATGCATCCTCCGTACTTGCCGTTTTAGCTTTGGTCAATCTCACAATAACTATAATTAAAATACCACTATTCACAAGTTCGTTGTTAATTTCAGAAATAATGTGTGTAAAATCTCTTTGACTCATTAATAGTCAAAGTTGAACGACCTCCAACATTTCCTCTTTTCGTTTCTGCAACTGATAACAGAGAATGAAAGATCGTATTGTGGCTTTATTTGTGCAATATTGCAATGTCCTTAAACATTTCATGTTCCAGCAATTGCTTTTTCAAATATGGAAATGCATTCTCTGGCTTGTCATAGTCTAATTTGATTTTGTACAAAATATCAAGGTTTGGAATATACACTGCACATCTCTCGTTTCGTCTGTTTCGATATGTGCAAAGGAACGGAGGGAAAAATGCATGGTGCTCCAATTGGATCGGTAATGGATTATGAGACAGAAAAGTTGACTTTTTTGTTTGTGTGTCATATTCGAAAAACAAATGGCCATGGTTTCCAAGTAGTGTAATCAATACTTGTGCTCCTGATGTCGAGGACGTTTTCTGTTCGAAAGGATATGCGCAAGCAGAATGATGTTGATTATACATCTGCATACCTTCACTAATGTCAGTGGTTGAGTTGGTGTTCGTTGTTAAGTCAACACTAATTACTCGTGCCTCTTCTTTGAATTTTGTACAACTGCTCGAAGATCCCACGACCAGTATTTGGTGTTGTGTTGGTAATGGAACGATCATTCTTGAGGCTACAGTAGCAACAGTTTTGGCTTCTGCTATTGCTGGCAAAGTGATCAAATAATTCTCATTGTTGGTACTAAACAGCTCTTCCAAGTCAACAATTAAGACTGACATGAAAGAGCGTGTAACTACTAAACCTTTGCTTCCATCTTCATCATATTTTGTCAATAATACATCCCAACAATAACTTAAATTTGGATAACAAAAGCGTTTCTTAATCCAAGTACGATTTTTTAAGCATAAAAAGTAAAATTTAAAATATTGACTTCCACTTTGGAAAACAATTAATTTTTGGAGCTTTTTCGAATAGATCATGCTCCCATTTTGAATTTGTAACATATTATTTTTGAAATACTCTCCATATGGATTTGCCACAGTTTCTAATTCCTTCCACTCATGTTCTACTTGATAATTGTCATTTTCTGAATCTACTCTTGTTTTGGGAGGATCCAATTCCAAGTAATAGATCGTCTTATCCCTAACATGCGGACCTCCAAAACTAATCAACGTTGGACATTTCGTGAATTCATTACTTTCATCCATATATGTAATGATTGTAAAATTTCGGTTCAAATTGTAATGTAAATAGGGTTGTATTTGCAATCGTTTCTTGATGAGAGGGTGTTTTGAAATTTTTCTCTCATCAAATTCCCGAATACTTGTATCCAATTTAAATTTCTTGTTCCGAGCATTCCAGTTGATGTTAGTGAGAGAGCTCAATGGAGGTGGAGGAGGAATGATTCCGGTTTCTTGAAAGGAGGTCGAGTTCACTATGGAAGGTGGTTGACTCATTTTTTTCTGTTATTTGTATTTTTTAGAGTTCCAAGTTCTATACAAGATCCATGTACGTAAGGTTGAGAAGAATTTTACACCTGAATTGATCCTTAGTGCACTGTAATTCATGCTTATGGATTTGATTTTCATGCATGTTGATGGTATTGTGGCGGACATGGAACCATGTTGGTCAAAATTCACGCAGAAAGAATTTTTCAGAATTTACAGAAAACTTTTTGGCTGAGATTTTCTGTAAATTCTTGATGGCGCTTCAGAAATCTGTTGAAACTTTTGTATGAAAATGCCGAAGAAAGGACTGACTTGGCAGGATTATACCCTTCGATGTCGCACTAATCAAGAGACAGCTAAAACTATGTCTACGCATCAGAAGCACAAGAATTTAATTATGATTTTCTCGATATTATAACGCTAAAATTGATGATCGTGTCTGTAACAAAATAGGTGCTAGAGTTGACAGGGATTTCAACCAAACAGAACCCAACGAGGGGAGTGTTGAAGTGCCCATCCTTGTCATCCTCGGTCCCTACATCTTAATCTCCAACAATCATTGTTGGTTATAGTTATTTGCTTGTTTTTTTGTTGTCTCAATTATCGTCTTGCTAGATTGGCAGTGGTATAATTGACCAGGTGTCTGTGTTTGGGGCTTTTGACAATGAGCTACTCTGGTAAGCAGCTGGTGGCATGAATGATTGAGGGTTTAATACTGGAGTAAGACTTGAAGTCAAGCTAAGGGCTTCCATGTGGACTGGCCGTTAAAAACCATGAAGAGAGTACATCATTTGCTTTTTGAGCAAGTTGGATTTGATGTTGCCTTTTGAGAATAACTTTGCGAACTTGGATCCAGATTGTCTTGCCCCATTTTTTCATTAAGGGTTTCAGGAATTTTTCCTGAGAATGTTTTAAAATTCCTGAAAATTCTAGCGGGAGAAGTGTCGGGGAAAAGCTGGGAATTTTCAAGAATTTTACTCTGAAAATGACCTACATGGTTCCATGTCCGCCACAATACTTCATTGGTGTAAAATTCTTATGACATTTTGAATGCTGGATTGATTTTTAACAGTGCATCGATTGAGATTGGTACCGTTATTTCACTTCAAGCTGGTCCACCTGATTTTAACCAATTTTCATGTATTGATTGTTAACGCTGCTTCGATCATAAATGTTTTCTCTTATTGATTAGAGAGCGAGAAGGTACGACTAGGCACCTCCTCACGTACCAAAAATTCTGAAGGAAGGCAGCGACGCTGGGTCACTGACTACGCTTGGGACAGCTCACAGAGTGCAAGGTGAGCGTCGACCAAGTGGGAAAAGGGAATTCATGATCTCCCACTCCCCTTCAAGGTAAGTATGAAAAAGCAAGAGAATGTGACCGGAGAGTGTTGATGAAGCTCGAAAGTTTGGAAAAAAATAATACGAATATTATGGGACGATTGTGGTTGGTATTCGTTGAAGAAGTAGCTTGTTTTGAAAGGGATAAGAGAACTGAGTGTTTTATGCTTCCATCAAGAAGAATCATAAAATAAGAATGAAACAGGTCCACACTGGAAAGAAATGATGAAGAGGTTCAAATTGAATTTTCACTGTTCGTTTGGTAGAGAGAACAAGTTTTGTAAAAAGCACGAATGAACTCGAGTGGAAAAAATTATTTTTAAAAAAATCAGCAACAAACTCCATCATCTTTGATACCACACGTCGACCATTCTTTGCTGAAACCATGTCCAGTTTTGATGTGAACGCAATTATCGAGAAGGCCGAGTCCAAGGATAAGGATCTTCGTCATATGGCTCTCTACGATTTGAGCAATGAATTACAAAAGGAAAACTTAAAGTTGGACGAAACTAGTCAAAGACAATTGGCTGATATTGTTTTGAGATTGTTGGACGATAAATCAAGTGAAGTTCAAGGTGTTGCTGTCAAATGGTAAGTTAGAGTTTTTTGATCATCATCATCCCAATTCAAAATTTTACCCATGATCATTCAATATTTCATCATCATCAATTAATCTCCCATTTTTGATCTCGGTGATGCCATCATCATGTCTTACAAAATGATGCTATGTGAATCAACAAAATCTTTGGTTTTACTCTTTTTTTGATCGGGCATGTTTTTTAATGATCATCATCATCATTTCGCACCTACGCAATATTATGAACATTGCACAGTCTTCCACCGCTCGTAAACAAGATGAGCAAGGTCCAAATTGAAAACAGTATCACATCTCTCAGCTCAAACATCCTCAAGGGTGAAGATGAAAAGAGAGACATTGCAGCCATTGCTCTCAAGACTGTCATTTCTGAAATTCCAATCGAGAATGCCCTCTCACCAATCAAGAAGTGTGTCAATCCACTCCTCCAAGGTCTTGCCAGCGACAACCCAGAAATTAAACTTGTTGCTCTCGATGTCTTGTCCGATTTGTTGGGACGTTTCGGTACAATGGTTGTGGAGGAACATGAAAAATTGCAAACAGCCTTCGTTGAAGAATTGAAGTCATCAAGAGTATCCGTTCGAAAGAGAGCCATTGCTTGTCTTGCTGCTCTCTCTGTGAACACCAATGACAAATTATTCGATACATTGCTGACTGGTATTGTGAATGGTATTGATTCATTGATCAAGACAATGAAGAAGCAAAAGGATAATAAGAAGGTTGAAGAACTCTCGACATATATTCAATCTTGCAGTGCAATTTCCAAGACTGCTGGACACAGATTTGGCAAATACTTGTCAAGAATTATTCCATTGTTCATGGATGCTGCTGAAATTATTGCCGGATCTCTCGACGAGGAAGACGAAGAAATGATGGACACCAACACTGAAGTCAATGATGAAGTTCGTGAATACATTACTCAAGCATTTGAAGCCTTCGTTACAAGATGCCCAGATGAAGTCACCAAATACATTGACTATGTAATTATCATTTGTAAGGAATATTTGGAATATGATCCAAACTACTCGTATGACGACAGTGAAGATGAAGCTGAAGCCTCTGATGCCATGGTAGATGAAGGTGAAGAAGATGAAGGTGGTTTGGGCGACGATCTCGATGAAGGAGGATTGTCTGAAGATGACGATGTCACTTGGAAAGTTCGTCGTTCTGCTGCCAAGTGTTTGGGTTCACTTATCAGATCCAGACCAGAATTGTTGGCTGCATTCTACACTGAATTGTGCTCTGATGAAGACATTTCATTGATTCGTCGTTTCAAGGAAAGAGAAGAACCAGTGAAACTCGATATTTTCAATGTTTTCATCGATTTGTTGCATCAATCATATTCCACAAAGACCTCTCCATCAGGCGAAGTTACCTACAAACAACATGATGAAGTTGCTTTTGTTGAAACAACCAAAGATGCCATCATGAAACGTATCAAGAAGCAATTGAAGGAAAAGTCTGAAAAGACCAAGATTGGTGTTTTCCAAATTTTGAAAGCTCTCACCATCACTTTACAAGGTGGTTTATCAAAGTATATCAAGGATCTTGTTCCACCAATTTGTGCTGCTTTGAATGAAAAGGGAGAACAATCTTCATTGAAATTGGAGACTTTGTCATTCCTCAAGACATTTATTCAATTCCACAAACCAGAGGAATTTAAACCACATTTGGAGACATTGATGAAGTCTGTTTTTACTTGTGTCAATGACAAGTATTACAAGATTATCACTCAAGCTTTGAGAGTTTGTGGTGAATTGGTTTTGGTCATCAAGACTTGCGTCAATGAATCAAACTTTGCTAATCTAGTCAAACAATTGCAAAGCAATGTTTTTGACAAGTTGAAGATTCAAGACATTGATCAAGGTGTTAAAGAAAGTGCCATTACAACAACTGGTTTGATTGTTTCACACTTGTCTGACAAGTTACCAAACTTGAATGATACTCTTACAGTTTTGAAGGAAAGATTGCAAAACGAAATTACTCGTCTCACTGCTGTTAGAACTTTTACTGTCATTGCTCAACACAATGTTGACATTTCACATGTTTTGGTTGAGACTGTGAATTTGTTGTCTGACTTTTTAAGAAAGGATAACCGTGCTCTCAGACAAGCTGCTTTGGCTGCTTTGAGTCAATTCTCTGTTTCCTACAAGAGCAAGATTGATACCAAGTTGTTCACTGTTGTCATTAATGAAGCTGCTGAAGTCATGAATGAAAAGAAGTCAGACTTGCATTTGGCTCACTTGGCCTTCAAGTTGGTTAAACAAATTGTTGATGCTAACCCAGACACTTTATCTTTGGTTCAAAAGGCTGTCTTACCAAAGATTTTGGATTTATTGGCAAGCCCAACCTTGCAAGGAAACTGTTTGGACTCTTTGTTGGTTGTTTTAGCCTTGTTGGTTCCTTCCGTCGGTTTTGATAACATTTTGAAGCAAGTTTTGAGCATTCCAAAGGAATCCAAGCAAGTCTTTACAAATATTGGTAAAGCCGTTGCTGCTATTTGTAGCGCTGGTTCTCAAAAGGACAAGACTGCAACCATTGAAAAGTTTGCCAAGGATTTAAAGTCAAAGGATGACTCGGCAAGAATGTTGGCCTTGTTCACTTTGGGTGAAATTGGTCGTACTATTGACTTGTCTTCACACGGTACTGTCAGTCAGGATATTGAAGCATGTTTCGAAGAGGAAGGTTCAGAAGAATTGAAGAATGCTGCTTCGTATGCCCTTGGTAACGTTTCAGTTGGTAACTTGGCTAAATTCTTGCCACAAATCATTAAGGGTATCAGGGAAAGTCCAAAGAAGAAGTACCTCCTCATCCACTCTCTCAAGGAAGTTATTACTCAATCGGAGGCATCTAAGCTCAAACCATTCATTTCTGAAATTACTCCACTATTGTTTGACAACTCACAAGAAGAGGAAGAAGGTGTTAGAAATGTTGTCTCTGAATGTTTGGGTAAACTTGCCATCAACGATTATGACAATGTTGTTTCTCAACTCAAGGAAAAGTTGTCCCTCTCTGATGCCACTAGATCAACTGTTATTGGTGCCATCAAGTATGCAGTTACTGACGAGCCATCTCCAATTGATAGCAAGTTAACTGAAGATCTTCCAGTCTTTTTGTCACAATTGAACAAGAACCAACCTGTAAGCGTTAGACGTGCTGTTGTCTTGTTGTTAAACAGCGTGGCTCACAACAAGCCAGAAATTGTGGGTGATGCTTTGGAAAAGGTTCTTCCTTCCTTGTATGCTGAATGTGTTTTCGATCCAAACTTAGTCCGTGTAATTCACTTGGGTCCTTTCACTCACAAGATCGATGATGGTTTGGATTTGCGTAAGTCTGCATTCGAATGCATGGACACCATTTTGGACAATTACAGATCAAGAATTGATCCAAACAAGTTCATTGCTCAATTACCTGCTGGTTTGGATGATGAGAATGACGATATTAAGATGTTGACTCACTTGATTGTACAAAAATGTTGTGCTCAATTCCCAAGATCCTTGTTGACTTCTGCCGATCAACTCGTTGTTCCTTTCACAAATACCTTGAAGAAGAAGCTCAAGGACAACGCATTGGCTCAAGAAAAGGAAAGACATGAGGAGTTGTTGAGAAGCTCATTGAAGGCCGTTCATGCTATCAGATCCATTCCTGGTATTGAAGACAGTGCTCAATTCACTGACATGTTTAACAAGCAAATTGTTGCTAATCAAAAGTTAAAACAAACCTATGACGAAATTGCTGAAGCTCATGACGAGTTTGAATTTTAACTTTAACCTTGCAATATCTCAATAAAATAAATTAATTTTGTATAATTTTCGAAACTACAGGGAGGCTTAATTCCAAAACACCTTCATCACTAATATTCCTGCTGATCCATTTTGAAACATTATGGGGTTGAATAGAGTTCTTGAATTGAGAACAAAGCCATGAGTAATTGCAAGAGTTGATTTTTTTCCGGCAAAAACATTTTGCAAAATTTAACTTCTTTGTGTCTGACAGTGAACATTTATTACAGTCACATTCTTGAAATATTCACTGCTCGCAATATATTTAACACCTTCATTGCCAATTTGATTTCCGCACAGATTCAAAGAAGTCAAATTCTTAAAGCACTCAATTGTAGCAATATATTTGGCGCCTTCACTGTCAATGTGATTTCCACTCAGATTCAAAGAAGTCACATTCTTCAAGCCCTCACTTATAGCAATGTATTGAATACCTTCATTGCCAATTCTGTTGGAGCTCAGATTCAAAGAAGTCAAATTTTTCAACCATTCACTTTCAGCAATATATTTAACACCTTCATTGCCCATTTCATTGTAATACAGATCCAAAGAAGTCAAATTTTTCAACCACTCACTTGTAGCAATATATTTAACACCTTCACTGTCAATACTATTTCCACTCAGATTCAAATAAATCAAATTCTTCAAATAGTTACTTGTGGCAATATATTTAACACATTCACTGCTAGTTGTTTTGATATACAGACCCCTTAAGTAAGTCAGTTTCAAAGAAGTCAAATTTTTCAAACATTCACAATTAAAAGTTTGATTGATTTACCATCTTGTTTGAAGTGATTTTGTTTGAATGATAATGAGAGAGGAATTTGAAATGATACTAGTCTCCATTGTTTTGAAATTTTCATACAAATTCGAATAATAAACATGGAATCAAGGAATTGAAGAATTTCAAAAATAATATCATCAACGAAAGGTCCATTGATTTCGGTTGAACTTGTCCGAGAGAAATTATCTTTTTCATCATGATCAGTATTGATGATGAATTGCTGCTTCATTTCCAACAATTGAGAGTTTTTTCAACGGCACAAGTATTTTCAAAGGAGGAGCTAGGTCCACAAGATATTTTTTTTTGTTGTAATTTTTCTCACTATTCACACAAATTTGGAACCAACAGTAATAAGTGTCACTTATTACCATTCAGAGATATGTGAATTCATCTAAACCAAATTCATACCGATATTTGACCATTCATAGAGGCGTAAGGCAATGGTTGACGCAGGCAGGATTAAGTTCTCCACTTGTTGAACAGTCAAGAGGTGACAGCTGTCTTGAAGCTCTTTGTTTGACACTCATGACAGAAAAGAGACGAACAATGTGCGTGTTGGCACATTCATAATGGTTAAAAAAAGACACGGACCATGATTGTATGGAATGGGGCAATTGAATGGATCCATTCAAATAAATTCCCAATTCAGTAAATGTCAAAGATGTCACTGTGAAAATTGTTTTGCACATCATTGGTAAGGTCATTGATAAGGAAGCGTCATTCTTGTCGTCGTTCCCAAAGGCATACGAGAGGTACCAAGAACAACCACGAATGAGGACAACGGCATGATTGAATGGTATGATCACTTTTTGCTCAATGACACTAAATACGAGAGTGAAATTCATAAAGAAAATTTGTCGAAGAAAAATCAGGTGTTGAACCATCAATGAAGAAAAGAGTTCAAACAAGAAGAAATGACCAAGAAGAGGGATGAACATTGTGCACGTTGATAATGTATAGGATGGATGATTCATATACTTCTGAAAATTGCCAACTTGCGGATGTTCATAGATGACATACGTGGACTGTCAACACCATTTTGTTGTAAGTCGTCAAAGAATCAAGTCAACCAAGATACCCTCGTGCACGAAGGGCAGTTGCGGTGCGACGAAGCGAGTCACCCAACCTCAACCAAATTTCAGAGAGCAACGGAAGAAGCAAAAAAAACGAAGACGTCACCTGCCATCTTCAAGATTGCACCAATTTTTTATCAAATTCAATAGCTTTGTGCACTTGTTCATTTTCACACACATTACAAAGCTTGCCGCAACGACGAGCCAATTGCTTGAGAGCAACAACAACAACAACTCCAATATATTCGGTGTGTGTTTGGACCAATCACACAACAACAACCCATTATTATTTACCTGTCGGTTTTACCCAGTGTTAAGATTTTAAAAACTTTTCACGGAGGAAAAACGAGGAATATCATCTTTGAGTATTCTAGAGAATAATAACATTATTATTCACACATACGAACAACACAACACACGTGGTATTTGTAATCACTTTTTGGCATGTTGAGCACACTCATTCGAAACAGCAGCAATAACAACAACAACCAAACTCATTCCCTTCTTGCATCATCAACTCCCTCTCAGAACACCAACAATAACGAGAACACACCTCTCGCCAATAACTCCTCTCGAATCATCACGTCATCTTCATCCTCTTCTACTACCGGCCCTAACCACTCATCCATCAATAATAATAACATGACCCACCCACCCACCACCCCATCATCGTCGTCATCCCATCTTGGAGGCCATACCTCCAACACTGCTGCCATTCTCATTCCTCAGCAGCCAAGCTCCATGCAGCATGCCAATAGTCCCTCCCTTTCCTTGCTTTCATCCACTCTAGGAGGTGGTAGTGAATTGATGATGACTACGAATTCTTCAACAACACCTCCTCCATCACTCTCACAACTCTTGAATCATCATCATCATGGACTAAGCACCATGTCCAATTCACCTCATCACATGCATCCCATGAATCATCATCCTCATCCACCTACCTACGTCTCTCTCATGCATCATCCCACTCTAGGAAGAGTCGGTGGAGGTGGTCAAGGCGGTATGATGGTCGTTGGTGGCTCTCCAAGTGCTTCACCTCTTCTGGGCAGTGCACTTGGTTCTTCTGAGAGATTACTTTCAGAAAGCTCATCCTCTCAACAGAGTAATAGTAGCATGAATAATAATAACCAGAGTCTTTCCTTACTCTCATCCTTAGGTGTCGTGTCCAGCAATGCCAACAGTAATAATAATGGCAGCAATAATGGCAACACTCTTTCGAACACTTCCTATTTGATGAATAATCAGTATATGAACACTCCTACTGGAGTTGTTGTCAATAACGGAAACCACACAATTCAGATTGGCAGTGCTAACGGTAATAATACTATGAGTACTCATGCTTCTGCAATTAATTCCAATCACCACGAAAGGGAATATCAACAATTGCTTTTCGAGAGACAATCCCTAACTCCATTCCAACCCATTGTTCCTCTCACTCTCAAGTTATTGGACGAGCGTATTCAGCAAGTTCAACAACAGCTTCAACAAGCTTCTACTTCCACAACTACCACCAACAATTCTTCTTCTAACACAAGCTCTCAATCATCCTTGTTGAACTCAACTGCAAGTAACATTATGGGTCCACCTTCCTCAACACCAGGTGGTAGTAAGAAGAAGTTGAGCTCTCTCATCATTCATCAACCTCCAGTGTTGTACAACACAAGCAACAACAACAACAACATTACCTCAACATCATCCACCACTTCATCATCTAATGGTCTCAATCTTACAAGCCCAACTCTTAGCACTTCTAGCTCTTCCACCACTCCTGGTGTTATGAGCACAACTTCTTCCTCAACTGCACCACCTGAATCAGGCAGTATGCTTCTTTCCAATATGATGTCTATGAATGGCTCTACCACTCCAACTCTACTCTCTACAGGAGATTCATCAAGTCATGGTGGCGACTTTTCGTTTTTCGGTAATAACAAGACATCTTCCAACTCGACACAATCTCCTCCTCTTGGAATTATTGGAAGCAATGCGAATACCACTTCAAAGAAGCCAGCAGTGGTCAGTGCTACAAATTCTTCTTCTACTTCTACTAGTACCGCCACCACAACCACAACCACCACAGGTTCTCAGCCCACCCAACAACCACCACCCACCAAAGTCATTGCCTCAAATGACACCATTGCTAATACTTCTCCAAATCCAGGTCAATCATCAAGTAGTAATGCAAGTACTCCATCTCCGACCAGCTCTACTTGCTCTGACAACAACATGCCCAATGAAGAGTTTACCTTCATTCGCTATGACAATGTGGACATCAAACAAAAGATTGTAAACCCATACACAGTCTTGTTATTCATTCCTCAAGCAGAATTTCCAGATTATAACTTTATCGGACGAATCTTGGGTCCAAAAGGAAGTTATCTTGATAGTATTCGAAAGAACTCGAATTGTTTCATTCGAATTCGAGGAAAGGGCTTGAATTTGCAAAATACCAACCAGGGTGCTGGTGGCACTACTTCAACCACTCCAACCACATCAACCAACAGCTCTCAATCAAGCTCATCCGGTACTGACGCCAATGATATTTATGCCTCCTATCCTCTCCATGTCTTTATTGAAGGAAAGGGTCAATCCACCAGTAAGAGAAAGAATCTTCAAAAAGGCATTCAGCTCATGCTTCCTCTCTTGGTACCCACTGAATATGAGAAAGATGTTCTCAAACGATGGCAACTTCAACAATGGAGAAGTGAGAAGAATTCTTCATCAGGAGGAGATAAAGCCTCCATGATGCCTCCTCTTCCTCTTCCCAATTCCATTCCTTCCGATTATCCACAACTTTATGGCACTAGTAGTGGTAGCACTGGCAATTCAAGCCTTCTCTCTTCATCTCCATATTCCAATCAAGCCTCCATGGAATCTGCTTGTGAGGACGAAGATGATGATTTTGAAATGGATCCCTCTCTCATGAGTCCATCCAACGCTTCTTTTCTAAGCAGATATCATCCCTATAATAGAACTCATGTTTAACTATTTTTCTCTCAACTCAATTTTTGAATATAAGCCTTAACACCACACAAGTATCCTCGCAGCAGTATGCATACTGTCATCTAATTTTTTGTAACACAATCATGCAATCAAAAGAGGTCATATTTCCATATACTTGAACAATTTTGCAACGAATATATTTTACCAATCCACTCCCTTCCATCATGATTTTCATTACTAAGTTATTGTATTTGAATTTTATAAAATTAAAAAACTTTTTTTAAAAACATTTTCTAAAAAATGTCGGAAGAAGAAATGAGCAAGGATTGGCTGTTCTCAGATCAAGAACAAGATCTGGAAGAATGTGAGAAGAATAACACCACTATAGAAACTCCATTTGATCCAATCTATTCCTTGTATTATTGTGGAAATGAACCCTGTGCATTAACAACGAGCGATGATCTCGACAATCGGTTCGGAGTGATCACTTTCAGACCTTCGGAAATGATTAAAGAAGCGTCTGCACGAATATTGGATCTCTCATGGTATTCAGGATTGGAATCCAATCAACCATTACTAATATCTAAAATCGTTTGTGGAGGTTGTGATGATCTGAGTTATTCACTACTCATGCTGAGTGGGGACAATCAACATTTTCATCACCAAATTTTCTGAACAAGTCTTGACAAGATATAAATTCAAGGATTTAATTTGTCCTGAATCAGAAAAAAGCAAATACCCATTAGGGTATCATTTTGAAGTGAAGGATATTATTTGTTCGAGTGCCTTACAAATTATTTTTGAAATGTCTGACCTGTCATTGTGGATGTTACATGTGAGCTCTATGAAGTTAGAAAAATTTGAAGTAACTTTTCGACACCAAATCGAAGCTATTGGAGCAGGAGTCATGTCACAAAATATAGTCGTGGTTCCTTCTTCATCAAAATCAAATTCAACCAGGCAAGCTTTGATCATTGGAGACCAAAAATCGGTGGATTCAATTAACCTGACGCACACCAATTCACCAGTTAAGCTTGTTTCTCAGTATGCTTTTGAGTTGATCATATTTGTGCATCAGGACAACAAAATTTATATTTATTACTGTGGATCTGATTATAACTATGACACTGATGGATGTGGTTTTATTGTACCTGCTTCTAATACGATGATTTATGTGAAAACTCAACTCGAAGATATGTGTCCTATTTCTCAAATTGCATGTGGATACTCGCATGTTGTATTATTACTTGAAAATGGAGACTGTTTTTGTAGAGGATTGAATAATTTTAATCAGGTAAGAGCTAGCCTCAATTCGGCGGCCTCAAAATCACATTTATTTAATCATGATCTGTCTGTGTCACATCATTGTCGTTGATAATTTTACAAACATACCTCTCCATAGTGCTTGAAAGATAGTATCAAGAGCGTTGATGAGTTTATTAGATTCAAAGACATTACAGAGCCCGTTCGTTCAATTAGTTGCTGTTCAATATGCTCCATTCTTACTTGTGACAACAAGTTTCATTTCTTTGGTGAGATTTCAAACTTTCCTTCGACAGGTAAGTAAACACCGTTTGTGAACAAAGACCCAAATATCGTTCAATGCACAATTATGCAGGCACCATGGAACGAGCATTTCCAGATCAAGAAGTGGCTGCTGCTGCTTGGCATTGTTTCATTTACAGAAACACATTCCACAAAACAAGTAGGGATCAGCTTTATTTTGTCAATAATATGAAATTGTTTGGACGTAGCAATAGTGAACGGTCACGCTTGTGTGATATTTTCATTATTGACCAAGATTTGTGATGTATAAAATATGCAATCTTTAAGGATGGATTAAAAAAGCAGAAATGACTCGTCACTCAAGTATTTCGTTCTGTGGTTGTCCCATCTACTTTTTCGAGTGAGGAACATTTGTTGAAGTAAACGCTTCAAGCTCTGATCGATATTTTTCTGGTTCTGCAATGAATATTTTGATATGGTCAATATTACCTTCAAAACAACTCAATTTCAAATTTTTTGCATCATTGAAGGAGGACCAGAAACGATGCACTTGTTTGGCAGGTACAATAAAGTCTTGATCAGCATAAATGACTAGGATGGGAGTTTGATTTCCAAAAACGCTTGTGGTTTTTCTTAAACCTGCCAAATAGGTCTCAAAATATGTTTTGAAAAGTCCTGTAAATACGAAATAATACAAGTAAAATAAATAATAAATAATTAATCTCATAATAGTGCCAATAATTCCAATATTTGACTTGTCAGGAATAATTTTTTGAGCTTTCTTATCGTATGAATATCCTGTAGGGTAATTTTGTGATTAGACAATAATATTGACGGCATGATGTCACCATTGTTTACAAACATTCCTAATAACTTACCTGAAAGTACTGCAAGGGCTCCCAAATCTTCAGTATTCACACCAGGAAATGAGTCAGCAATAAGCCCTCTATACTGCTTCTTTACAAACGAATATTCGTTACCCGAGGATGACAATATTTCCATCGTTCTCGAAACAAAAATTCCTCCATTATTTGAAAAAGAATGAATCATAAAACCAGTTTCTGTTTCTTTTTGATCCTTTTCAATCATATTCAATATTGTTTTCACACCTTGTTCTGAATAATATTTCGCAAATAATTCCCACGAGTCAGGAATATAGGCCAAAACGTCATAACCCCATGCATTATAAATTTCTGCATATTTTGACACAAATCTGAATTTACTTCCGTACCAGCCTAAAATAACAACCAACGGGGATGGTAATGAAAGATTACTTTCATCACTATCAATATGATCTCTCGGAAAGAATTGCAACTTGTGTTTGTTTCCAAATTGTTTAACCAATTTCACTAAAGCTGATCTGTGTTCATGAATGTGTTTTGTTTGAGAGACCTCTTTTCCATGAGGATGATGTTGAGAAGATGATGAACTGGTATTGTCAGAGTGTTGTTGTTGAGCCATTTTTTTTTAAATAGTGTTGAAAATTATTGTAAAATAAAATACCTTAAATTCTCCAACACCATGATGAAATATGGTAATTTTCCGATGAAGCTTCTCATCGCGGCTCTGTATGATGATGAACTACAGTTTTTTTTGTTGTTGTTCATCATCAGCATTCTGCAATTAAGTTCTTACTACTCACGTTCTTATGGCGTGTTCAAAACCAATTTTTGATCGTAACTGCTTCTCTTCCTTCCGATCAATAACCATTCACTAATTTCCATTCCGAGTTTCCTTAAAGCAAAATGTATCCTTCTTGAATCCCACACTGTTCATGCTTTCAGATCAAACAGTCGTCATGGTGGTTCTGATCAGCGCCTTGTTACCTTTCACCAAAGCGTTTGCTTCAATGGCTTGAATTTGATCAAAATTTACTGGGGACTCCAGTACAGAAGTGGCATCCATTTCAACTCTACCAAGAACGCTTGTTGTTGTCATGATTGGCAATTCCAGCAGAAAAACATTACCTCCACCACGAGAGAATACTCTTCATTCCGAATTCATTGTCATCATAGAACCCACCATCAAACACTTTTTGTGAAAGCACAGCTCCCAGTCACCTCATCCGTTGAAAAAACAAACACAACAACAACAACAACATCATGTCTGAACATCAAGCAACCAAGCAGTTTGTTCCGCTTGCCACAACTGTGGAAGATCAAGAGAAATTTCAAGCTCTTGTGAAGACTAAAAGTTTCTCAAATTCGGCTCTGGGTGGCACTCTCACTCATACCAATAGTGGTCTCAAGGATTTGGCATCAGATGATTCTGCCAATCCACTTCTGCCCAATCATGTTTTGCCTCCTCCAACACAATTGCCGTTTGCTTCCTCATTGAATAGAGAGTATGAACCAGTTTCAGAGTTATTGAAGAGAAGACGATTCGACGATGATGCCCTTCAACAAATTAAAGACCCTCAAGAACCTGAATTGAAAGGCAGACACAATTTTAAGATTCTGAGAGTTTTTAGTGTGGAATGGTTTTTAATTTTCATTGGTTGTTTGGGGTGTATTGTTTCCGGTGTCATGCCACTTGTATTCTACTTGCTCTTTGGTTACTTTGTTGATGATGCTATCGAATTCGCCAAAAGTGCAATCACAGAACAACGATTGTAAGTATTTGATTCGAGTTAAGTGATCATTTCCTAATGGGCTTTTCATCTCAATGAAATGTGACACTCATTTCACTCACTCCTAACAAAAAACAGGAAGGACAAGATCTTTATTTACACGATGGGATTTGTTGCCATTGGTGTCGCTCAAGGTATTTCACAATTTACCAGCGGATTGATGTTCAGTTGGGCAGGTGACAGAATTGCCATTAGATTGCGAAGAGCCTATTTCAATGCTTTGATTTCCATGGAAATTGGTTTTTTCGATATTAAACCTCTTGGTCAGTTAACAGCTCCTCTCTTTGAGGATGTTTCCAAAATTCAAGATGCCTTCACTTTGAGAATTGGTACCATGATTACACAATTCTCGACAGCCATCTCTGGTGTGATTATTGCAATGGTTACGAACTGGTCAATGACCCTCATTTTGATGAGTTGCTCTCCTGGGTTATGTTAGTGGTTGTGGTTTGTACCAAGCTCATTGAAGTGTTTTCAAATAGAATTAATAAGGCCACTAACACTGCTGCTGGTATTGCAAACGAAGTTGCAGGATGCATCAAGACTGTTCGATCCATGGCTGGTGATAAGAGAGAACGAGCCAGATTTGCCAAGGCTCTCGCCAGTGCACCATTTTCAATCTTTGGAAAAGCTTTGGCTATGGGAATTTCCATTGGTAATTCGTACTTGTTCATTAACTGTTTCTTCGGGTAAGTAATGTGTGTGAAGCACTGTTAGGCTAAAATTTTTAAATTAATCGTGATCACGCGTTAAATAGTTTGACCTTTTGGTTTGGTGCCAACTTGATTATTGAAGGTGACGCAACATTGGGTGAAGTCGTTCAAGTTTTCGGTATTATGGTATGTTGAAGAAATATCAAATCTTCGTGTTAACTTGTCACCTTTTTGATCTTTGTCATGCACTGTTTTGTTGAAATAGTTACTTGCTATTTTAGGTTTGCAACAAGGAGCTGACGTGATGCCTTACTTTGCCAAGTCCAGTGCCAGTCAAAAGAGCTGTTGAAGGTATTGCAAAGAGTTCCAGCCATTGTTGAGAAGGAAGGAGGAATTAAACTTGACAAGGTTCAAGGAGAAATTACTGTTGAAGGTATTGAATTTGCCTATCCTTCAAGACCTCACATTACTGTTCTTAAGGACTTTAACTTGAAGATTAAGGCTGGAAAGTCACTTGCTTTGGGTAAGTTGTGTTTGTACATGTTGGTCTATAATATGGGTTCATGAAATGTGTTGTGTTTCAAATTACAGTGGGTGGATCAGGTTCAGGTAAATCCACAATTATTGGTTTATTGGAACGATTCTATGTTCCTCAAAAAGGACGTGTCTTATTGGATGGAGTTGACATTTCTGAGATGGACACTGAGTGGCTTCACAAAGTGATTGGTATTGTCACCCAAGGTATGTTCTCTCTTTTGCAAAGAGTATTGTGTGATTAATGATAATCTATCATTTGTATTGGTTACTATTATTGACATGAACTTGATTGGTTATTTACATGGTTTTAAACTTAACAATACAATTCTTCATCACATTTTTCGTTGACGATAACTCTTACAGAACCTGTATTATTCCAAGGTACTATCAAGGAAAATATTGCCTACTCTATTGGAGGTCTTCCTAGGAAGGAATCATCTGAACTTCAACAACGAATTGAGGAAGCTGCTAAGGCTGCCAATGCTCATAACTTTATTAAGGAATTACCTAACGGTTACAATACAAAGCTTGGTGAGAAGGGTGTCTCATTATCTGGTGGTCAGGTAAGTTACAAGTGTTTGATTTATTGAGATACATTTTATATTTGCTTGCAACATGAATGATGTGTATTTATAATTTGTTTATTTTCATTCGCTATTGAATATTATTGCTTTCCTTCTTCACAACATCAAATAGAAACAAAGAATTGCCATCGCAAGAGCCATTCTCCAAAATCCACAAATTCTTCTCCTCGACGAAGCTACCAGTGCTCTTGACGCTGAAAGTGAATCTCTCGTTCAAGAAGCTCTTGATCGATTAATGAAAGGAAGAACAACTATTTGTGTGGCTCACCGTCTTGCAACCATTAAGAACTCGGATGAAATTGTAGTGATGGATCATGGTAGAATTATTGAACGAGGAACTCACGACTCATTGGTCCGTATTCCAAACGGAGCATACAGAGGTTTGGCTGAGAAGCAGTCCATGATTTAAAGGATTTTTAAAACGCAATTGTCATTTTCATGTACGGCAATGTGTGTGACACTTTTAGGCGAACCATCGATGAGATTTCACAAGTTATCCCTTTTCAAAATTGTTAATACTCAATCATCTCTAATGTTTTTTTGTAAATTAAAAAATCAAAAACATTCATATCAGTGAACTTGTTTCGATTATGAACGAGTTCTAATGATGTCAAAGAAGTGGCGCTTGTTTCGAAACAAATGATAACAACAAAAATCATTGCATGTTGTGTGTCAACAAACCCTCTACAAAATTGGCGCCACATTTTTACAACCAGCCGCAGTATTTACGATGAGTGTTGTTTCGCTTTTCATCATACAACCACCTTAAAAAAATATCCCCATCACAACAATAAGACCCATTCTCACAATGAGCAGAGACACCATTGGAAACAACGAATTGACTGAAGAACAAATTGCTGAATTTAAGGAAGCCTTCTCTCTTTTTGATAAGGACGGAGATGGTACCATTACTACAAGTGAATTAGGAACAGTCATGAGATCGTTGGGACAAAACCCAACAGAGGCCGAACTCCACGATATGATCAATGAGGTTGATGCCGATGGTAACGGAACAATTGATTTTACAGAATTTTTAACCATGATGGCCAAGAAGATGAAGGATACAGATAACGAAGAAGAAATCAAGGAAGCCTTCAAAGTTTTTGATAAGGACGGAAACGGATTCATCTCTGCACAAGAGTTGAGACACGTGATGTGCAACCTCGGAGAAAAACTTACAGACGAAGAAGTTGATGAAATGATTAGAGAAGCCGATATTGATGGAGACAATCAAATCAATTACACTGAATTTGTGAAGATGATGATGCAAAAGTAAACTGTATTCTGTAAAAATAATAAATACAAAATCATGATTTGAATCTGGTAGAGGTCCATCCCGAGAGGATTTCGAGGATGGTGTTTAATGAGCTCTCATCAAATCTGGTAGTGCTTTCGCAAAGGAGAGAAATGGTTCTTTCCATTCAGTCAAACTGGTTTTGGAACTATCAAAAAAAATCTTTAAAAAAATGAGTTTTGTACACACATCTTCGCTCGAGTTGCTTCCTCTGCTGTTTCAGATTCATCCCGTAATACCACATCAACAAGATTCAAACTTTCATGAACAGTTGTTACATAGTGAAATTGATAAAATTTGTGGACATGGTCCGACCATAGATTTGAAATTATTCTTGTCCAATGATCAACAATCATCAGAATCACAACAAACAGTGAATTTCACTACGGTTCAAAAAATTCTCTCTGCTGTGGATGCATTCATATTCCGTGTGATGAGTTTGGATTTGAGCCGAGAAATGGTTACCGAAGAGCTCTCAGCTCTCAATTTTAATCCCGATCAAATTGAACTATTTTTGAGAGTATTAGAGGGACGACGAGCAGAGCTTTCAAGATCAATGAAACAAAAAACAATTACGGAAATTTCTCATTCCTATTTACAAGATTTTGATTGGAAATTGAATTTAGTGGTAGCCAGTGATAAGTGTTCAAACATCCGTGAACCCATTGTACTTTTGAACTTGTATGTGAAATCCGAAAATGAAAACAAGCTGAAGGAAATTCTTGTAGAGCTGACACGAAAAGATTTGGATAATATTTTGAATGAATTTGGAAAAATTCAACATCAAATCCAAAAGATTTCAATTTAATTACCATGCCACAGCACTGATCCAACAAACGAGTTTAAATAATAATATCAATTACAACTTTTAAATTATTTACTATGGTACATGAAATCTTGTCTCTATTCGGTATTTGTTCTCTGTTGGCAGATTCAGCGCCAGTTCGAACTTCTGAGTCTTTTGACTTGGTTGAAGGGGAGGCTGGTGGAATATCCATACACAAAGATCCACTGCTTCCCAAGCCAGACAAAGTGGTCGATGTGGCATTTCGTAATAGCATGACTTGATCAATACACTGATTTTCATCATCGTCATCTTCCAGCGCCTCTCGCTCCACAATGGGATTGGCATGATGCTTGGCAAGTAAAAGATAGCTTTGCATTAGACCTTTTCCTTTGACTGTAGGGGGAAGCAAACAATGAATTTTAACACCAACATTCAGCAATTATTACCAATGGTCGAATTCGTTATATATTGTTGCTCGCACAAAGAAAAGCACACACATACCTTCGACTTGACGTTCTTCAAACTCGAGACCCATATCATGAACTCTCTCATAGGTAGTACGACTGATCTGAATACGTCCAGGAACTCCTGTCGATTCCATTCTTGATGCAGTGTTAATAGTGTCCTATCATTTTCAGAAAGAAGAAGGTTATTATTATTGAAGCAAATGAATTAAGGATTATTATCAAATTCAAAATCAAACATTTCAACACACTTACACCCCACAAATCATAGGCAAACTTTTTCGATCCAATCACACCTGCAACCACTCCTCCCGTGTTAATTCCAATACGAATATTCAATTGTTGATTACTCTCAACATCTAAAATATTTCCACACAATTTTCCTTCATTGAAATCTCGAATGACTTTAAAGGTATCTTGAGCGAATCGCAGCGTTCGTTCTGGATGATCTGATGAGCAATTCTTATTAATTCCACCTACTGCAAAATAGGCATCTCCAATTGTTTTGATCTTTTCCAATTGATAGAGTTCGGTTAATTCATCAAATCCTTGAACTATGGCATTTAACATTTTTACCAAATCTGTGGGTAACATGGTGCTACTAATTTTAGTAAAGCCAACCATGTCGCTGAAGAAGCAGGTAATATCTTTGAGCGCTTCTGCTATAAAGGTTTCTCCCTTCTTCAAACGAGCTGCCACATTTTCAGGTAAAATATTTTTCAATAGATTTTCCGAGTGTTGTTTCTCTTCAGCCAATAGAGCTTGTTGTTTTCTCTGTGAAGTAATGTCAGTAATGGTGACGGCAATGATGGTCCTATTTTCCTTCGAAATGTGACTTGTGAAAAAGTTGATTTTGGCTGGGAATTTGGATTGATTGCTTCGTAGACATGCATCGACTTCGAGAGTTTCATGGAATGTTGTGGTTTGAGGAGATTTTGTGGTTTGTTCAATGAGTGAGTGTACAACTTTTCGAATCACTTCTTGAGATTCTGGAGCAAATAATGTGTAAAACGAGGCACCAAGAGTTTCCGTGGTCGTCTTGCCAAACATTTTCAGAGCTGGAGTGTTAATGAGTTCAACCTCGCTTTGAGTGTTAATGAGGAGAGAACCATCCACGTTGGCATTCATGATGTGACAAATGCCAGTGAATGAATTTTCATCGTTGGACCCATTCGAAGAGGAAGAAGATGACGCGTTCAATTTGTCAAGAATTGGGTTCGAGAACTGATTATATAGAGCTAGATTTCTCAATTGTTCATTCTTATCAAGCAGCTCCACTGGAATATAGTTCAGTAACATTCTCGTATGTTGAAAATGATCTGCTCCACTTTTCATCATGGAATGTAATAATTTACCTAAAATGAAACAACTCAATATTCCAAAAACTCCAAATGAAAATACCATGACTAATTTCATCTCTGAAGAGACTCTGACGAATTCATTCATAAAAAGAACAAGTTTGTCTGTGAGAGGAAGATTCATGCAATACTTGGTATAGTGTTTCAGGAAAATAGAGGTTTCTTTTTCTTCCAATTGCGTCGTGTTCAATGCTGCTTGTTGAGCTATATAGTACTTTCTGGTAATTTCTGCAACTTCACTGACACCAGTAATGTACTCGTTCATCAAACTTTGAATACCAACACAATATCGGTAGTAATTGGTTAGAGTATTGGTCAAGTTGTTTTGTTCAAAATATTGAGTGCAGTTATCGACTCCAGTTTGTAACAACTTGTCCACTGAAGGATAAAGTCCAATGATTGGCAAATCATTTTCCAAATTAATATTTCCAAAAATTAGATCGTTCCAATTGTAAACTAAATTGTTAATTTCACTCAGTAATTTGGATTGAAGTGCTTCGATCGTAGGTGCCACTTTCAAGTGTGGATGATCTATTGAGGTTTTGAACGTATAAGCGCTCGAGTTTCTATCTTGGCCATAAAAAGCTAAAACTTCTTCCATGTAGAATCCAATGTATTGCAAGTGGGCAATCACGTTTGAGGCTGCAGCCAAATTCACAAATGAAACTTGGGCCTGGCTTGCATTAAAGTTTGCTTCATAAAAGAAAATTCCAACACACATCATAACAAGTAATGATAAGAGAATTACTACAATGGCTATGGAAAGTTTTGATTTGTAAATCTTTGTGAGAAAAGTCGAATCCAATGAAGCATCTACACTTGTTTTTTGACTATTCAATAATCCTTGATATATTTTACCAATAGATTCCTTTGTTAATTGTTTTTCAATGGTTTTAACCAACCGTTTAGATTGTAATTGGGCCCAACGAATCATGACCAAGAAGATCAGACCTATTACAAATGTCAAACATAATACTATCAAAAAGTAAATCTCAACATTGATGATGAGAGCACTGGTCGATGTCTTACTATTGGCAACGAAATGAGTGCAGAATGAATTGAGCGTTTCAAAACTCAAATCTAAATTTTGAAACAAGTAGTTGAATGTGTAGTCATAGATTGGATTCATCAATGGACTTTTCATAACATTCCTGAGAAGTGTCATATTGTCACTATTTTGTGTAGATAATAAGGTCATCTCTGCAATTGGATATTGCTCTATAAGAGTATCAATGAGGTGGATGTAATAATTGGCAAGCCCGTTGACAGAAACATTTCTCAACATGGGTTCTCCAATAAACATGAGATCTCCACTACTGCTGATAGAATTGTTTGACGTGGTTGGTATTTTGGTATAATAAATAGTTTGTCCATATTCTGTATAGGCAGCCAGGTCAAATTTGTTTTGTCCAGAGATTCGAATCAAGTTTTCAAAGAAAACTTTCTCCTTTTTCAATCTGTCAAAATACGAGTTGACAACATCCTGTCGAATGCGAAACATGAACAACAGCCATATTCATCAATTAAATAACTTACAATTTTAGGCCTCATTTCGAATTTTCCATACTGCGTTGGCCATTCATTCTTTTCATGATTAAACCAAATATTGACCCAACTCTGCATATTTCTAACCGTTTTCATAACAGAGATGGGAGAAGTTTCAGGTAAACACACCTGACTCAAATACATGACATCTTCCGTAATATTTGAAACAGTATGGACGCTGATGATAACTCCACCAATTACAAACGCCACACAACACAGAAGAAAAGTTATGAAAGCTCCAAAAAGAATGCTCTCTGAATACACTCTTGTTCTTAATGCATTGTTAAAAAGATATTCCTTCTTTTGCTCGAATGCTGGTGTGCTCTCAAATCCACCCACACTCGCACTGTCATCAAAGTTCATATCCTCTGTCAATTCGTCATTGGTGTCCTCATTGGCTTCTTTCTTTTTGGAAAACCCAAGGTCTTGCGGAGAGGCGATTTCTGAGCTTGTCATCTTCTTTGAAAGTGAATGAATATTTTCTCTTGAAGCAGCGGCCATGAATCGATTACTGATACTGGAGTTTTCTCTCTTCGAAAATTTGGGAACTACTTGATTCTTTTTAGGTTTTCGAATGGAAGTTGACACGCGTTGCTCCTCGTCGAGTTGGTTGGCTTCATCGTGAATCATTGCTGCAAGCTCCTTGTCAAATTCAAACAGTTCTACAAAAGTAGCATACATTCGAAGATGATTCTTATTCTTTCTGTGAACGAGGAGCTCATTAAATAACTTGTTACATTCGTTGGCGGTTTCCGAAATTTTGAGTGTAATCTTTTCCACATTTGAATATTTCACAGGTTCTTGAATGAGTTCTTTCCAAAAATCTCGATGAAGAGAAAGTAGTAAATCTTGAAGATATCTTAAACGTTGAACTTTCATGTCACTGCTCACGGAGAAGCTTTCACTTGAGATTGAAGCGCTTTTGTGCTGAATTTCCTTGATTCTATATTGTGCAATTATTTGATCCAATACACTTGAGGAATGTGTTGAAATTCTTTGCATCAGTTCAAGCGGAATATCAACATTAGGTTGTTGTTGATCGTATGCAATCAGCAAGGCAAGATTGTGTAACATATTCACGTTTTTGAATCGTCTATTTTGAGCTGTTTTCACAAAGATGAGACAAATTTCCCTATCAGAAATGCTTAATGGAAGTCCTTCATCGTTTGTAATGCGATCCAAATGAGTGACATGGTTGGATTTCATTGCAAACTTGAAAAACGTGGATAAATTGCGGAGGGTATTGGAGTCATTGAAATCTTGAAGAATTAATACTGCTTTGGCTTCAAGAAAGCTCTTCATAGTCTTCTTGTCAGTTATCATTGTTGGTTGTTCAACTGGAATAATGTCATACAATTCAGAGAGGACTCTATTTCTAACTTTCCGTGCTGTAATCATCAAGTAGATCTCATAGACTACAAATGAGCACACCCCACACAATAAAATCAAACCAATTTTGAGAGGAATACCAATGACGAGAGAGGAATCCATCTGACTGACTTTTTGATCGCCAATTAAGGATGTCACAAGAGTGGCCACACTAGCACCTAAACGAGCACATGCAACTCCACACATGATTGAATTTTCAAATCTTCTAAAAAATGGGCAAGTGTAAACAAGTCCAATCAGGAACACAAAAGACAATACACAATTGACAGCATGAGCAGCATAGCCATACTCCATTGGAATTGCAAATAAGGCAACCACTCCAAGCATGTTTACGATATCTAATAGCGCCAATGTGAAGGGATGGGACGAAGTAAACGGTACAGAGCTGAGCGGATTCAAGCTTTGAGTAATACTTCTGGAAAACATCACAAACACCATCAAAGCTACTGTTCCCATAATGGACACCACAAGAAGTATCAAGTTTTCAGCCCCAAAGCATGCAACTGAAGGTGCAAATCTGCTCAAGGTTCGTTCCAATGTTTCTCTATCAATTTCATTCAAACTGCAGTCATAAAACCCGGCAAGCATGTACAAGAAAAATACACTAAAGGTCTGACACATCACTCCACAACTGTAAAACAACAGCTTGATCTTGGAAAGTCGATTCTTGGATGAGTGTGAGGAAGAGGAGGAGGCTGATGAAGAAGCCGTGTCAGATCTCCATATAGCAACAATCCATACGATATAACACAAGAGAATGAACACTAATATTACAACTGTGATAGCAATCGAAATGGAATGTGACATCCACAAGTTTCCAGCCAATGTATTTGGAAAGTTTACCCCGCTCTCAAAAATGTACTGTGTCCATGGCTGGTTTGGATTCGTGTTTTTCGACCAAAGTGCTTCTCTTAAGTAGGCAGAAAAATCGAGCTCCACAAATACAAAATAAAGGGAAGCAATGTACCAAGATACCACTTCCAACCTGTTCGTTCAGATTCAATTTGTAAGGAGACAATGAGAGAGGATGTGGCAGAGTTGATTTGCTTGGTGACGGATGGCATGTTTGCACGTTCGGTCGTGGTGAAGTAGTTGCAATGGATGGATGCCCTTCTCCAAGGATCATACTTGCATTCATACCACCCACTCGACTGTTACTAACCACGCTGTTTGCATCGTCCATTGGTGTTGTTATGATTCGTTTTGTAACTATCCAAAGGAGAGTATGTGAGGGTTTTTGTTTGGTATTGTATTAAGGACGAATGGTTGGACGGTGTCATCTCATCCCCATACGGAACATGTTACGAAAATTGTAGAAGTACCAACTGTTTCTATCTCCATGATCCACACACCGGCAAATCAAGTCCCTATTTAAACTTGTGAATGGTCCGTGTTAATTGTACAAATTAACTTGTCATTGCCTCTTAGTGGGATTTGAAATGGTGTATGACGGATTCTGGAGATTGAGGATTTTTCATTTTGGAGAGAATTTCGTTATTTAAGTGTCATTGAATCAAAATGTAGATGCAACTGAGATTTCAATCATTATCAATAGTATCCAAAGAATCAGTATTGCATCTTTGCAGGACTATACTTTGTAAGGAAGGGAAGTAAATGATGGTATTTGAGGGTATCATGAAATGTCATTGTATATCGCAATTATAGTGGTGGTGTATATCAACATAAAGATGGGTATGATGTCGTTTGGATGCAACGATTTTGTGCCGGCTGATTATCACCACAAGTAAATAATCCGATTATTTCTCCTCAAAACTACATCTCCCTTCCTTGATTCGTTTTCTGTTAAAGGCAGTAGTACCGTATTGTAGTAACACTATGTTATTGTGTAGACTCTCTTGCTGTAATAGAGAGTGAGAAATTTACAAGGATGGGATAGTGATCACTGATGACAATGATTTCCTTCTTATGAGAGCCCTCGGTCACCAATTCAGCTGTTCCTTCGCAACACTCGTATTTGGTTGGTGTTAATGAAATGTGGTGAGGTGTTGTTGGGCATGGAATTTCTGCAAACAAAATATGATCAATTCGTGTGACCTTAGATGAGTGATTATTCAAACTCCAATTATTAAAGGTCGTTTCCTTTCCTAAAACTGGTAACATGTGCTTCTTGCAGTATTCATAGGAATTGTTAAAGTGTAATGAAAATTTACCATAGCGTTCACTCTCAATTTCCAAAGGTTGCAATAATTCTTGAAAAGCCCTATCTTCAACGTTACAATTGAAATCTCCACTCACAACGACTCCAATTAAATTCTCTTCTGAATTTTTCATCAACACTTGATCCTTGACAAAATTCTTAATCAATTTTGCACTGTGCATACAAGCCCTTGAACTAAAATGATCCCAATGTGTGTTCAAATATAGTAAATGGTAGGTTGTTTCACCAATCTTCTCGTCATCATTCTTGATATGAATTGGCACTTTTACCCAGGTAGCAATTCTGTAACAAGCTGCATCCCAATATTTGGATGGCTTCTCAGGTGTTTCACTCAACCAAAAGGTGCCACTCGAATAGTTGTTTGTTGAGTTTGTTGTGCTGCCACTCTTAACCATGATGGTACAATGTTCTCCACCATTCTTTGCTTCTCTACCTGTTGAAAAGATGGTAAATCCTCCAAAATTGTTATGGTTGTTGTTCGGAATTGAGGGATCTGTTCCATTATTATTATTATTGTTGGACAAGTAGTTCTTTATATCTTGCAATTGATTTTGTAAAACCTCTTGAAGACCAACCAATGTACACAAAGGTGAGTGCAGTATGGTTGTTGATGGTTGTTGTTGTTGTTTCTTCGTTTCATTTGTTTCATAGGATGATGAATTTCCTTCTTCCATCACATCGTCGTTGGTCTTCGGAACAAGACTCAAGCCTTGAATGAATTTTGACACAAGAGCCTTTCTCACTCGCCATGATTTATTTCCAAAATCAAGTAAACTATCGTACCTAATATTGAAACTACACACATTGATTTCAAATGTACTCTTCTTTGTGGAAGTACTGAGATGAGAGGATGATGAAGGAAGGGTGGAGGACATGATGTGGTGGATTTATTTTGGAATTAAATTTGATGTTTTTTCGTCCGCATGAAATGATGCAAACCGGTTCCAATTTTTCTTGTTGTTGTGAATTCTCGGGTCTATCGGTTTCAATGTCGTACCTCCTCATCATGTAATCTTGATATTGGGTTGATCAGGATCCTGCACCAAACGAAAGAGGACTCTCCATTACAATGAACTCAAAACAAAAATGCTCAAATCTCTCTTGCTCAAGTTCATCTCATTTGCACTGAGAACCGTTGATCGTGTCTTGTTTTATGTGTTGCGTTTGGTGTTTGGTAGATCCATTCTTCCCGAGGATCTCACAGGAACACACGATCATTTGAAATCATTTACAGTTGAAGTGGATGATGTCAATTATAAGAAGGGAGTTGAGACTAAACCACGTCGTAGAGTCGGTTTTGAGAAGGAGTTGATGTCCACACCAGTGAAAGGTGTAGATACTTTGACAGGATTGTTGGATCATATTGCTAGAGAATATCCGAACTTACCCATGCTTGGTCATCGCCCATTCAAGAGAAAGTTTACGCAAAGTATTGATGGCAAGGACTGGGAAGTGTTTGAAATGGGTGATGTCGTCTATGAAACCTATCAACAGGTTCATACAAGAATTGAACATCTTGCTCGTGGTATTGCTCGCTTCACGGGATTAAATTCAAAGGATTTGTTCGGTATCTTTGAAGAGACAAGAAAAGAGTGGCTCATGACACTCCACGCATGTATGAGATACAATATTACTGTCATGACTGTGTATGCCACTCTTGGTGATGAAAGTCTCATTGAAGCCATTAATGAATGTCAACTTCAAGCCATGCTGGTCAACGAGCACAGCTTGAAGAAATTATGTCATCAAATTATTCCTCACACTCCAACTTTGAAGTATTTAGTGTTCACTTCCGGATGGGATGCATCCAAGAACGATACTGACAAGTGGATCTCTGAATTGGAGAAACTTGGTGTGAAAGCCATGTCCTTCGAGGACGTTGAACAACTCGGAAAGCAAGAAACAAGTCCAATCAAAGTCAAGGAACCACAAACCAATTCTAGCTTGGCTGTGGTCATGTATACCAGTGGTACAACATCTAAACCAAAGGTATGTGTGAATTCAACAATTATTCCATTTGGAACGTTTTGTAAATTTTGTAATGATCATGACTGATGGTGACATTATTCTCCTTGTGGAAACAATATTCCACTCACACAACAGGGTGTCATGTTGACTGTGAGAAATATTTTGGCAATTTCTGCTGCTGCTGCTGAAAACATTCACTGCCCATCCTTAAAACATCCAACTTATATTGGCTACTTACCACTTGCCCATATTTTGGAAATGGCTGCTGAGGTAAGTTAAGGAAAGAGTTGCAGTATTTGTTGTTCACACAACTTGTTGTTGTTACACGATTGATCTTTCTCAAATCTATCTAACATGACATAATACTTGTCAATGAATTTTCGTATATACACTCATCATAGCACTATATTTTGAGCAGAGGAGGTAAAATTGGTTACGGAAATCCTCGTACTCTCACCGACAAGACATGTAAGCCTGTTGGTGATTTAGAGGCCATTCAACCAGCGTAAGTAAGCCTTTTTTTAAGAACATTTAATAGGAGCGTAATATGTGATCTGCGTATTCAAAATACGTGCACACATGATCTCCATCGTGTGATCTTGATTTTTCAAACATCCACAGCTTTTTGGCAGGTGTTCCAAGAGTGTAAGTATTTTTTTTGTTCGAAATATTTCACCGCAAATTTAATGTCCAACCAACGTACGAAATTTTCCGAATGTATCTATTTGAAACATCAATGGCGATTTATGTGCTGACACTCAATTTACTGTTTTTCTTTACATCGACTTACGGATTTTCATATTCATCTCATTCACACAGATATGACACCATTCGAAAGGGCATTTCTGAAAAAATTAAGGCAAGCTCACCAATCATTCAATGGTTGTTTAATGTTGCGTATGATCACAAGCTTGAATCACTCTATGCTGGAAGAGATACTCCATTGTTCAATTTCTTAATTTTCAGAAAGATTGCAAAGGCCACTGGTGGTAAACTTAAGGCATGTCTTTCAGGAGGAGCTCCTCTTTCAAAGGAATCTCAAGAACACTTTAGAGTTTGGTAAGTAGAGATTGAACATTGATTTTAACTGAGCATGGTTCACTTACTGAACTGGGCAAATTTTCATTCGTTGGTCATGGCATTGTTTAATGATAACACAGTATGGGAGCTGCCTTTGTGCAAGGTTATGGTCTTACTGAAACTGCAGCTGCTGGTACAATCATGTTACCTGGTGCTCGATTCGGAACACGTGTTGCTGGTGTTGTTGTCCCTTCTGTTGAAATTAAACTCATTTCAGTACCAGAAATGAATTATACTGTGGATGGACCAGTTCCAAGAGGTGAAATTGCAATTCGTGGTAATGCAGTAGCCAGTGGTTATTACAAGCAACCTGAAAAGACAAAGGAAGTATTTTTAAGTGATGGATATTTCTTGACTGGTGACGTTGGTCAATTCAATGAAAATGGTACACTCAGTATTATTGATCGTGTTAAGAATTTGGTCAAGCTCAGTCACGGAGAATATATTGCTTTGGAGAGATTGGAAAGTATTTACTGCCAGTCTCCATTCGTTGCTCCCAATGGTTGCATGGTCTATGCAGATAGTTATTGCAGCTTCCCATGTGCTATTGTGATTGCTCAACCAGGACCAACTAAGCGATTTGCTGAGGAAAATGGAATTAGTGGAACCTTTTCTGAAATTTGCAAGCATCCAAAAGTTGAACAACATATTTTGAAATCGTTACACGAACAAGCAAAGAGCTCCAATCTTAAGAGATATGAAGAGGTGAAAGCTGTCAAAGTTTTCGATGATGTATGGTCTCCAGAAAACGATTTGTTAACTGCTGCCTTCAAATTGAAGAGAGCCAACATTGTTCAAAAGTATCGTGCTCAAATTGATGAAATGTGCAAGACTTTGATTTAACCTTCCACTTATTGATGACACTATTACTCAACTTGGATCGAATTATTATTTATTTTAATTTATTGTTTGGTATTGCCACCAATAAACTATTTACTTTAAATTTTTAAGGGAATTCAGTCTCCGCAATGACGTCATATTGAGATTGTCAAAGAGGTGTTCCGTAAAATCTCATAATGACATTGTAGTGTTTTCGGAAGAGCATTGACGCACTCTCACAAATTCATTGAAGGTTTATGAATCAACAAGGAAAATACATCATGAAAGAACTAATTGCATTTAGAACTGTGTAAAATGATAATAGAGAAAGGTAGGAGTAAACATCATCATAAGAAAGGTACTGAAAGAATTCAAGAAAAGTAAAAGCAAAGCTATTTACAATGTTTCAACACGTGTTTCCAGAATCCCAAACCAAAATTTGATCAACCCAATCATGGTTAGGTTGTTGAGGGATTCCGCCTGCCATGTCACTCGTTTCAACGCTTCTCGATTCTCATTTGATTTTCACACATTAAAGAAATATTAATCCAAAAACCATTTCATACAACTTTCATCCATCTCATTGACAGTCCTGAAAAGATCCTTTCACTCAGTGTTCAAGAGTGTGTGGAAAGGCCATCACATTCTCACTTTGATGTGTTGTATCATCAAATGGATAGAAATTTCAAAAACACAAAGGTCCAAATTTGTGCGTTGTTTTAAAATACATCAGTGCGCAACTCCTCCGTTTTTCAAAACTCCATCAAAAAAAAACAACAACCATTCTTATTCTTGGTCATTGAAATTCTTGAAAGCCCTCTCTCTCGAGTCGAGCCCTATCGTGTATTTATAGTCCTCATCCGAGTTTTGGGCCTTTTTGTATAATTGATCATTCCAAGTACATTTATCATTCTTTGAATTCAACTGAAGGATTAATTGTAGGGATTGTAGAAGTAACGTATTCACCTCTTCTGAATTAAGAGACATTATTAGGAAATTACCTTGTTTGTTGTACATACAATAACGGAAGCAACAAGAATCGTATTGAATAACAACATTAGTTGAACCTTGCAAAACAACGAGTATCAAGAAGAATATATAAACATCATGAACGTATCAAGAACAAGCAGTTTATTCAAACAAGTTGAACGAACTCTCGGACGAAGGAATGTCAACAGCAATTCTCTCATCATGATCATGAATAATGTAAAGAAGAATCAAATTCGGTCGTTTGCTGCTTTCAATGCCTCCGGAGCTTCATCAAATATTTCAAATTTACCGTCCTACGTTAAAATTGTAGAAGTTGGACCAAGAGATGGTCTGCAAAATGAAAAGAAACTCGTACCAACCAACGTCAAGATTGCTTTGATTAACAAATTATCGGAGGCTGGTTGTCCTTCGGTTGAAGTAACCAGTTTTGTGTCACCAGTAAGTAGCAGCATGTTTAATTCAAATTATTCATTAATATTTCAATGATTTTTCGACAACGTTTGGGAACATTATCGCCAACCATTCGAAATTAATATTCTCTCTGATTCATCACGAACGAACGTTGATGTTGCTTGTGGGACACAATGTACCTATCTCGACTTTTCAACTTCATTTCCTTTCTTGTACATTTGACCGAAATGAAATTTTTCTCTGGCTGCCTATGAACCTCTGGCACAATTTTGCATTACAACTTGTGACTCGTATCTGTGCATGTCCTCTGCAACAACATTCAATTTGTTTCTGCAACAAAATTTTACTGCTGGATATGAATCGCGCTTGACAAAATCTCATGCTTCAACAAATGCCAACACGTAATCAAATAATGTTAACAATTCGTCCATCATGATAAAATACCACAGAAATGGGTTCCTCAAATGGGAGACAATTTCGATGTTTACACAGGAATAACGAAAAAAGAAAGCACATCGTATCCAGTCCTCACACCCAACGTGAAAGGTCTCGAACAAGCTTTAGAGGCCGGAGTTAAAGAAGTAGCAATATTCCTTGCCGCAAGTGATGCTTTCAGTATGAAAAATATTAACTGTACAGTGGAAGAATCATTCAACAGATATAATCAAGTGATGGAGTTAGCAACAAAACATAATTTAAAAATTAGAGGATATGTGAGTTGTGTGGCTGGTTGCCCATACTCTGGATACGTCGCACCAGAAGTGGTAGCAAATGTGAGTTACCGATTATTGAAGATGGGATGCTATGAAGTTTCTCTTGGTGACACGATTGGAGTTGGAACGCCAGGAAGCGTCTCTCATTTATTACATCAAGTTTGTAAAAAGATCCCAACTGGGCAAGTTGCTGTACACTTCCATAACACTTACGGACAAGCTTTAGCAAATATTCTGACATCACTTCAGTTTGGTGTGGAAACTGTGGATTCATCGGTGGCTGGTCTCGGTGGTTGTCCTTATGCTCGAGGCGCCTCTGGGAATATCAGTACGGAAGATGTTGTGTACATGCTTCAAGGTATGGGAATTGAAACAGGCATTGATCTTGACAAACTGATCGATGCAGGAGATTATATTTCGACCTATTTGAACAGAGACAACAACTCAATGGTAGCTAAAGCAATACTAGCCAAGAGAGAAAAAGCAGAAACTGTCAACAAGACTCCTTCAGAGACCTCCACCACCACTCAAACCACTTCCGCCTTCCAATCTTCCCAAGCTCCACCAACCAAGAAACAAGAATCGCAAATTATTATAACAGAAAATACGCCAACAGAACGAAAATTATCTGCCTGTATTTAACACTCTTTTGCATCCCAAATATGTAACATATGTCAATCAGCTTAATGTGAATAAAACCAACCACCAAATTTCTATTTAATTGAACGTGAAAGACCCAAGCTCTCACGGACGATGTGAATCATTCGTAAGGAATTATGTAGTCGTAGAACAGTTGAGAATAATTTTTCTTGAATTCCAATGAGGTTGTTGCATAGAAGCTATTTAATTGCTTTTATGCATTTGTTTGTAAATGTGGATTTCTCATATAACTACGTGACAACCATAATCCAAATAATTGGTACAGATGGTCAATTGTCCGTTGTAATTCATTACCACTCTTAGATTGATGACCTACAAGATCATAATATGAACCATTTGAATGATTGACATCTCCTACATTAAAATGTTCTTCTGTCCACACATCCTCAACAACAATTGGTTATTACGAGTTTAGATTTCCCATTCTTTGTCGTTTTTTGAGGAAGAAAATGGTTTAAAGTCGATTCTGCTTTCATTCATCGAAGAGAATCCATGTCGTTGCCAATTACAATCAGGAAACTTTCAGAAAAATTCTTTTGAAACAACCTTAAAATCCAACCAATCGCCGTTGTGAGTCAAAAGAACAATTACCAACAGCATTTTCAAAATCTAACTGTCACTTTTTTCAAACTTTCACTGTTATCTATAATATTATCACCTTCACTACCATATACATTGAACGACAGATTCAAATAAGTCAAATTCTTCAAGGATTCGCTTGCAGCAATATATTTGACACCTTCATTCCCAACTTGATTGAGTCTCAGACTCAAATAAGTCAAATTCTTCAGATATTCACTTGTAGCAATATATTTTACACCTTCATTGTCAATTTCATTGCGTCGAAGATCCAAATAAGTCAAATTTTTCAACGATTCGCTTTCAGCAATATGCTTGACACCTTCATTGCCAAATTCATTGGCACCCAGATCCAAAGAATTCAAATTCTTCAATGATTGTGGCAATATATTTGACACCATCACTTGTAATTCTATTCCAACTCAGATCCAAACAAGTCAAATTTTTCAAACATTCGCAATTTGAAAAAAGTTTGATTGATTTACCATCTTGTTTGAAGTGATTTCGTTTGAATGATAATGAGAGAGGAATTTGAAATGATACTAGTCTCCATTGTTTTGAAATTTTCATACAAATTTGAATGATAAACATGGAATCAAGAAATTGAAGAATTTCAAAAATAATATCATCAATAAATGGTCCATTATTGATTTCGGTTGAATGGATCGGAGAGAAATCATCGTTTTCAGCATTATTTTTGATCATGATTGATGCTGAATTTGTTGCTTGTTCAACAGAAAAACACCAAATATCTTTTTGTAAATTTTTTTTAGTTACAACAGATAAATGGTTCAAAGTTACTTGCATCGACGAGGTTGAATTTTTATAGTGAGATCGTAGTTCAGTGATTTCAATTCCCTCAGTGCTCCAAAGAGTTTGACTTGTTTAAATCTGGGTTGCATTAGAGAGTTGTGGTAAGGATGAGGAACATTAGAACAGCTGAGTGTCTTCGAACTTCAAGGTTAAATTTGAGTTGTTGTCCGAAGGTGTTAAATATCTTACCACAAGTGAATCGTTGAAGAATTTGACTTTTTTGAATCTTTCTAACAATAGAATTGGCAATGAAGGTGTTAAATATATATATCTACAAGCGAATCCTTGAAGAATTTGACATCTTTGACTCTGCGTTAATGGAATAGACAATGAAGGTGTCAAACATATTGCTACAAGTGAATGTATGAAGAATTTGACCTCTTTGGATCAGAGATACAATGAAATTGACAATGAAGGTTTTAAATATATGTCTATGAGCGATTGTTTGAAGAATCTGACTTATGTTTTCATGATCCTGCTGTAACGTACGCTCTTGGGGCCAATTGAAATAAAGTTTGATCCAACATGCTTTCTGGGTTGTATTAACTGTCTACCAAGGATCTCTTAAGCGGATCCTCAACGTTTCGTCTGAAATGAGCAGGTCCAAGTTTTGACCTTACATCTTGGCATGCCAATACCGTTGAACACATTTCTGTCAAGAGTTCACAAAAAACATCACATACAGTTTTATTTCTCGCCAACAACAGTTACATGTACAATATTTAGAAGTAACCTGGACCTCCAACAGGGCCTGGTGGATTAACATATCCTCCAACTGCACCTGGTGGGTTGTAGTAAGGATATCCAAATCCATATCCATAGCCATATCCAACACCTGGACCTCCAGCAGGACCTGGCGGATTGTAGTAACCAGGATAGCCAAAACCGCAATAGGGGTATCCAAATCCGTAATAATACGGATTATAACCGTAAGGATAGGGGTAAGGATAATAAGACTTTACTTCTTTGTGGTCGCTGGCTAAACCAAAAGAAGCACTCAAGCACAGTAGAACAATGAGTAATATAGAAAGAATTAGAGCTTTCATTTTGAGTTGTGTTTTTTTTTTGCTTGTTCAGGAATGTTGTCGTTTTCCCATCTCCTTTTAAAACATGAGTGTTAAAGGCACTTTTATAAATTTACCAAAATTGTTTTTCAGTACTTTTAAAGTAAGTACCAAAAAGGATATTTTAATGTTTGTTTGTGAAAATTCTCTTGTGAAAAATGGTTCGTATTTATTCTATTGCACAGAATGGTTAAAACTTTATATATTTTAAGACTTATTATCGCTCTCACTGACAAAAGGAATCATTAAAATATATCTCGACATCAAAAACAAATTGCTTCCTTGAATGACATTTCAAGTTTACATTCATACACTCCACAATTCCCACGTGAACCACTACTGATCACTTTACAAAAAAGTACTTTTCAATGAGCAAACGTTATTTCAAACATGTTTATTATTGGTCAAGTTTTGTAATACTCTCCGTTGCAAATTAATAGTTAATCATGGAGATTGAAGACAAACAAGTTACCCACGACTATTTCGCTAAAATAGATAATATCATGCTTTTGGATTTCCAAAAGAGCTCATTCATACCATTTACTGGCAGAACATACGGTCCTGACATTCAATCATTAGGCTTGAAATTTCAAATTCATGATTCGACATATATCCTCAATTATTGTCGGCCAGAACGAGGGCCTGGACAAATCCGCATCCAGAGCCCACGCAGTGGCACAGGATAAAGCGGCTCGTATTGTTCAAAGGCTGAGGGTGGATCCAAAACAAGGATTTTGTAAAAACGTTATTCAAACTGCTTTTCCATCCGCAACTCGCCATGTAACATGCAACTTTCTTGAAGAGACGAAACAAGTTCGACCTATTCGACATGTAATTGATCTTCCTCCCTTGTTTGGTTGTTTGTCAATTTCAAACAAAGAGCAGATGGTGTTTTGCTTTGTTTTGTCGAATCGGTCGAAGATAACGGTTGTGGACTCATCAGTTCAACATTCTGAATTTGAGAATTCAATATCTTGTGGAGTAGAGTAGAATGAGACTTGTTGCTATAGGTTGTGAGGTTTACTGTTAAAGGATTCAAATTCCTTCCACTAATTCCACTCTTTTGGGAAAAATCGTGTCACAAGTGTCAAGGTGTAGTGGAACAATTGTATCTTGCCACTCAATACACTGTTTAACTGTTGTGACATTACGTCACTCCAAGCCCTTCTGCTGTGTCTGAAGGACTTCCGTTCATGAATGATGTTTTTGATGAGAGACAATTACTGTTAATTTACATTCTTATTCAAACAACGTTAACTGGTTCCCATGAGAACAATCATGATGATGATGCAACTGAAAGTGTTGAACAAGTTGCGAGGTTGTGAGAAAAATTACAACAAAAAAAATTCATTTAATTGTTCATCGATCCATAATAAATATTTGTACTCTAAAAAGAGAAAACTCTCAGTGTCTATTGAAACTGAAGCAACAAATTCATCATCAATCATGATCAATGATATTGCTGGAAAAGATGATTTCTCTCCGACAAGTGCAACCGTAATCAATGGAAGGTGTCAAATATTTTTCTACAAGTGACTCATTGAAGAATTTGACATGTTCGAATCTGGGTGGCAATGAAATTGGTAATGAAGGTGCTGAATACATTGCTACAAGTGAATGCTTGAAGAATTTGGCTTCTTTGCATTTGGATTACAATCAAGTTGGCAATGAAGGTGTTAAATATATTTCTACAGGTGAATCTTTGAAGAATTTGACATCTTTGACTCTGCGTAACAATAGAATTGACAATGAAGGTGTTAAACATATTGCCACAAGTGAATGTATGAAGAATTTGACCTCTTTGGATCTGAGATTCAACGAAATTGATAATGAAGGTTTCAAATGTATGTCTATGAGCGATAGTTTGAAGAATTTGACTTATTTGGAAGTAAATGCCTGTAGATTAACGAGAAAGTTGTAGATTAATTATTGTGAATCATTATTGTTACAATTACAGCACCGAAGTGATTATTGGGTTGGTTCCAAGTGCACCTAATAGCAGTTTGGCTTCGTTGTTAGAACATGAAAGCAGAAACCTCCATTGACTATGGCTCGAAAACTCCCACAGACACTACGATACATTTATTAACAACCAACTACATGGCAATTCATCAATGAAATTTTCCAAACATGACCATCAAACATTAAAAAAAATGAGTTCATACGACGAGGATTATGACGATGAAGATTTAGATGTAAGTGGTGGTGGTTGTTGTTTTTTTAATTAATTCATGACGAATATCATGATCATTGAATCCAACATTGTTGGGTCTTGTTCTGTTTGAACCCGAACCAATTTTTGCTTGAATTCATGATTCATTGATCATGTAATACAACAATGATTTTATGATGTACACGCATAATCCTGTCGTATTATCACATCATCTTCCATTTCCCGAACCGATCATCATCAAAATTTTACTTTTAATTTTTCGTATACAATTATACAATCATCATCATTTTCAATAATTTTCAATTTGATGCAATTTTCCTTTTCGCACTCTCATATACAGGTGCCAACAACAGAAACACAAAAGCCAAAAGGAATTGGTTCACTTTCTATTGGATTATCTCTTGCCCAATCCGGTAAGAACCAGAAGGACAAGACTGAACAAGAGCTTCTGGGCGAAGAAGTAACCGTTCTCTTCAAGCTTGAATCACGAGGTGGTGAAGTTAAAAAGCATTCTGTGAATATGGGTCGTCCCATTGAATATCTCAAGCTTTTGTTGGAAAGAGAGCACGGAATTAACTTTGATAGTCAAAAAATGTTTTTGAATTCAAAGGAATTGGCCAACTTTTTAAGTTTGCAAGATATTCCGGAAATTGATCCAAAGAAGGAGAATGTAATTGTTGTAAAGGAGGCATAAATGAATGACCTATTCATGTACAATTCACACCAATGTAAGTTGTATTGGCAGAGGTGACATTTTTTCACTAATTATTCCAAATAATTGAATGATTGAATGGATCATTAGATTTTGTTTACGTCTACATGAAGCATAATTTTCACAATCTTGTGTTGTTATGCATACATCTTGACAATCTTGATTATTACATGATCAGTCAATTGCAAGGAATGAACGAATCGAACGAGAAATTCACAATATTTTCAACACATTGTAGACTCACAATTTTATTACACAGATCAAAATGAATTATCTTTGAGGAGGAGTCGCTTGTTGCTGTTGTTGAGGTCTTTGTGGAATTGGCATGGTCATTCCATAATTCATCAATGATTCCATGTAAGGATCTCCTAAAGAAGTTTGACCAGGCCTTGATCCATATGCCATTTGCTGACCAGGAAATTGTCCATTGTAAACCATTGGTTGTTGCTGGTTTGGTGCTGAAACACCAGCTATTGACACCCATGGTTGAGCTCCACCATACATGGATGGGTTGTAAGAGTAAGGTTGACCACCAGCTTGTTGAGGATAGTATGCTTGTTGCTGAGCTGGATAAGCGGATTGTTGAGGATAGTAGGCTTGTTGTTGAGATGGAGGATACATTTGCTGTGGACCACCATATCCTGGATATACTTGTTGGCTTGGATAACCTTGTTGAGCAGCTGGATACATTGGTTGTTGTTGTTGACCATAGGTTGGTGGATACATGGGTGATGAAGGATATCCTTGTTGTGGAGGAGGCATTTGTTGCATACCACCTTGTTGTTGAGGAGGAGGAGGCATTGATTGCATTCCTCCTTGCTGTTGCTGTTGTTGTTGACCTTGTTGGACTTGACCATAATTACCACTAATTTGAGTCATGAGCGATTGTAAGCTTGAAGCAACTTGTTGGAAGGTATTCCAATCGACTGATTTAGCAGCACTGACCAAGTTTGCAACAGCAGGTTTGATTTGACTTGTAATTAATTGAGAGTCCTGAGCGTTGGTCGTATTCAAGTCATTATTCACAATGAGATCTAAATTGGATTGAATATTATTGGCAGAATCTGTAATGAGTGAACATGGTGAAATCATGGATTGAGTGAGAGTTGGTTGTGACTGAGTCGCTTGAGCATTGGGCTGACCTTGACCTCCAGCAGGCATTCCTTGCAGAGGCATTTGTGGCGAATACATTCCTTGTTGTTGAGGAGGAGCATACATTTGCTGTGGCATTTGCTGTTGAGGTGGAGGTGCATACATTTGTTGTGGAGGAGGAGCCATTTGTCGCAAACCTCGTGTCATTCGAATAGTTTGACCAACAGGATTGTCTTGAGGTAATGGTGTTGGTGGGGCTTGACCTGGAGGAGCTGGTTGGTTGGGATCTGAGATTTGCATCACCTGAGGAGGCATTTGACCTTGAGGATATCCCTGTTGTTGAGATGGAGGATACATTTGTTGCTGCATTCCTTGTTGTTGAGGAGGAGGTGCATACATTTGTTGTGGCATTTGCTGTTGTTGTTGTGGAGGAGCCATTTGTGCTTGTTGCTGCTGCTGTTGACTATTGATGTAACAATACTGCCCAATTTTTTGGATTAATGCCAACTGAGAATTAATGTTATTAATGTAGATGGCCAATCTGCTATTACTGGACGGACTGGATGACGGTTGCTGAGGTTGGTTGACTTGTTGGGGCGGCGCTTGAGACGGTTGTGTGGATGATTGCTGCTGACTTTGCTCCTGAGTTTGAGCACTCACAAAAGGAGCCGAAGATACTGCCAAAACCAAGCATGTGGCTGCACAGAATAACAATACGGCAACAAAAAAGGAGCGATTCATGGTGACAAGAATGGGTATGAAATTTGTTTTGTTTGTAAGAAAATTATCATCAAAGATTTCTCAGATTATTGGTGTTGTACTAGAATTTGTTATGATGGATTTATTTGGAAGGTAGATTTTGTTAGTGAAACGAAGATTATGTCAAGATGTCTTTTTAAGGATTTGGATTTTTTCAGTGAATATCCACAAGAGTAGAAACTCGCCAAATCGATTTCCTTATTTGAGTGTGATGAGAATATGTGATTTTATAATAAGGAACAGTGCTTTTACTTTATTCAGAATGACATAATTGGATGTTCGTATTCAAGTTGTTGCTGGCTGTAATCTTCACGAACCCTATTCAGTTAGTCAACAAGTTGCAGATTTCGACTGATTATGAATTCACAATTCTAAATCCAGGGAACGTTAACGAATGAGTGGAAAAATTACGGTCATTTGCAGGTTTTGTAAAACAACAATTATGTGTTTGGGAATCAAATGCTTGTGAAAAAAAACATTTCATAGTACTGAACTCGGAACTGGAGTTCACTGTCCCAAAAAAATGGCAACACCTCCACCGCCTCCCACTCTCTCAACCTCTTCGGAATCCACTCAACGCAACAAGAAAAAATTAAATTTATGTATTCAATCCAGTGATGATCATGATGATGCTAATACTGTTCATTCCGATCAAAACGTCCAATCCAAAAAACGAGTTCAATTCATCTCTCATTTTCATCATGATTTATTATTTGTAAAGAGCGGAATGGTGTTTTTAGATTCAAACAATGTATTGACTCACTCACCGTGCGTGATGTCTTTTGGTGGAATTTATAACTTTAATGTGATTGGCAATGAAATGTTTTATTTGGATTTAGAACCGAAAGAAACTTTGATTGGCAATGAACAGAATTGTGATGAAAATGAACAGAGTGATGAAAAGCATCGAAGGAAAGACAAATATCATGCATTATTTCAATGGAAGAAATTAGAAATTGAAAAGAACGAAAGAAATTTGACATTGGCCTTTACCTGACATTCATTACGCGATGGAATATGTTCCTTCCCGACAATGGATTGTTTTGGCAAAAAATAATTATTTATTTGTTCTTTGTTTGAAATCATTGAATTTTCATGCCATCGAATTGAGAAATGTGTATGCAGATGATTTTGATTTGTTTCTATGGAAGGATCAATATTTGTTTTTCACACAAAATCAATCGTATTTTCAATATCACTTGATGAAAATAGAATTGAAAGAAATTGAGAAGGAAATGGAATATTGTGATCTACATGAACGGGTAGGGCGTTTAAAATCCATGAATAATTATTCCTTTCATTGCCTTTATACCTCTAAAAAATCAGTGGTTTTAGCCAGTATTCAAAAGAAAGCCAAGTTACTCTTCTCAGACGATGAAAATTCCAAAACTTCAAATGACTTTAATTTATGGGTATTTGGAGGAAAAAAAGACGTATCCAATGAATATCGGTCCATTCGAGTGTTGAACATGACAACAACGTCCACCACAAATTTCATGACGAGAGTGCATGAATTTCCAGTGCATGATGTTGACAATCATTACAGAACCAATTCATACATGGCATTAATTCCAAACAAGAATTTAGAAAATAATTGTGACCAGCAGCAACGAGTGTCAATGTTGCTGAGCCATGTCGAATCGATGAATGGAGTAGATCGAATTTTCTTTCATATTGCCCATGTCGACCGAACAAGCTCTACAAATTCCACAAATTCGAGCAAGCACAAGAATTTCGAACTTGAGCGATTAGTATTTAACAACATTCCAGTACCACCTTCCATTCAAAAATGTGTATTTCGACCCTTCCTTCATTGTTATTATGACAAGTATGGTCATCGAAAAGGAATTTACATTGTGAATAGTCATGTCATGTATTTTATTCATTTGGATTATGAGTCAGTGAGTTTTTGTTTTCAATGGAAGATTTTGTTGAACAATGAAACACATGCTTTGAGTGATATTGAAATAATCACCCAATCCATTGTGTATTTGTGAAAATAATTATTATTTTGAACTTTTTTGAAGAATGATTTCCGGTGGAACATTGAAACTCCGTTTTCCGTTTCGGAGAAGTAAAAAAAAATTATCGTAATCAGAAAATGTCATCATCATCATCGTTATCGACAACGTCAGCAGAACCAATCGAAAACTCTGAAGAACGAGTGGACAACCATGTTGATAGGATCCTTCCACCTGAAAATTCATTCCATGAAAATAATATCGGAACGCAAATGACAATTGACAGCAGCATGCCAACCACACTCTGTGAAATCACACCATCCAATATCACTCCCATCATCACCGATTCATCATTACCAGAAAATAATCATTCATCGCATCCTCCGCAAGTTCAAGAATCTCAACACAAAATTATTATTCGAGGATTTTCGAATAATGATGAACATGACACTTTCACAAAAGAAAATCATTCCAAAACTGCTCCATTGGAAAATGACGATCATTTTCATCATGAAATGATTCATGAAAAAAATCACTTCTCTTCTCCGAACCCTCAACAAGTTTCCAAATTTGAAAAATTTTCAAAATTAATTTCCATTTTGAATTTTTTACTATTCGGAAATCGATGGATTTCCTTCTTGATCGGAGCTCTATTGACCTTTTTGAGTGGTACTCATTATGCCTATTCCTCTATTTCTCCAACAATTAAGAATGATTTAAATTTTTCACAAACTCAAGTCAATCTTATTGGAACAGCCGCCAACGTAGGAACTTATTTCGCACTTCCAGTTTCCATGCTCAATGATTTTATCGGTTCACGAGTGACATGTGTCATTTCTGGACTGTTACTCTTCTCTGGTTATTTCACATTTTATCTTGTTTATATTAAGGCCATTCCCTTAAATGGTTCTGATGCTTATATTTTCATCGCTTGCTTTATGGCAGTCATGGGACAAGGAAGTGCCGGCGCCTATGCCGCTGCCATTACCACAAATATTAAAAATTTTGAAGAAAAACACCGAGGAAAAATTATTGGATTTATGGGAAGTTGTGTCGCTTTGAGTAGTGCAGTATTTAGTTTGATTTATAGTGTGGGATTTGAGAGAAAGTTAGGAGAGTATTTGTTATTTGTGGGAGTGTTTGGAGGAGGTGTGACCACTGTGTTAGGAACATTGTTTATGAACCAAATTGGGATTAAAAAGAATGAAGAAAATTCCAAGAATGGAAATGTGCAAGATCACAATGCATGGATGTTGATCGATGAAGAGGAGGACGTACAAAGTTTTGTGCATGATGAGGATTTGGAGGATGGTGATGTGGAACAGATTAATGATTTTTTAATGATGGGAAATGACAAGATGACAGAAAAAAATGATAAAAAAGAAGAAATATCGCAAGAAGAGAAGATGAAGGAAGAAAGTGAACAAATAACTCCAACTCAACCACAAGAATTGATAATGAATGTAACTTCACAACCCATGCTTTCTCAAAGTGATCTAATGACAAGTGACATTTTGGAAGAGCAAGACCAATTAGAGGAACGAGAAGAGGAAATTCAAGTAGAAATCGAACAAGTCAAATCTATTGAAGATGAAATGCTGAAAAGCACTGAACATCACGAACATCCTCTCCTTTTACCTAAAATGGAAAAGAAACTAGAATCTAAATTCGACAAGATTTACAGCATTGCCCAAAAACCCATTCCCAACGCCAATCCCATCCAAATGCTCTTCTCTCTCGATTTCTACCTGACCTTCTTCGTTTACTTTGCTTGTATGGGAAGTGGACTTGTCATTGTCAATAATTTAGGATCCATTGTCATTTCGTATGGAGGTTACGATGGTCAACAACACGTCATGGTCATTATTTTTGCATGTTCCAATGCATTGGGAAGATTACTTTTTGGCCTTACGAGTGATTCATTTAGTCGCTATGTGACCCGAACGACTTTTTTGACAGGAGCTTCAATTCTCATGTTAATTTGTCAATTAGTGGTATTGGTCTCTCCACTGTGGATGTTTTATTTGATTTTAATTTTGTTGGGAAATTCATTTGGAGGAGTGGCAGTCATGATTCCATCGTTCCTGTCTGAACGATTTGGACCAAAATATTTTGCAGTGAATTCTTCGATTTGTAGTTTGGCAAGTTCATTGGGAAGTTTCTTGTTGGCAACTCTTGTGGCTGGAAAGGTGTACGAGAGCAATATTGCAAGTGACAACTTGTCAAAAATTTGTTATGGAAATTCATGTTTCCAAGCAACGTTTTATTTGACCACATTGTTGTGCTCCGTTTCATGTGTAGCGTGCATTGTGTTAATGTACAGAACGAGAGGTCTCTATCAAATATTGTATTATCGAAAAGTTCTCAATTTGAATCATGATCCAGTCATGACCAAATAACGAAAATTTCTATTGAAGAGAATTCCATTTACAGAAGAGAACATGTGAAGTATAAGGTACCGAAATTACATGATGAGACACTCTCCATCTCCATTCATACTGGAAGATGAACCAAATCCTGAATATTTTTGCAAGTCAGAATGTTGATGATCTGTGATCACACTTCTACAATGAGTCGTCAACTTGTCTTCATGAGGATCCTCTAAAATATCCTTCGAACGAATGGGCATGGAAAATAGAAACGATTGACGAGTTTTCTTGTCCAATGAAATATTTCGATCGAGAGCACTCCAAAATGTTAATTCCTTATTATTGAGACATTTGAGAGAGCCCATCCAGTCTGCAGTCGTTGTAATCATTCCAAAATGGAAAGAATACATGATATGAACCAATTGTTGAGTGGTAAACACATAATCTACAGTCAGTCTTCCAATGGGTTGTTCCGATGTGAAAATATTTTCGTGTACCATTTCCATAAATTCACATTTTCGTTTTAGATAATGAAGACACACATTGGCACATAATTGTAAATCAAGAGCTGCTGTAATGTCGTGGGTGGTTGAGGGAGATTTCAGACGAGTAGATGGATGTGGCATGGTCGATACGTAAGGTGATGCAAAGACATGATGTCTTGGTGATGCTGATGTTGGTAATGATTTGTTGTTGTGTTCGAAAATACTTTTCAGTGCATTTGTTTGGCGAATACTTGAATCATTGGTGCACATCTTATCAAGTTGAATGGGAGTTGTTAATTTTGTGCTAATTTCGAACCACATTTTGTGAATTTGTTTAGCCCAACTTTCATGTAAAGATGAAAAATTCACAAAATTCATGATCAATACATTGTCCATATTGAGAAATTCCAGTTTTTGCAAACGTGAAATATTGAGAGAGGATAAATCACACGGAGTTGAGTTTTCCTGCTCAGAATATAGATCGAAATGTCGACAGCCATTAAAATCAATGCTCACTAAATTTTCCAAACTTTCTAAAATGTGTAAATTCTCAACTATTTTCAATAAAGTACAAGCAAAGCTCAGTACTGTCAAGTAATGTAAATTTTCAATAGACTTGCAATCAACATTGGAGAGTGATGAGCATTCTTCAAATCGAATTACTTGGAGCTTGCAAAAATGTGTGAGCCTTGGAAATTGAGCGATGGAACACTTTTTGGCTGTAATGACTTTCAAATTAGTTCCAAAAAACGAAAATAGCGTGTTCGAATTGGAAATGGTACAATCTCCTAATTGTACTTCCTCCAATGATGGAAATATCACACTGTCATTTCTACTCGTCGAGTGGATGTCACACAATTCCATTTTGTCAATTCGCAATTTTCTCAAATTCATCATTGGCATCCAATGTGCGATAGACAAGGTGGTCAAAAGTTTCGAGTTGTCAAGTCCTTTCACGTGTAACTCATTCAAATATTTAAAAGCATGCATTGGAAAAGGTACATTTCTTTTCACCCACTGCGTCGTGGAAGAAATGGAACAGTCACTGAAACTTAAATGAAGGCGCTTACATTTCGATATTGGTGAGACAAGCAATTCAGAGCCCTTAATAAAAGGTGAGACTTCAATCAATTCTAATTCTAGGTCGTCCAAGAATGAGCTTGACATGAGCCAGCTTAAACAATCCCATCTCGCAATGTCAATAAGATAGAATTTGAGTCTGTTCACAGAACGGAGTCTCTCAAGTTCTCTCATTAGCTTTTTCAAAAGCTTGTTCAAAATTTCCAAACTGGTACACGATTCTAACAATTTAGCCATGTTCACAGATAACACCAATTCTTTGAGCTTGTGATTGATGTGCCAATCACTATTCTTGATCATGTAAATGAAAAGTTGTACTTCTCCAATATCAGTGAAGGGAACACTACATTTAAACGACTCCAACATACTCATCTTCTTTGTGGAGGCGGTTCCCTCTCGACCAGCAGCGTGAGGTGTTTTTATACACAACAAGTACTTGCAATAGTTAAGAATTTCCATCATGGAAATGTGTGAACTCAAGTTTCCAATATTCAAATCGAGATGCTTTAACGCAATGGAATCATTCTTCCTACATGACTGTTTTAAAATGGAAAGTACAGTCTTTGTAAATGGAATATTGAGTGGAGCATTAATGACAAGTCCCTCTAAGCTATTAAGTAAATCAACACCGTTCGCATGGTTGGTGAGTAGCTTTGCAAGTAATCGATACGTGGTTGAATTTGAATCCAAATTATAACTGGCCGATGCTAGATTATGAGATTCCAACTCCAAAACTTTGACACATGTCTTGTTGGATCGTAAAAACATGCAAAGCATTTCTGTCAACACTCGATCGAGTGAATGATCTTTGTTATTATCATCTCCAATCACGTCACATCTGACATGTAAATAATTAACTCTCGAATCATAGTGTGCGATATTGCTAGAAATTAAGCGCTTTTTACAAAATAGCTGAGCAGGCTTTCCAGTCAAGTGCCACCCATTTCTCCAAACAGTGTATGGACTTTTAAATTGCATTTCCAAGCAATTGTTAATATAACTCAACTCAGATTCATAATTATTTCTAAATTTCAATGTTCTATTTGAAGATACTCCTCCTAAAATATCATCCATTCGTTTCTTCTCCATTTTACAGTAATTATTGAAACAACCCTTGATTCCATAACTACCACCATAATGAATACATTTGTAGAATTTCTTGCAAGTCATTGCAACAATATGAATCAAAAACCACCGATCCAGATACGAGAATATCACGATCAATAAATCGTTATGGTCGTTTTGGCCTCCGTATTCAAATAATTTTCGGAGTGTTGATGATGAGGTGTATGGGGTTGGTTGTTGTTGGTGTTGTCCGCCAATCATCGTCATTAATTGAGGATATTCCAGTTGTAGTGAGTAAAGGCTATTACCCCTGGAGCTCCTAGAGGATGTTGATGAATGTTTCATGTTTTGTACTCGGATATTGAATGATGATGATTGAATCATCAATAATTTCTTTTTAAACAAGAAAACTTGTTAGCCATGGATCATACGTCATTCTGATGTGTTTCAATGTGAAGCCGTAAGCCAAGATTATGCTTGAAATCCCTCGACCGATGAATATCAAACCGATCCTCATTCTGCTGCTGCGTGGCTGTTACGTGTCTCATGACGTCATTTTTCTTCTTTTGAAACAATACACATTACAACAAGGCAAGAAAGACAGTGATTAACACAGTTCGAGTGAAATAGAGAAATGTACAACTGAAATATCTTGTTGTTGAAAATGTTCTCGAGATTGTTTCTTTTGGTTTTTCGTGCTGAATGGACTTTTGGGTTTATAAAGTAAAAAAATGATGAATTCTCATGTAGTGATTTCTTTAGTGGATTTTTCAGAAACAATAACAACAACAACGATATCGGAAGATGAGCCTTGTCGGATGATGAAATATTACGAATCAAAATTGAAACAAAAATTTATTGAACAGCAACATGTGGAAAGTTGAGATGGCTTGCAAATCGAGAAAAACAATACTTTGATTTCATTCCGATTGAGTGGATGACTGATCGTGAGAATAAAAAATATGGCTACGGATTACAATTGGCATCTAGGCAATTACAGGAAAATAAGGAGGTTGTTTTAGAGGTCGTGAAATTGAATGGCGAGCAGTTGTGCTATGCCTCTCAATCTCTCAAAAACGATTATGAAGTGGTATTGGAAGCTGTCAAACAAAATGGTCTTGCTTTAAATTATGCTTCCTATGAGCTTGCTGAAAATAAGGAAATTGTGTAGGAAGTAGTGAAACAAACGCAACATGCACTATTTTACGTTGAGCCGAAAGTGAGCAGAGATAACGATGTGTTTTTAATGTCTATATGCCCAAACCTGATGCACAAGTATTCTTATAAAAATTGGAACAATAATGAACAGTTATTATTTCAAGAATTGAATAATGACAGAGATTTCATATTGGAGGCAGTTGCACGAAATTGCAAAGCTTTTAAATTTGCATCTGGTGAATTGAAAACTGATCGACAATTTGTGTTACAAGTGGCCAACCAACATGTTGGATCACTCGAATTTGCTTGTGATGAATTACGCAATGACAAGGAATTTATGCTCACTCTGATTGAACAATGTGGTGGTGTAGTACTTGAATATGCATCCCATCAGTTGCAACGTGACAAGGAAGTGGTCATGAAGGCAGTGAAGAGTTATGGTTGTGCGTTGCAACATGTCTCCACAACGGACCTTGCATACGACAAAGAAATTGTATTGGAGGCGGTCAAACAACATGGATCTGCATTGAGATATGCGTCTGAAGAGATGAAACGATAAAGAAGTGGTGTTGGCAGCAATTCATCAAACTGCCTTCGCGATCTTGCAACATGATAAAAACATCATCCTTACGGCAATTCAGAAAAGCAGCCGAGTAATAGAAATAATCCCTGAGGCATTAACTCATGATAAGGAAATTATATTGCAAGCATTGGATCAATATGGCCTTGCACTTAAAAATTCGCTCCACAAGAATGGAAGGAAGACAAAGAAATTATTCTGAAAGCGGTCAAACGACACGGCACGGCATTGCGATATGTGTCCAAACCATTCATCATGCAGAATAAGGAAATTGTCTTGGAAGCAAGTATGCAAGATGCCTCTGATGTCCAGTATATTCCAGAAGAGCTGATTAACGACAAGGAGTTTATGATGCAACTGGTTTCACGAAATGGCCATGTGTTGAAACATTTACCGTCGCAACTGCAAGCTGATACAGATTTGATTGTACGCGCTGTAATTCACAGTGGTTACGCCACCATTTATTGTGAAGAGTTGTTACAAGTACGAATGCAACATTATTATTTTGGAGCTTATCTTGGTAAACCTGAAACCTCTAGAAAAGTGTGTTTTCATGTGACCATGTGACTAAGAACATGACCACTACTTTCCATGCTTGTACCTCTTCAGTATCGTCCAAGCTTCCAATAAGCGTGTTCGCCCTTGAAAAGAGCAATGGAAAGCATGTTACAGAGTGTTTTGGATCGAAGTTGGAAAGGGCTAACAAAAAATAACCAACACAATAACCCGAGTTTAACCACACTTACGGAATTTTATCAGATCATCATTCCGATCGTTACATCATCTTTTGAACGCTTTCATAGTAGTATTATTACTATCATCATAGTTCCAAGTGGATTGTTGAATATGAGTTCATCTGATTCGTTTATTGAATTTTATGAATGTTTGATTTGTTCCGAAATTGTACAAAATAATCGAGAATGTAAAAATTGTCATAAATTATTTTGTTTGGATTGCATTATGAAGTGGTTAAAAGTTCATGAGAGTATGTAGTGTTGTTCATTTAACAACAATGTTCATGATGATTGCGAAATATGAAATATTTTGAACCTCCGATGACACTTGGCATTTCAAAACATCATCTATAATTAATTCATCATCACCACAACAACTCCAATTGTTATCATTATTTGCAAATATTCAGATTGTCCTCATTGCAATCATTCTCCAGTTGCTTGCAAGAGCGCAGAGGACAACAGTGCCTTCATTCACAACCATCATTCCGAAATGATTGCAAACTCCATTACTGTACCCTGTCCCAATGCAGATTGTGGGTGCGACATTAAAAAGATTGCTCGAGGAGATTTGGCATTACATTTGGAAAAGTTCTGTACGGGTCGAACAGTGCCATGTAAGCATGCCAAATATGGATGTGAATGGAGTGGTCAATATTTGAAATTGGACGAGCATTTGAGAGAAGAGTGTCCATTTTCAAAAGAAATTATTTTAAAAGCGTTGGAAAAATTGGAAACAAACATTTCTGAATTGACTCGTGAGAATGAACAATTACGTTCTGAAAAAGCAAGTAGTGAAGAAAAGATTAAGGCGCTGGAAGAGAAAGGACTTTTGAATAACAGTGGTATACCAATGAATCAATCCACCACAGTCATGGTCAATGGTGTCACAACTTTGGGAAATGACATTACACGAACTGCAACAGCTCCCATGCAAATTCCAGATTCTTCTCTTCCACCATGGGCTCAACCCAATTTTTACTCTTCCTTTAATCCTTCCTATAGTGGAACGACCTCGTTTTATAATAGTGCTGGAGTGTCGTCTTCTGTTTATCCTCCTCCACCTTCAGGTGTTCCAATGACGAGTAGTAGTAGCATGTATTCCTCCATGATGTCTTCATCCATGAGTTATAACCCACCACTCATGACTTCTTCGTCATTTATGAATGGTAGTACCATGTCCACCATGCCCATTCACACGGTAGAGTGTGGTATTTGTAAAAAGACCAACTTTTCTGGAGTCTTGTATCAGTGCACTTCATGTATTAATTTTTCCATTTGTTCGGCTTGTTACAGTACCTTACAAATAACTCAAACTCATGATAGAATGCATACTTTTTTACCCCTTAGAAAAGTTCGAGGTAAGATAAGTGGAGTGACATGGCTTCGACTTGCCACCTGTGGAAGTTCTGTTTCATTACCTCTTGCTGATAATGATAATCAAGATTTGGAGTTTTATGTGAATGAACGGACAGGAGCAAGTAAGTAATTGATTGTTCGTATTCAATGAATGGGTTGATATGTGTTCCTCATGAATTATTTTTGCATTCAATTTGTTATATTTAACAATGCAAAATGGTGTGAAATCCATTATGTTTGAAATATATTCACCACACAGTCACACCATTCATGCCAATTGGAGTACCCAATGCGAAAAGCATTTCTGGATCATGGACCTCTGTATCACTTCATTTAGCCATCTATTGGCCCAACACAACAAGAGCCATCGTGATGGAAGGAAATGTTGGAACCTTGCCAACAATGAGTTGCACTTTACAAGGCTCAACGCTCAAATTTACTGTAAAAGCTTCAGGAATGGGTGGCAGAGGAGTTGCCGGTGATGGAGGATACTTGACATTGACATTGTCAGTGAGCTAGAGAAAGTTATAGGAGATCCTGCGAGATTTTTTATGAACTTTACTGCAACTGATCAAGCAAAATATATAAATGTTTCTATTTGTGTTATGTACTATGATTATTTGTTTAAATAATTATTATCAACATGATCCAAAATAATTTTCGTTTCCCAAATTTCCAAATTAAAACCAAATTCAAAGATTTAATTTTTTAAAAAAAATCTGAAAAAAAATATCATGGATTCAACCGACTCGTTGCTCCCACAAGCTCTCGAGCGTATCAGAGAGCCTGGTGATGCTGCCATGCCCACTCTCCTTCAAATCATTGGCGGAATTGTAGGAACAGTATTATTCTTCGTTTTCGTTCTTCCTCTTTTCGGTGGTACCGTTGAATTTGATGGCGACCAATGGGTCTCATCTTTGCTTCTATTGATCCCTATTTATGGGCAGCCATTGGTACCGGATGTGTGATTGGACTCTCAGTGATGGGTGCTGGTTGGGGTATTATGGTTTCCGGTTCAAGTATTATGGGTGGATGTGTTCGTGCTCCAAGAATTAAAACCAAAAACCTCATCAGCGTTATTTTCTGTGAGGCCGTTGCTATTTACGGAATTATTATGGCCATTGTTATTAGTACTCAAACCAGTTGGTTCCAAGATGCAAAGGATCCAACCAAGGCTACTCCATACATGTTGGTCGTGAGTGGATGTTATACATTGTTTGCCGCTGGTATCACTGTTGGTTTGGGTAATTTGGCTTGTGGAGCATGTGTTGGTATTGTCGGTAGTAGTTGTGCCATTGCAGATGCTGCTGAACCATCACTCTTTGTCAAGATTTTGGTTGTTGAAATTTTCGCAAGTGCTCTCGGTATCTTTGCCATCATTGTGGGTATTGTGGTTGCTTCTAGTGCCAAGTTGAAACCATAGTTTTGTGGCATGATGATTATTTCAGAATAGACAAAGCTACTCTTAAGTGGCAATTATTTAACGAAAATAATTTACATTAAGTCAATCAATGACAATTTCTCCTTATCACCAATTCTTCCATATTCTCCTTCCCTTTTGTCAATAAAGATCTTTTTATGAATGATGCTGAGATTTTGGATTTGTGTTAGAACTTTCTATTTATTACCTTGAATAGTTGTCATACTTTTTCTCCCAAATACACTCCAAAATAACAGTGTTCCATTCTCCTTGCCAAATGATTCCTTAAAAATTCTTCGCAATATTCATCCATAACATATCCTCCATGAATGGCCGCTTCTAACATCATGGTCGTTCTGATAAACATCTGGAAGGTAATCCAAGGCCCTTCCATAACGTCTCACAATCTCAACAGCTTCTTGCTTGTCCAGAACCTGCACTCCCTTCAACCCACTACCCATAGCAGCCCAAACAACATCCTTCTCGGCTTTCAGTTCTTTTGTTGCATAATTAAAGGCAAGTTTGTCATGTTTGACTGCTTCCAATACAATCTCTTTGTCATGACCCCACAATTCTGATACACACAAAAGTGCAAGTCCACACGCTTTCACTGCTGCCAACACCACATCCCTATCTTTTAGGAGAGATTTCGATGCATGTTCAAGTGTTCTATAGTGTCGATCAGCCATTGAAACTGCCTGTAGCACCACGTCCTTGTCACTTCTCAAACTATAACCCACGTATTGTAGAGCAGCTCCTCCGAATTTTCTTAATATTTTCAACACAAAATCCTTATCGTTTTTCAATGTATTGGACGCATATTCAAATGCTAGAATATTTGTGAGTAAAATCAATTCCTTGTCGGATCGTAATCGCGTTGAAGCATATTGCAGTGAGGTACCATCTCGTTGAGCAGCTTCTAAAACGACCTCTCGATCGTTTTTTAAATCATCGACAGCATATTTCAATGCATGTGGCTGATTTCGAACAGCCGCCAATACAATTTCCTTCTTACGTTTAAGGTCTATGGATGCATGCTCAAGTGAAAAACCATTACGAGATACGGCGTCCATACTAAATTCTCGATCATGCTTTAGTGTTTCAAACAACCAAGTTGCATTATTGTTCCAATTTGTGTTGGAATATTTATGTGCAACATTGGGACAAATCGATGCCAAAAACACATCACTATCCAATTGTAATTCATGACAAGCATATTGTATTGCAGAAGGATCTTGCCTTACTGCCTGTAATACAATTTCCTTATCTGCTCTCAACTTGACAGAAGCATATTCAAGAGCACGACCATTTTGTTGAACGGCTTGGCTCACCACCTCTCGATCATTATGAAAATCTGTTTGTCGAAAATATGCTAATGCATGACCATCTTGTTTCACAGCCGCCAAAACAGTTTCCCTATCCAATGCTTGATTGATGAAATGACGAATACTTGGACCACTGAGCTGAACACATTTTTGAATAAATTCTCGATCCTTCAACAAGTTGGGATTATCAATTGAAGAAAGATCATTGTGTTGAATGGCCTCTAAAATCAGTTGCGGTTTACTTTTCAAGGCTTTGGAAGCAAAACGATATCCATATCCGTATTAATTTTCGATTCGAGATCGATCACGGTAACGTCAACTTCAAGTTGAATTCACCAACATTTCGTATTTTATGATAATTATAAAATGTCACATGCGAGCTGTCTGTTATCCTTGTAAAAGTTTAATAAAACGTTCAAATTTCATTGGTCAAGGATTGAGGGATCGGTTGTAGTGTGTTGCGAGTATGATATGATTGATGTTCTTTCCAATCATTTGAAAGTTTCTTAATGTTTGGATTTTGTCTCTTCAACCTTTCATAGGCATCAATTAAATTACTCAATGCCACACTTTTGACTCGATCAAATAAATGATCGGGTAATTTGTTCACTGTGTGGTTGTTGGTATGAATCACGAATAATATTTCTTCCCGGAGTGTCTCTATATTTCCAATATTCAATTCTTGAGGAGCTCCTTGAACAAGATAACACTGTACAATATGAAGAGCCATGTCTCTTCTTTGTGTACTACTCGAACATTGCTTATACTTTTCGAGGTCCTTGTAGAATAGCAAACCTTCAGCACAAAAGCTTCTACGGCAATGATCCAAAAAGCTTTCAAATGCTTGCTTATTGTTTAAAATCATTTCCATCTCTGTGTCGTAAACTTCGGATTTTGGTTTTTCGTCTTGATAAATGGCGTAACAAATTGGAAGAAATATTGTCACAAATATTTCAATACCCGTATAGGTTGTCATGATAGTTCCAGATGGAACAATGTGGTCCAATATTCGGAAAATTTCAACAAACTCTGTGACCAAAAACAAACTCCCAAGCAACACTTGAATTGGTATGAGGCAGAGAGCTTCCTTTTTGATGTACCATGTGTCACTATCTGTTCTAACAAGCAATAATAAGGCACAGAGGCATTCTATACAAAAAAATCCACAATATATAAACAAGGCAAGAACGGACGGAAAATATTGAGCTCCACAACCGAATAAGCTCATAGAATCGTTTGTCATGAAAAATCTATCTTCTGCAAAGAATGAATTCTCAATCACTGTAATACAAAACCACAAAACAACATGAACGCCTAGTATGGCAATGAGAAACATCATAATATAGGTGTGTCGTGAAAGTAAATCATTCATTCTGTACCATATTCTCTCTTTGAATCCAAGTTTGTATTGTTGCATAAAATTATTGGATGTACGGGATGTACATTTCACAGACATGGAAGGTGAAGAAATTTGAGTTGATTGTTGGCGTTGATTCATGTTCTTCATCGAGTTGTCTCTTGGAGAGACGAGATCCGAATTGTTATTCTCGGTGGTGGAAAGTTCACCCTCATCGTTTGGTCACTCAGCTGATCTAAGTGAGTCAATTGTTGAGATTTCATTTTGCTCACCTGAAATTGAGCATAGAACCTTAATAACCTCAAAATGGTAGGCATTGCAACACATGGAGGCATTACCACAAAGAAAATACTATACAATATACACGGGTACACTGCTCTTCCAATCACATATCTGATTTGTATTCCCAATACGAATAAAAAACTGCTAATAATCGTGAAAATCATTCCCGAAACTGTTCTTGCTCGAATGTGACCTGAATTTCGCTTCCAAATCAGCCCACAATACTTGCTACTATAAGTGTCGAATAACCCAATAAAAACAAACCAGAAGAGATGGGAACCATGATCGTATCTGGACAATTTCGTACTTGTTCCTGTGTTGTGTTCTGAAATGTAGAAGTGTTTGTAAGTGATGAAAGAACAAGAGGAAATGAAAAAATCCATTCTGCACAAGGTTCGGAGAATGATGTTGTCATGATGGGAGGCGTTGAATTCAGGTGGTTCATACCATCATTCGGTTGCAGTACTTGTGCCAGATGGTTATTATTGACAATCGACGAAGAAATTATTCCAATCATTTCAAGTGTTGTCGAAAAAGTCATGTTGGACTCTTTTTCTCGTGTGGGGAGTGATGATATGCTTGTTGTCTTCACAAAATCAACTTGTCGTCGTCTCTCCAAAATGTATCGCACCATCGCGAGAGAGATGTTTCAATTTTCTTCGTTTCAGGTCAGTTTTCGTGCAAACAACATCACAAATGCTCGCGAGACAATCTCTGTCTGAGGTTAAAATCACCGTTGGTAAAGCGCACACAATAAGAAGAGAGCTCTCTTGAACAATACTATTCCGTTCCAATTTGAATCCAGTCGTAATGATTATTCAACTGATTGAATGCCAGCCATACAGTAATCACCTTTTCATCCTTATCTGTTGTCGATAGCATTGGTGATTGAACATCCACAATGGATTCAATTTTCTGATTTCCTCTCGGGCAACACCATAATTATGACGACTCAAGATGGCAATTTTAAAGTGCACTCGGGGTTGTTTCAAACAGTGTGCAAGAGCAACCAGACAATTAAAATCTCCCCATACCCCCAAGCATTGCATATTTCTTAAATAATACCTCTCAATATCGTTGTTGTTGTTATTATCTCCTGGTCCATCTAGAATTAATGCATGCCTCAATCGGAGACCTTTATCAATTTCAGTATCTAGATGCGATCTCATCCAATCTACGGCTGCTAATCGTAGCTGGAGATGATACTCTTCTGTGTTGTAGAGGCCCATAGATACTGCTCTGAATAGACAATTACCATCAGGCTTGACTTTGATGATTTTCATTTTGGGAGGCTTGTGGTTGGATGTGTTCGAATTAGGATGATTATTGATTATAGAGCTTGATTGAGCCATAGTTCCATCATGATTATCATTGGGATTGGATGATGGAGGTTGGGGATCGGTCGTTCCCGATGATTGTTGGGTCTTTTTACTACCCCATAAGAAGAGAAGCTTTGAAGAATCGGAATAGGGTTGATTCAATACGTTTGTATTCATCAACATGTATAATCCAATGGAAATGTTCAAAACTGTTCTCGTTTGTGTTGCTGCCCTTGATAGTAAACTTGTCGTCTTGTTATGTTTTTGAAACGTTGATGATGAATGAAATAAATCGAAAGCATTTATCCGTTTGGAATTGGTACATTTACTCGCTTTCAAAAAGTGGTCAAATCTAAAGGATCCTAACACATTTAATCCACGTGATGACGCTAATTTCATGAACGTGTTGCTCCAACTGTTGTTGGTGAAGATAAAGCTTGGACCCATTTTTTGGTGTGAAATTATTATTATTGCTGCTCATCGATTGCAAAGTTGGTTGACTGCATGCACCAACGAAGAAATAACCTTATCTTGTTTTTGAATATGTACTATGAGATCTTCGTGTCTCTTATTCATTTGTTCTATTTCGTATCTTTGTTGTTCAATCAACTTGAGCAGAGAAAGATCGAGAAGTGACATTTCACAACTCGTGTTTGAAAGTGTTGTTCCCAGACAAATGGCATTGACAATCTCTTGAGCATTTTCGTCTCCAAATCGGTCAATAAATCGATCTCTAAGGTGAGGAGTTTCAATGTCAACATTCTAATCCTTTCTAAATATTCCATTCTCTTTTTCAAACTCTTCTCTTGTTTGTCGTTATTTGTTAGTAAATTATCATCACTAAAGAAATCAATTTCCGCACTAGTTGAGGTTGCTTCTCGATCTATTGTATAATCATCCACAATAGAAAAGCAAATTTCTGCTGTCAATTCTAAAAAGCAATTTTCTGAGATGGTAGTTCCATATTTTTCAAACATTTCAATCAACCACTCTTTTCGAAATGTATAGATTTGAGACCATTGATTTTTCTCTTTCACTTGTATGCCACAAGCATTAATAATTTCTCATACAGTGTCAAATCCACATTATTTCAAAAGTATGTCTATTGCGTGCAATGAGATCAAACATTACAAATGCATGATTTCCAGCAATGAGATAGGATCCATATGCGTTCAATACACATCCTATAGTTTCTTCAGAAGGCGAGTTATATGCAAAAAACCAGTCCACAATGTCAAGAAAATCCTCATAACGGTGTTGTGAATTTTCTGCTGCCAAGAGATATTGAATGTAAAGAGC